ACCAAAAAAAAAACACAACTTTTTTTAAAATTTTGATTTTTCACTTGAAACAGCTCCCCCACCATATATTTTTTAAAAAAAAAAAAAAAAAAAAAAAAAAAAAAAAAAAAAAAAAAAGATACAGGCTTTCCCGAGACCTTCCGCCAAGGTCCCAAAAGATAGATCGGTGCAATGCAGATCAAAGAAAGGAGGAACGCCGCCCGTGAAAAGTGCTTCATGGTGCACGTCAGACCATGTTCTCGGCCTGGTGGACACTCTTCCCCGCGTCCCGCTGCCTGCGCATCTCAAACATTTTCTTCGGCTTGTTTCTGAGCGCGTCACGGATCTTGTCCTCACTACGGCTCATCCAGACACTCATGGGCGCGGTACTGGCAGGGTACAAGGGCATGTTGGCATCGCTGGTCACGAAGTCCTGGGGATTCCGCTTCTCGTGTGAGGCGATGACGTCCATGTCGTGCGCGATCTGCTCGCAGTACAGCTCGAGAGGAAGATCGTTGACATCTGTGCCAAAGGGGTTCTCGATCTCGCCGCCAATGAGTAGGAGGCCGAGGATGATGTAAGATGCAAATACGGTGGCAGGAATCGCGACCCAGTCGAGCAGAGAGTAGAGCTGGAAGGGCAGCAGAAGCACATATACCCACGTGATCTGGCTGATGGCAATGGCGTAAGCCAGAGGAAGAGGGGTGTTCAGCACACGCTCGCAACCAGTCATGCAGTCGTTGAGCAGGGCGAGGTTGTTGTACGCCATAGTCTGCTGCATGGGAACATCAAGCTGCTCATTGCGGCACATCTCGTCTACGCAGATGGCAAGATGGCTCAGGATCTCAACGGGGAGATTTCCCAGGGGCTTTTCCGACTTCTTAATCATCTTGCGAGGGTTGCTGGTCGCGAACGAGATACCAAGGTACTCGCCGACCTCCTTGAAGAACTTCTTCCTCTGCCCCTGCGCCTTCTCTGGCTGCGCGGTCGTGGCTTCACGCGCAAAGGTTTGGAGGTGGCCGATCATGTGCTGCATGTCCGAGTAGGCTGTAAAGGGCTCGAAGCGAAGCTGGTGCTTGAGGGCGACGGAGAAGGCGACAACCAAGTTCATGGCAGTCACCTTTTTGAGCATCAGCTCACGGGGATCCTGTCCCTCGGGATCATTGGCGTGGATCCAAAAGACGCGACCAAGGGAGTGCGAAGCGTTGGTCAATACTTGCCAGTAGCGTCTGCCCTCGGCATAGCGCTCGTACGCCGTCGAGCTGCGGAAGGAAAGGCCAAGACCGACCACGAAACCCGTGATGGTCAGCAAGACCGACTCCACGCCCAGGTTGTAGACGTGCTTGGAGATGAGAACAATGGCGGTGGCCCACGCGCCCACAAACAGCAAGGGTACAATCATCTTGGGCACGATGCTGCCGTGCATGCGCATGAACAAGGGCCACTTGGAGTGGCGGGACAGGTCGCGGGGCCCGACAAAGTAGTCGTCGAGATCCAGCGAGGCACGTCGCGAGAAAGGGTTGGCGGCTATGGAAGGCCGCACAGGGGAGCGAGGGTCGTCGTCGTCATTGTGGGCTTCGAAGTTGCCCGTCATGACGGCTGTCTTTTCCGTGTTCGTCCGGGTGGCCTGCCGCCCGATGGAGCTATTGGGAGTCGTCCCATGAGAAGAAAAGCTTCCTTCCGTCATAGTGCCCGAATTGTGTGTGCTTCGTACGTGTGTTGTGTTACTGTAGAGTAGATGCTGAACCAAGAAGGATACAAGTACAAGATTGGGAACCCAAGGGAAGGAAGGAAAGGTGGTTCTGTTGCCTCGTGTAGAAGAAGTGGAAGGAAAGAAAGGCAAGAAAAGAGCAGTATAATTAAGGAGAAAGGATCAGATCATGCAACGACAATGAAGGAGGCCATGAATTCTTATGAACAACAGCCGAAGAAAAAGACGGCCTGATGAGCCTGCACGTCCGAGCTTTCGACTGGTACCTGCATCCCTCCCCCTTCCGCGCGCGCCACCAATTCAGTCCACTTACCTATTTCAAGCCTTTTTTTCCTCCGTAGACAACGAATCGGGACCCCAGGTTTCAGACGCGAAGTGCCAGGGGTGGTGGCTGCACCAATGGGGCAGTTGTGCGATGACTTACGCTGTGAGACGAATTCTGCAGACGCAGGAGGCTGCTGTTTCATGATGAGGCCGTTGAACGAGAAGAGTCCTGCTTGGAAGACCTCATCGCCAACCAGTGTCTGAGACCTCTTTGACAGCTAGGCTCTCTGTCTCAAATGGAGGCACCTACTGTGCATCGGACGATCAAGAGCTCATCGAGAGGTATGGGCAGGCTGTGGCTTTGTAGATGCCTTTGGAGAATGGGAATATTACGTGGATCCTCTGCGCCAGCAAGTTAGACCTGCATGTCGACATGATCCATGCCTCCATGTGTCACTCTCTGACTCGATGCGTGTTTGCTGGCACGCGTCCGGACTCGCCTTCAGCCCTACTTCTGCTCTTCTTCCGATTCCCGATATTGTCTGCATTCGTCGGAGCCAGCAACGACCCGCGTGGAATGTCAGTTCGCCTTGTCAGGTTGGGCTCGTGATGTGGGAGACTTCCACGAGAAACAAGACTTTCACAATAATTAGCGGCTGGCAGTGGCGCCCCGATTCCCTGAAGGTCAAGCTTTGGGCATGCAGGGGCTGAGCCACTGGTGTCTGGATGGGTGGATGTTACGTACAATTCTAGAATCGGCTGCTCCCGCGAAACAGGGGTCGTCACGGACCGTGCTAAATTCTAAGGCTTGAGCTGCGATATTGTGATTTTCTCATGGTGCAGCAAGATGCTTTCATACCAGGTTAGCAAGGAATTGGATCGATGATAATGGGCTGACGCCAGGAACTATCATCTCCATCCCCAAAAGCAACTTTGACATCGTCACGATCGCCATTGGAGGGATTAAACCGCGCGCAAGGGGCCTCAGGAGCAAGACGCGTCGGAATGTTGATGAGACGCTGCCACCCCTTCGATTGTTAGCGCTTGGCTGCCTCCAGCTCCACCGCTACAGGCTGGGGCCGCGTCGCTGCCAGATATTGGCTCAATGTCCATGGCGCAGTAATACTGACGGGGCTCCTGAAATTCAATGGCTTGCAGCTCATCTCAACTTGCGCCCAGGGGCTCAACAGCTATTATTGTCGATGAATGTTCCGTACATGTCGAGGTTGAGTCTTGAGAGCTACCAGAGCCTGGAGATGCCTGCAGCGCAGGCTACTATGCGTGTGCAGATGCGCAGAACGGCACAGAAGGCGGAGACGGACCAAATCAGTACCCAAGATTCGAGTGTTATAATGCGAAGCTTATTTTCTCCCCTGCCTTGAAGCGTTGCAACACTGTACGCCTTCCAAAGTTGAGAGGAATCGTTCGTTCACTGCCTTGTTGTACACAGATGCATGCATAAAACCATCACGATCAGCCCCTTGGACATGGACCAGTTCATTTCTCTGCGCACTGATCAGCATTACTTAGCCATGTTCTCGAACGTCCTGATCATGTGTTGCTCCGATTGGTCGCGAATCCAGCCAAGCTCGGTTGGACGTGCACTGGAGTGCCTGGACAAGCTGCGAAATCAAGCTTCAACTTTGGCCGAGGGTGGGCCACGCGGCGAGTGAGAGACTCCCTGGCAGTCGAGCAGCCGTGAGCAACAAGCTTCCCTCCAACGGGTGGCCGCATACTGGACGCCGTCTCTTGGTCAAATCTACTTGATTCATGTGCTGCCAATCCTGAACGCCACCCGCAATGGTTGTCCATATCAAAAAAAGTTGTATCCGCACAGATTTCAATCCAACTCATAGCTCGCCTGTCCAACCTCGGTCCTCGCCCTTCCACCCACGTTTAGGCCAACCCTCTGGCAGTGTAGAGAAGGGCGGTAAGAGATACTGGCCTTGGCACTTGTCCTTCTCGCACTCCATATCGCACAAGCCGTAGAGCTTGCAGTAGCACGTGCCCGCATCGGGACAGTGCACGGCCTCTTTGCCAAAGATGACTATGCGCACGTCGTCAGCATCATCTGTGATGGTCCAATCTAGCTAGAAAAGCTTTTCAACCTACTGTGCCATGAGTACTCTAACACTCGCCCGCTCAGGTCATCCCCGAGAGGCGAGTTGACCAGCCAGTCCCGGTATCGCTCGTACTCCTCCTTTGGCCGCCTCCAAATGACCTCTCGCCGGACCGCAAACTGCGAGCAGCAGGACACGCCAATCTCGTCCGGCATCGGCTGTCCTGGAAATAGCTCCTCAAAAGCAGGTTTGTATACGTGCTTGGCCGTCACTGGCTCATGCTCCCTTTGCGGCGACTCGTCCTTGACGGGTTTGATCTCCACGGGACACCCGAGCACCCAGACGCAGCGTAGATTGACGTAGCCCTCCGATTTCAGGTGCGAAAGCTTGAAGGACTCAAGCAGCGGCAGAGCATCGTAGTCGGGATTGTCGTTATGCCATTGGAATCTCTCGGCATGGTGAAAGATGATATTGCCCGGCAGGGTGTCGTATCGATCGATAATGTACGTCAGGAAGACCATAGCTTCCCTTCCCTTGTTCACGGGAACTGTCAGCTGCGCCCCTGGGTCGTCCACGACGTAGATATTCTTCTTCCACTCGGGCACAGCGCTCTGCAGCCACGTCGTGTTCTCCTTCTTCATGCTTGCCACGACCATCTCCGTCTCCGACGAGCCGGGCTTTTGCTTGAGTCGGCCGGTGTGATCGTACATGGTGCTCGCGGGTTGTCGTTGGAAGAAGTAGAGGAATGCAGCCGCCAAGAGAAAGACGAGAGCAATGTGGCGCCGACGAGTGCCGCGCCAGGATGCCATGACGGCGGTGGAGTGATGCAGAGGGAATCGTCTGCCGTCTCGTCGCGAGGCTCAAGACGCGGGACACGTCGAGTGAGTCGGATGGAAAGGGGTTCCACGGCGCATCACTGGAAGTTGGAAACCTGGAGATGCCAAGGCCGGAGGGAAGACGCGGCGCAACAGGCAGGCTTATCGATAAGCGCGACCAGAGTACCTGGGATGTAGGAGCCCACCTGTGTGCATGAGACTCTTGATTTCGGGAATATTCATCAGCATCAAATCGTGGCACGAAGAATCGAAACGATTATCATGCCACGATATGATGCTGATCAAGGCATTTGGTGGTTAATGGGTGGTATATGCCTGGCGTTCTCTTGGACGGTCATTCCAAACATTCAACTCACCTCGATTGCTGACTCACAAAACCACAACACCTGCTCCAAACTTTCAATAGACACATACAATGTAGTTTGCTATGATGGACTCACTTGTAATTATTACTCAATCGCCAACCACGATCCTTCATCACTAACTGGTAGGTTGTGACACAAGGAGAGTACTCATGCTTGCGAACCAGGACATTGCTATCGGGTAATTACTCCGCAACCGCGCGCCTGCTGCTTGCCGTGTGCCCCTCCCCCACATTTACCCAACATCAAATCTCAGCTCAAGATCGACCACCTCTCCTTTTCAAGCCGCCGATCATCAGTACACGATCTTGGATATCCATGCTTCTGAATCATTCTCAGAGCTGTCAAGTAAAAGTACTATCGATGCGAATGGCTCTGCGTACAGACCCATGAACGTCCTGACCTGCCACCATGGATCGAAAGCAAGCCAACGACAATCTCATGGGTGAGCTCACATCGCATCTGTTCCCCAACTCATCTGCTCACTATTGTTCTAGATACGCATGACCGTCTCATAGCCGACGTTCTCACCCGCTATCGCAACATTTTGAACCTCACTACATTGCAAGCCACACGAGACACCGACGACCTGGAGATACACAATGCCGCCACGGACAACCCTTCGTCCATCGCCGTCACAGGCATCTCCCTCAAGATGGAGTTTGATGCGCTCTACTCTTCGATCAAGGAGCTGCTGACCCTATCGCGACGAATGAAGGAACTGTGGGTCTTTGGGCCCCTCGGCGGACGAGAGAGCCAGGGCATGGAGGAACGCGTGCGGGACGATGTGAAGAGGGTCGGCGAGCTCCTCGGAGATATTGAAGGTGGGAGGGCGAAAGAAACAGCCGAGGCGATGGGCGGCAGCTGGGAGCTCAAAAAGGACGAAGAAGTCAAAGGGGTAGAGGCATGAGAAGATTCAATGGCTTTCAGGATTTGGTCATGGCGTTGGGAGTTGGGTTGGCTTGTGGGTGAAATACTTCAATTCTATGCTCTGATTGATATACAAAGTCTAACCCTCACCGTTCTCCGGGTCCTCGTCCTCGTCCCCGCCGTCGCCTTCCAACTGCTTGTCCACGTCGGCTTGCGCGACGCCAACTAGCTTCGCCACATCAAGACCGCCAGCGGTCAGCCACAAGAAGTGGTTCGCCTTAAACTGATCGATTTGATTGTAGAACGCATGGAACCTGGCCAGTTTAGTCTATGTCGCAACCGCAATGACGAGGTTTGCTCAAACACTTACAAGTTCTCCTGCTCCTCTGTCTCAAAAATGCGTTGGTATATATGCTTTTCCTTGAACGCGAGCAGCTCCTCTTCGTACTTGCCGAAATCAATCGTCTCGCGCTCAATCTCGACAGCTTTGCGGTTGTACCCCTCGAACACTGGTCGCTCGAGAAGCAGGCCCAGTCCAGGGGCCTTGGGAATCGCCATTTTCTGTGCCTTGTAGCTCTCCTCCACACGCTCGAGCGGGGTGCCGCAGCGAACCATGAGAGTGGCCAGACCGACCATTTTGCGAATCTGGTGCATCATAAAGGACTGCCCGTGGACCTTGAGGCTCAGCCACTCAGTGTTCCCAATGATGATGGGTTTCGGGTTGAGCTCAAAGGACTTGATGTGCCGCCTGGCGCTGGGATCCTGCGCATTCTTCTGAACGGTGTAGTTGTGGAAGATGTGTGTGCCGACATACTTGTGCAGAATGTCCTGCAGACGCTGCATGCGCTCCTGTGAGACACGGTACCGCCTCTTGGCTGCAACGTAGCCAGCCTTGACGTCCTTGAGGGCAAAGTCCAAAGGTCCAAGCTGCCTCTTCTTGGGGGAGAAGGTCTGCAGAGCAATACCTGTCTGCGGCTCGAGCTTCTTGTCCTTGACCTCTTCATCGTGCTTCTCGGCCTTCTCATTGTCGCTCTCGACCAGCGCATCGTCAATGTGGAGATGTTCCAAGACCTGTACCCTCAGCTGGGGATCCAGGCTGTCAAGAACCGGCTTGATGTTGTTGGCCTCGGTATCACTCCAGAAGCTTGCGACGTCTGAGTTCAATTCGGCCAGAGTCTCCTCGTAGCCCCGCTCCTGAGCGTACCGCGCAATTTCCTTGGCCAGCCATGTATTGGGGTGTGGGGGCAGCAAACACGAGCTGGGCAGCAAGTACTCATACCATCTCGAGTCGCAGCCCTGATAACAGCTGAATGCATTGTTTGTCCTCTGGATGCCCCACACGCGAATTTGGTCGGGAAGATGCGAGTTGATTTTCTCCTTGATGTCGTCGTCCTCCACAATGAGCTTGAGGGAGATCACGTTGCCCGCTGCGTGGACACCCTTGTCCGTCCTGGCGCAGCGCACAAGACTTGATTTCCGTGGGTCGTTGGCATTGGCCTTGGAGATAGCCCCAGCACGAATGAATGCGCGGAACAGGTCGCGCTCAATGGTCGGCTCGTCGCCATTGATCTGCATGCCCTTGTACCCGGATCCAGAGTATCCCACCATGACGGCGACCTTCCTCTTGGGCCGTTTCGACTCGGCGGCGATTTCTTCCTCGGTGAAGAAGGGGTTCGGCTTGGGAGCCTCCTCGAACGTTTCGCCATCCTTGGTCGTCTTTATGCGTTTGCGGTCGTGGTAGTCCTTGTGACTGCGCCTACTGTTGCTATAACCTGGCGTCAGCCGTTGGCAACTTTCAACTTGAACACGAAAGCACGAGGATGCTAAGGTTGAACTTACTCATACTCTGCGCGACCCAAGTTCTTGCTCTTGCCCATGCGACTGCGCTTGTGGCCGCTCTGACGGGGGTTCTTCCACTCAGTCTTCTCGCCGCCGTTTCCGTCAGACGGCTCCTTGCGCTTGGCATCACCTGTGGTAGGAGGGTTAGAAGTGTCTGCCATGGTTGCATCGCTCAATTGGCGAATGGACAGCAACGCGGTGAGGATTTGGGGTTGTGAGGGTTGGAGATGGAAGTTTTCGACGGACGGATATCCGATGGAGGGCGGGCAATTGTGGGGCGTACTGCAGGCGTAACATTTGGCAATGATCGTCGTGAACTCCAGTTCAGGTCACACAGACTTCAATTCGTCAATTCTCATTCTTTAGGTTCTATATTTCGTCTACCATCGGACCTCCGTGACGTCAGCTCCATCAGGGGAGTCTTGAAGCCGTTCTCGCTCCCACGCGATGATAGACACGACAATGCCTCCATAGGCTCTCTCCGTACGGCGACAATAGCAGCTGAATCGATCCCTGGTCTCTTTCTTCTGACTTCAAGAGCACAGCGTTCGCCAAGGTTCATCAAGTCATCGTCATCCATCCATCGCTGCATCGGCCGGTTCAAGACCTCCTTCAATGTATCGAGCGCACCTTTGGGGCCTCGATAGGAATCCCAAGGTTCCAACGGATCAGTGAGGACAGCCGTCTCAGTTGGCAGTGGAGTTTCCGTCGACATTGTCGTAATAGTCATCGTAGGTCTACGCGCGTTAGCTGCTTGACCCCGTCATCTCACACAAGGTCCGCTTACAGATCCTTCTCGTCTCGGCCATTGTCCTTGGTATCGTCCTGGCCCAGTCCTTGCCTTACAGTCTGGAACTTGCTCACAACCCCGGCAATAAGCAAGGTCACCAAGACCACAATCAGAGCGCTTCCCGCAATTTTTGCATAGCGAACCCTGAGCGCCTTCCTCTTTTTCCTCCGATCCTCCCCCCTGTCACCCTCGAGAGCGGCCTCTGTCAGTGGATCAACATAACGAGGTGGTGCACGCTCCTCGTCATACGCCGGCGGGTGGCTGTGATCGCTGTTCAGGCTGTAGTTGCGGTGCGCACGGAAGACCTCGAGGCTCGAGGCTGATGATGTGGGGTAGTGCACGGGGGCCGCCTGGATGATATTGTTCATTGGGTGCAGTGCATGGATGGGTATCAGGCACGCAGGCAGTTATGCATCGTTGACCGAGCTTTCTTTAGGCAGCAGCGAAAATGAGGATGAGCGAGGAGAAGCAAACCTTTGGACTGCCCGGAAAGTCGGTGCAGCAGTAGGCTGAGCCGCCATGCTCTGGTATGGAAGGTCGCCCTTTCAGAGCGGTAGTGAGACATGGCGATGTCGTGAGGCTGCGGCAACTGATGATGCCGGCGTGAGCTGGTTATCTCTCACCAGGAGGAGTCTGCCTGCCGTGACTTTTCGATTCTCCGATGGTCTGAACTGAAGCAATTTATCTTTCATTTGAGCTTGTGGGTAATACCGTGTTCCAGTCACGGAAGTCAATAACATATAGCGGACTTGTAGAAAACACATGAACTGAATGGTGTAGGAAAGTGATTACATGTCTCAGATGCGCGGCAGGTATATACTGCAGATCATGATCAAGCATTCTCTCCTCCAATCATGGAAAAATATATATCACTTTTGGAACATAAAGACCTTTAGGTTTGCGATGTTAATGACTGAGCATGCGTTGATGAGTAAAGGTTGGGTTACAAAAGTGCATACGCTCATGTATAGCACGACTATTGGTGAAATAAACATGCTAGCTGACTATGCCCCGGTTTATCAATGATAGCTGATGCCACCAAAACCTCACATTACTTTCTGGGCTGGGGGAATCTGTTAAGGGTTCGAAATTTGGCGAGTTGAGCTTGTACCATCATCTGGACCAGGAAGACCCTCATCATCACCAGGCTCACGGTAGGTACCGGTTTGCTTAGTAGCGCCGCGGGTACGCTCATTCAAAACGTTACCCCTGTCAATAGCTTCATTTTCATCGCGCTCTGTAGCAGTTATTAATTCTAGTTCTTCCGCGTTCAAGTCCGGTTGGAACTAACCAAGTTGGGCGTCCGTGTCGGCAACGTTTTCATCAACAGGGTCCTCGACCTTGTCACCGTCCGACTGGACAGGCAAAGGTTCAGACTTATTGCCTTGGCGAGAGACGTAAGAGTTGTCCTGGAAGTTGCCAGCGGGAGTGTCCTGAATGTTCTCAGCAGACATTGTGATCGTTGTGTGCGTAGTGCTTGTGTTTGTGCGGAAGTGCCGGGGATTCTGGTTATTTGATTTGGTTATTAACCAAGAACCGGACAAACTTGGTACAACGTCGAATCTCACAGACTTCTTATACCCATATGCCGCAGATTCAATGTTACGGTCGTCGTGCGTCATGGAGGCTCATGACGACACTGTTACTGAGATGACCGTCGTCATGAATCATCTCAACCCCATTTTGCATTGAAGGGTCCTGCAAGGCGTTGAATTGCTTTTAGATCCGATCGACAGATCTCATCTGACAGGTCTCATTAGCCTCGCGGTGCGTGCGATGGTGGGCGATCGTCGTTAGTGATGGGCCTGGAGGAGACGCTCCGGTGGATGCGTCACCACTTGGCAGGCACCGAGACAGTAGCTCGATCAAAGACTGGAGAGGACTAGGGTTTGAATACATGACCGATTTGTATGATGCAAAGCTGCTGGCAACGTCAAGGCACGGTCATTAGTTGAGATGAGGGCGGTTGGAATGCATCTGACGTCGTTGATTTTCGAGGGTCACAAATGAGGCTGAAGCCATCGACATTGAATTAACCCCCACCACTGTGGGCGTCCTGGATGCATCTAGTATTGTTAGTCGCGAGTTTGAATTTGGGAATTGGCTGGCGAATTGTGGCAAAAGGAGAGAAAGGAAGCAGGACTGAACATGAGTGAGAGAAGAGCGAATTTGGTGTATACAGTACCTATCCCGTGCTTCAAACCATTCACGGGTGAGGATCTATAATCGTGCATGCGGTCTACGCACGATGCGTGTCCGGACTACGGACTCCAGACAGCCGCCCAACCACATTGATCAACAACAATTTTCATAAGACCAGTGTCACTGACTCGTCTCACGATGGCCCACAGCTGTACTTGGCAAACTCTCACTACTTACACTGGCATCAGATCATTGCAACTGATTAGGAAGACCAATTATGCTCCAAAGTTGTCGTACAAGGCGCTGCTTCTTGATTGCTAAAGGAAGCCTGCAGTAAAATGAAGCTTGTCAATGGTTTGCCAACACTTTGCGCCTGCTTTGACAAATCGACATGACCTCAGGTCATACACGATGTTGTGACCTTTAATAGGATGCAGAGGCCTATTCTAAGCACAATTCCGGCTATACGGGCTCCGCGATGGAGTGTAAACACTCACTGCTGTGTAGAGCGTTACATCCGCACAACTAGTCACCCTGCACCCCTGGTCCCTTCTCGTGATACTACTGCAGCGGGTGGACCCGTTGCACAGGCGCATCGTCAAGCCGCAGGTACTGTGCATTGCCGACTCCGCCCCCAGAGTGCTTATACCGCTTAGCGGAGTCTCCTCAGGGCCTTTTGCATCAGAGCGGACGGTGACGGTTGACCTCAATTATCACGGCGTGATTCTGGCTCAGTCTGAGGACTGGACGCTGGTTATGTTGAGCCTGACTCGTCTGGCCGACGTGCGCTGGCCTGCAGACGGGCGTGCGAGGGATGGCGACATTTGGAGCCTGATGGCGAATGACGGACGACTGCCGTCTGAAGTCGTGCTAGCTCGACATGGAGAGGAAGAAGTCGACGTTCTCTTGCCGCGGCGAACTTGAGTCCGCATGCCCATGGCCCCGGTAAACTAATCGATGAAATGAATTGTTGAAAGCGACTGGACCGACGCCCGAGACTTGAGAAGTTTACCGGTTTTTTTTTTCTGAGGAAATATTGTGTGACGGTCGCGTGCCAACGCTATGACAAACGAGACGCAAGAAATGCATCAAATCACACCATCGGGGCCTCTCGCGCTCAGGACGCTTCGAGAAGAGGCTCGAACCTCGAGTACGGACGATGCAGCACTGGAAATTTTGGCAAGACACCTCGTGCTGTTTCTGGCCACTGTCCATCGATCACGCATCGCTCACTATTGTATGAAATGACCGGGAGGTTGCGCTTTGCAGTCACGCTGGTTCCTGGATTTGCGGAGAGTCCCACTCTTTTGTCACCGACTGGCACTGGCAGAAGGGCTGAACTTTGAAGGGGTGAGGCGCCGGCCCGGCGGGGTTGTCGGTGTGGGTCCCGATGTCCGACTGGCGTTGGGCTTTGAGTCTGTGCAACTGAACTAACAAGTAGTCGAGCAAGGGCTTGAATCATCTCGAATACATCAAGGGGTCCTCGGTAGGAGAAGAGGCGAAACTATTGTGCCTCTCAGCTTCATGTAGTGCCTGGCGGGCGGGTGGGTTCCTGTGCTTCTCACACAGGACAGGACAGGACACGACGGGCAACCGGATAGCGGGGAGTCTTGGTGGGTACTCGTGAGGCAAGAGGGGCCCGACAGCCGCTGGTCCAAACATGATTTGCAGCTACGCACAGCAAGCAACACAACCCTGGCCTCCGGATACGTACATGTACAGACAGACCTTACGTACCACCGAACCCACCCACTGACCTGACCGACCGACACTTCGACTTTGCAAAAGCGCGCCATCGCAGCAGTATCTTCAACGTTTTACCAGCCTGGCATTCCTCTCAGCCTTGCAACATCGCGCGATCGCAGCTCCCGAGTCTTCGCAATCCATCCCCCGGTCACGCAATCCTGAATCACCTTTGCTTGCTTTTGAACTCGGAACGCCGCACATCACGAATCCCAGCTGCCAGCGCCCAGGTACGCATTGCTTTGCCTGCATTGCGCTGATGATCACCTGCTGCCGCCTCCCGCCCTACCAGTCTCTTTTATAACACCAGGCATCGTCGCTCACCGACACCAAGCGCATCGGGGCTTGCCCTGGTCCTCGCCCGCCCAGCTATGAACTCACATCCATCCAAAAAGAACTGCGACAGGCAAAGGCCTCAAGAGGACGACCCGTCGCGCCTCATCAGAATGCCCACCGACCTCGTGGGCAAGCACGTCAGCCCCTTCCTCAAAGAACACATCCCTGGCATCTATGCGCCCATCGGGAAACAAATACCAGAGGACAGCATCGCCACCGATAGCAAGGCCACCAACAACGTTCAGAAAGATCCAAACACAAGGTTCTGTTACCGACACCGGCCAGACTCCAAGTGTCGTCGTGCCGCCGACGAGAACAAGATGGGCATCATTCAACGGGTGAGACCGTCCCGTCTTCCAAGACGTACCGCAGTGCTAACAACCACAGGATCTCAACAGCCTCTCATCTGCCGATCAGCAGGCCATCACCCACGTGTGGTCCCTCTTTTCCGCCGCGCCAGCCAAGCACCGCGAGCTCATGCTCCAAGGTATCATCACCCAATGCTGCTTCCCACAGCTTTCGACTGTCTCTCGCGAAGTACACGAGCAACTCAAAATCGACTTCCTCGCCGCACTGCCTCCCGAACTGTCCTACAAAATCCTCACATACCTCGACACTGTGTCGTTGTGCAAAGCGGCACAGGTCAGCCGCCGATGGCGTGACCTCGCTGACGATGACATGGTCTGGCATCACATGTGCGAGCAGCACATTGACCGCAAGTGCACAAAGTGCGGATGGGGTCTGCCTCTGCTCGAGAAGAAGAAGCTTGCCGCTTGGAATCGACACCACGCCACACACCACAGACAAACCGCTCCTGCAGAGGCTCCTCAAATCCTCGAAGCGCCTCGATCACCACCGTCACCTGGTTCGAATAAGAGACCGATGGGCGGCGGCGACTACACACCTTCGAAGCGACCCAAGCTTGACGCCAGTGGCAAGAGCAACTCACAGCTCGACGTGGAGCGCAAGTTCAGGCCGTGGAAAGACGTCTACCGGGATCGCTTTAAGGTGGGATACAACTGGAAGACGGGGAGATGTAGCATCAAAACGTTTAGGGGTCACGAGAATGGTGTCACGTGTCTACAGTTCGATGGCAACATACTGGCCACGGGTTCGTACGACGCGACCATCAAGATCTGGAATATCGCGACGGGAGAGGTTCTGCAGACACTGCGCGGACACACGCAGACCGTCAGGGCGTTACAATTCGACGAGGGCAAGCTCATCAGCGGGAGCTTTGACAAGACAATCAAGATCTGGAATTGGCATACCGGCGAGGTCCTGAGCACTCTTCAATGTCACACCGACGGCGTGTTGTCCGTTCATTTCGAAGGCAGCCTCCTGGCATCGGGTTCCATCGACAAAACTGTCAAGGTCTTCAATTTCGATACCAAGCAGACATTTTGTCTACGAGGACACACTGACTGGGTTAATCACGTGCGCATCGACTCCGCGTCGAACACTGTCTTCTCCGCATCTGACGATCTGACGGTCAAGATCTGGGATCTTAACACGCAAACCTGCATCAAGACCTTCAAAGGCCACGTTGGCCAGGTTCAGCAAGTGCTTCTCATGCCACCCGACTTTGAGCCTGACGAGGTCCTCAGCAATGACAACGACACAGGCTCCGTGAACAGCCGCCGCAGCGTGAGCCCGGTCCCGGAGTCGTCCGCCGACGACCGCACCGCGTACGGTTCCGGCTTTGCTGACGACACACGGTCCCTGCCCCCGCGGTACATGCTCACGGGTGGGCTGGACAACACCATCCGTCTGTGGGACACGGCCAGCGGCAAGTTCATACGGTCCATGTTCGGTCACGTCGAAGGCATTTGGGGTCTTGTCGGCGACACCCTGCGCGTGGTCACTGGTGCGAACGATTCGATGACGAAGATCTGGGAGCCCAGATCAGGCCTGTGCGAGAGATCCTTCACGGGCCATGCCGGTCCCGTTACCTGCGTTGGGCTGAGTGATAGTCGCATGGCGAGCGGCAGCGAGGACGGCGAGGTTCGACTGTACAGTTTCGAGGGAGAGAAGGTGGAGGAAAGGGGCACACCCTCATAATGAGCAACGACGGGATAAGTCATGGAACGGCGTTTTTGGATTTATTTATTGGCTACATTGCCTGCCAGGTGTTTTCAGCTTTTCTTCTTTTGGCAAGATACCATGGTGCACGGATTTTTTGGCATGGTCTTTGTGTGTTCCGGAGTGGATGTTATAGACATTCTGTCAGTGCGATTGCAAGAATTGGGATCGTCGTATAGCCCTGAATACTGTAATACTTCTGATACCTTCAACATCTACTATTCTGCTCGTGAAGTACTGTACGTATACTCACCCCACATTGACTACCACTACATGATGTCCATGTCGCTGGGATACCTTGGCGCACAGTACGAGGTCGTCGACACGGAGGAGGAGAGGAAGAATGTCCGGAATCTGGACAGCGTCACCAGTCCACAATGGCCCTTGTACTTGTTCCAGTGTAGCTTGGCATTACCACCCAGTTCCTTATCGCTGACGACGCCGCAGGTCTTGACAAACAATCTATCAACCAAGCAGCCATTTGGGGGCTTCGAGACGATTGAGACATCAGAGACTTCGAATTTCCTTGGGCTATCTCCCCGTCAAAAGAGGGACAATCTGTATCAGAGTGCCAGCAATGTTCTCACTTTGGCGCCTGCCCGTCGTTGGGGGTGGTGCTCAGGTGCATAGCCTCGGTTGATGACCTTTCCGTGATTGCGGCAGGCCCTTTTGTCTTAGTTCCTCCCAAAAGGGAGCACTGGCCAGGAATAGATGGCGTGAAGGTGACCAAGACTGGGGCAGTGGCGGTCTTTCCGGCTTTCAACATCATCAGCAGTGAGGATATCAGCTCAAAACCTTCCATGAGCTGAATTCAAAGATGGCAATTTTATTAACCTCGGTAACTCCATAGCGACGATAGACCTGGAAAAGATCTTAGGAGTGATGATGTGTTCCATCTACGGCAACAATTCCCTACAAATACATCTTCCACGGGGGGTCAATGACAGCCTAAACGCTTTGGGACATTGGCTGGAGATCTTGTCACATTGGCTGAGACTACATGTAGATTCAACTATTAGTGAGGGTCATGGCCTTTGTATAGGGTTTTTGAATCTTCTCTTCAATCAGGCACGGGTCTATTCCTATTGGAACTTGGAATGCTTCGCTGAGTGCACGTATGGAGGGTGGGATAGGGTTCTACTGGCTGGACCAGTCGGGAGCCTTGACGTAGTTTTCTTAGGTATAAACGGAGACCAAAGATGATTGGCTCCTACTTGAGGTTAGACAGAGGCTTAAACATATCATGGTTATATAATTGGACTGTAGGCAAGGACAAGCTATTACGTGGAAGACGAAATCAACAACACAGACGCCGTGGTTTGCCCAAACCAGCTTTTTGCCAGTTCCTCGAGACCATGGACGATTGAGGAGTTACTCCGACCTACTCTCTTTTCTCCATGCCTTGGCTATCTGGTCCTTCGGTACTAGATGTCCCGGCAGAGGATATATGTAGGAGGTGTTTGAGCTGCATGTATATGTAGCTTGCACATCTTAGCCTACATGCAGCACTATAGCCTGAAAGCCGCATCGGACATTACGTTAGTTGTCCGCCTCGGGAAATTTAGCCTACAACTATCAAATTCACAATTCGCTGGCTTGATCGCTTCGCCGTGCCAACTCTAACGATCCCAATCCCCTCACCCCCGGTCTTTCTGCTTCGAAACCCCGCGTTTGCTGCAATGGATAACAATGCCCAAGGAATTGAACACGGAATAACCGTCAGGTAGTGTTCTAGTTTTTCGTTCGAGACTCATGGTTCGGCAGCTACAAAAGAGAGCCAATCTCGAGTCCATCATGCTCCCCCCAAAACTTCAGTGACTGGGATATTGGCATATTAATTCAAGTCTGAATCTAGAAGTTGAGATCCGGTCTCAAAGCCTTTTCGACGCAATGAGGATCCATTCAGTCCTCTTCAGAACGCTGGTCTTAGACTTGCTGGGGCTGACTTTAGCCCACGAGCCTCTGCTGGCCTTCACGCAGGGAGTGAGCCCTTACCAACTTGCCTCCGAGGATACCTAACCCCATATCTATGTCGATACCGATGATTTCAGGGGCGTGCAACGCACCGCACAAGACCTCGCCGACGACTTTGGACGTGTGGTTGGCAAAAATGGCACACTGAGCTTGGTTGAGTCCCCAGACACCGTCCAGTGGTCCGACGGATCTGTCATCATTGCAGGCTCCATTGGTCACTCCATCTCATCGACAGCCTTATCACGGACCACAAGATCGACGTTGATGGGGTGAGAGGGGTTTGGGAAGCATATACCTCCGTTCTTGTTGAAGCACCATTCAGTGACGTGCCTTGGGCCTTGGTCGTTGCTGGCAGCGACCAGCGCGGTGTTTCTTATGGGCTCTACGATATTTCTGAGTAGATGGGTGTCTCCCCTTGGTACTGGTGGGCAGATGTGCCGGTGAAAACAAAGAGCGATATCTGGGTGCGCAAAGGGCCCAAGGTGCAGGGCTCTCCGTCTGTCAAATACCGCGGCTTCTTCATCAACGACGAATCGCCGGCCCTGACTGGCTGGGCTAACGGGAAGTTTACCAAAAGCGAGTATGGATCCTCCTTCACTGGGGAGTTCTACAAGCTTGTGTTTGAGCTCTGTCTTCGCCTCAAGGGGAACTACATCTGGCCCGCCATGTGGTCTAGCATGTTCTACGTCGACGATATTGAGAACGGTCACATTGCCGATGATTTGGTGTTTTCATCGGTACCAGCCATCACGATCCCATGGCGCGAGCTGAAAAGGAGCAAAATTGGTTCATGGCCGGACTTTGGGATTGGACTCGAAACCGCGATAATATTACACAATGTTTTGAGGAGGGAGTGGAGCGCGCAAAGAACTGGGACACGATCTACACGCTAGGAATGCGAGGTGAGGGAGACGCCGAGTCACCAACCTTGACTGCGGATGCTCTCGAAAAAATCATTCGAGTCCAGCAATCAATCTTGAAAGAGAAACTGGGACTAGAAAACGCGGGAGACGTTCCTCAGACTTGGGTCTTATGTAAGGTGAGAAGCGCACAGACGCTCTGGCGACGCCTCGTCCTGCTAACAGTTTGTGACTGGAAGTCGGAAAATACTACCAAGCCGGCATGAAGACGCCCGACAACGTTATCCTCCTCTGGACAGACGACAACTCGGGCGATATCCAGCCACTTCCTTTAGCCAACGAGACAGACCGCATTGGTGGAGCAGGTATCTACATCATCTCCTCGCATTGACAGAGAGCACGTACGACTCCCTTGACGAGGCGACAAAAGTTGCTTATTATCAGTTGATCATGCACCCAGTCGAAGCCGGCAAAACGGTGGTCGACCTCTACAACAAGCATGCCTTCAACGCATGGTACGCTCAACAAGGACGAACCAGCACAAATACAATGGCAAACGACGTGCAGGCCCTCTTCGCTCAAGATCAAGTCATTGAGGAAAAGTACCACTCACTAAACGGCGGCAAATGGGATCACTTTGTCAATCAGGTTCACATTGGCTACACCTACTGGCAGGATCCGCCAGCCAAGGCCATGCCAGATCTGATCTACCTGGACGAAAGCAATACCACCGATGATGAGATCATGGGGGTGAGCGTCCAAGGGAGCACCGCCTCGGCACCCGGCGCCCCATTGCCCGCACTGCTGCCTGTCGAACCATACATGCCGCCGACGGAAAAGCGGTACGTGGACATCTTCACTCGCAACAACGGCACATTTGCCTATCATATTTCTTCCAATGTATCCTACGTCTTTGTCACCAACGCTGAGGGCAGACTTGAAGCTCCCGGTTCCAGTTCGGATAGCCGCAGTGGGATATCGGTTGACTGCCAAGAGGCGCCGCCTGGAATCAGCTGGGTCGCCCTCCGCGTCAAGAGAACCGATGTCTGCAAAGGCCCTGCTGTGGTAGCATTATTGCCAGTCAACAAGAACTCCGTCCCAGATGAGTTCGAGGGCTACGTGGAATCCGGCGGCGTTGTGTCCTGGGAGGCGGAACATTACAGCAGCGCCGAGGAGAAGAACGGCCTCTCGTACATCACGATTCCCGACTATGGCCGCACCTTGTCTGGGCTGAAGCTATGGCCTGTGACGCATCCAGGGCGCACGCCAGAGGACACACCAAAGCTGACGTACTCCTTCTACTCCTTCACGGACCAGACCGAGGCTCAGTTGGTCGTCTACCTAGGCGGGTCGCTGAACCACGATCCCAGTCTCCCCTTGAAGTACGCTCACGCGCTCGAAGGGGGCAGCCCAGTTGAGGTGCAACCCATCCCCGACGAGGCTATGGGCAGCCTCCCACATGGATGGAACGAGGCGACAGTGGCTGGTGGTTGGACCTCGTACTCGACGCTGAAAGTGCCAGCTGGCGCCCACAAACTCTCGCTGTGGCTGCTTGAGCCGGGTGTTGTGGTGCAGAAGGTTGTCATGGATGTGGGAGGTCTCAAACGCAGTGCGCTTGGACCACCCAAGAGCCAGAAGGCTTGACTTTTGAAAGACTGTCGGTAGTGAGGTATTGAATACTGATTACCACGCTGGATCAGTTGGCTTCCTCAACCCAAGCACTCGCACTGGTCCTGTATATCAGGAAGATGATCAAGCTGATATTGAGAAAACCACTTGTCGAGCCTGATGGGCTATATGGTTGTGTAAGGACTGTGATTTTGCTACGTCCGAGAAATGATATCACTATATGCCCCGTCTCACCTCTCCACCAGACACTGGCCGCCACTAGGCTTGACAAGAAAGAACATTTTGGCGTGCATGTTCTCATCCGTCATGCCCTTCTTCTCAGACACAGTGGCATCGGGAAAGGAGAGGAAGAACTTGGCCGTAGCGATGCGAAGCTCCATCCACCCCAGGTTGAGTCCAAGGCAAGCTCTTGGTCCGCGCCCAAAAGCCGAAAAGGCATCTTTCATCTCCTTGGTGGGGTTTTCCCACCTCGCTGGGTCGAATTCAAGAGGGCGGGGAAAGATGGTGCTGTCCCGATGAAGGGTATACGCCTGTCCGGACACGACAGTCCCTTGTGCTAGATGGTGCCCGACAAGTTCAGCACCGCCGGGGGGCACAATTCGCGGCAAGCCGCCCGGTACTGCTGCGTACAGCCTCAAGGTCTCCTCAATGACGCATTGGAGATACGGCAGCTCGCGAAGGTGCACATCTGCAAAATGGACGGGGAGGGTGCGCAGTTCTTCCACGAGCTTGGCCTGAATGGAGGGCCGCCGGCAGACGGCCCACGTGAGGTATGTCATGGTGATGGCCGTCGTGTCCGTGCCGGCGATGATGTAGGTCTGCGCAGCACCGCAGAGCTCGTTGAAGGGGAGCTTGTCGTCGTCCTTGGCCTTGTTCATCTTTGTGAAGAGGGTGTGCGCGGCGCGAGAGGGGTCCGAGTCGATGAGACGTTGGTAGCGCGAGAGGGAATCAGAGATATAGGTGTCAATGTTCCTCGAGGCCTGGCGGGCTCGCTCAAACGAACCGATGGGTAGGATTTTGGTCAACGGGATCAAAGTCGGAAAGGTGGCTCTAACGCCGCCTAGTTGAGCGACGTTTTTCAGGTCGTTGGTATACATCGAGGGCTGTATGATGGTCAGTGTTAGCATCGCCCTCCGGATGATCTTTCAGCACGTGAAGTGTACTGACCTTGCCCTGTTGCAGAGTCCGAAACGATTCACCAAAGGTGAGCTCCCCGATGACATCGGTCGAGAGAAACGTCCACCACTTAAGCAGGTCCGCAGCCCCACGCTCATCCATCTCTTGGTCGATCCTCTTCATTGTCAGATTGACCAGGCTCACAACGGTCGGCTCAAACGATTTAATGTTGGCCTCCATCATGGGTGAGCCCAAGAGTCTTCGATGGCGTCGGTTGAATGCAATGTCCGACGTGCTGAAGATCGTCTCGTTGTCGCTGACGGTGACGTCCTGATAGAAGCGAGACTTGACAAACGTTTCTCTGCTGTTGTAAATTGTTTTGACGCCTTCCACGGTCGAGACGCTGACTTCATTAGGGCTGACGCGGACAATTGGGCCTGGACATGTGTGAGCGACATGTACGCGTGGCACGGAGGGATGATGTTACCGTATGTGGCGTGGAGATCATGGACGTAGTACGCCTTGTTGCCCTTGAGCCAGTGGTACGTGACGACGACAGAGGTCCATCTGGAGTACCAAGGACCCGGGACTTTGGAGATTGGTTTTCTTAGTGTCGTAAAGATTAACTAGCCGGGGCAGATTTTAGTCTGGTTGGCTGTGTCGACGGGGTTGGATCTTGACTCACGAATCCGATGGTGTACAATACCACGGCGGCCAGGAGGCCGGTGTTGGCGCGCAACACGTCTGAGATTCGGGTGGTGGACTCCATCGCTGTCTATGTACGTAAGTAGCTATACGGATAGAAGAAAGAGAACTTTGATGGACCATGGATGCAGTCCATCAAGATATATATACACCTCCGCAAATATGCCTTGGGTGATGCCTCGCGCAATCAGCAGAGGGGAAAAAGTGGTCTGTCAGCTTATCTGCAGACTCCGAACAGTACGAGCGGCGAAGTACATGCATGAAGTGCCGACTGCCGACTGCCCCCTGGCGGATGACTTTTGAATATGCAGTCTGCTGAAAGCCAGCACGTATTCCCGGACGATGGGCAGGGACCAGGGGAGAGAGCTGCGACCACTGTCTGATTTGAGATCAGCACGTCTTTGGGAAAAGGCTGTCGAGTGCATCATAAACGACCGCAATCACGGCGACGGTGGGTTATAAGAGCGAGTCCTGGGACATTGGGTCCAAGAGTGGTGGATATTTCAGGCCTATCACTGGTATCCAGTCATCCATTTGTGCCGATGGCCCCTTTGCATAGTTCCAACCCGCGAAGATGCCCTTGCCGGATGCCACGTACTCGCTGCTTGGAAGCATCGGGTATTTCCTGATTTGGCGAAGATCAGCGTAGAAACATGATCATGCGTAAGGATTGGGTTAATCCCGAGCCCTTATGTTCATATCTTCAAAATCGCTTCAATATTGAATCCACCCAGAACGAGAGGTCATCCAGAGATATGTGCCGACCTTTGCATGCGGGCTTTTGTGCCTGATAGCACAGTGGTGCGGTGCAGATGATCGGGGTGGATCCTCGTAATCCGGATCCGAGTCCGGGAAGATTGCCGGCGAAGGCGGGGCCGGAATCTGGGAAAATTAGCGAAAGGGAGGGAGTCGGACTAGAGTGGAAGGAGCGTCCGGGCGTCAAAATTCCGGACGCGGAATGGAGAGCACGTGAAAACAGTCGACTTGATGAGGTTAAAGCGGCTGACTCATACATAGGGCATCCCTCACCGAAGTCGCAGCCGCCTGTCACAGTTGCCGGCTGGTGGTGGTGTTTCAGTTCAGACTAACCAACTCCAGCGCTGGGGTCTGGAGTCTGGACCTCGGCTGCTACCGGCAAGACGACGCTGGCCGAACTTTGTCTCGGCCCTGGAGTCCGAGCAGTCATGAGCCACTGACCGATCTCCAACTTGTGTCCGTTTTGGGGAACAGAGGCTGATCACAGCCTGCTTTCCCCGCATATTCACAAGCTGATCGGCTTGGGGTCGGCTATGGGCAGGACGTTGTCGACCTACGTCATACCACGGATGCACGTTCGTAGGCTGTGGCCAACAACAGCATCATGGCAAGCTTAATTGATTATTTGGACAGACAGCTTGTAGCAATTGGAGATCTGTGGGAAGGGTGCAGGACTTTAAAAAAGTGAGTAGATCTGAGATTCCTCTGCAGAGTTCGGCACAGGCTCCTCCACCATCAAGCGAAGTCCCCCATCTGCCCCGCCTCTTCCGTCCGGCCGGTGTCCAGTGACAGTCCAGTCCCGTCCCTGCTAACGTCAGTCTGTCCAGTACATGTAGGTGCGTGACGGCACCCAGAAGTATACTACGCGTGCGAGCAGGACAGCCGCGGGACTGGAGCTGGGACTCGGACATTTTGGTAGACTACCGCGGATACGTAGGAGCCACCATGGACGCAAGCCACGGTAATAGTACTTGACGAGATGGATGAAGATAAAGGACAATATGTGTAGACTCAACTGTACTCCCTCGCCATCCCTCCCCAGACTAGACTTCCTTTTGTGGCGTTTTGTGCGGACCAAGTGACCTACGGCGGCTATCATATGCAAATTCCGACCAATTCGAGGCACCGCAACCGAGACGCCCTGAGACCAGCCAGACCGACCCTGGACCTTGGAGCTGGCTGCCACACACGCCGCACCTCTTGGAGACTGGAGCTCCCATCGATCTACATACATTGACGTGCAGCGTCCAGCGATCCATCTTTCCGAAAGAACCCGTTCGTTCGCTGCTTGCTTGCTCCTTGTTCGGGACTGTGAGTGATTCATACGTCTACTACTAATTGTATATCTTGTGGGCACGCGCTCAGTGGCTTGACACTCTCACTGCCATCTTAACTTTGCTTTCCGGCTCTCACTGCCCTTCTCTGAACGAGCGCGCACCCTCCTCACTCCTCACCTCGTCGCGCCCTCACAGCCAGCTCACCATGCCGCGGACAACCGATGGCAAAAAGCAGCCTCCCACGGCCGCCGTCAACCTCATCGGTACGTCCCAATGGTCTTCTCCCCATTGCTCCTGCCCGTCCACTTTGTCTCACACGTAAAACAGCCGGAGGAGGCGCCGGTATGATGGAGGCGCTGGCCTGCCACCCCCTCGACACGATCAAAGTACGCATGCAGCTCTCTCGCCGCGCACGTCAACCCGGCGCCCCGAAACGAGGCTTCCTCAAGACAGGCTCCGAGATCATCAAGAAGGAGACGCCCCTCGGTCTATACAAGGGTCTCGGTGCCGTTCTCACAGGCATCGTGCCCAAGATGGCCATCCGCTTCACCTCCTTTGAGGCCTACAAGCAGTCCCTCGCGGACAAGAAGACAGGCATCGTGTCCGGTCGGGCGACCTTCCTCGCGGGCTTGGCGGCCGGTGTCACAGAGGCCGTCGCCGTGGTGACACCCATGGAGGTCATCAAGATCCGGCTGCAGGCGCAGCACCACTCCATGGCCGACCCATTGGACGTCCCCAAGTACCGCAATGCCGCGCACGCGCTGTACACCGTCGTGCGCGAGGAAGGGCTCGGCGCGCTGTACCGCGGTGTCAGCCTGACGGCCCTGCGCCAGGGTTCGAACCAGGCCGTCAACTTTACCGCCTATTCGTACTTCAAGGATTGGCTCAAGGTGTGGCAGCCGCAATACGAGGGCAAGAACCTGCCCAGCTGGCAGACCACCATGATCGGTCTGGTGAGCGGTGCCATGGGCCCGCTGAGCAACGCGCCCATTGATACCATCAAGACCAGGCTGCAAAAGGCACCGGCGGAGTTTGGAACGAGCGCGTGGACAAGGATAACGAGGATTGCCGCCGACATGTTCAAGTGAGTTTTGTGCGCCGTCATGTGAGACACATGTCACTAACAATTATTCCCCAGACAAGAAGGATTCCACGCCTTCTACAAGGGCATCACACCGCGCATCATGCGTGTCGCGCCGGGTCAGGCTGTGACGTTTACCGTCTATGAATATCTCAAGGACAAGCTGGAGAGGAGCAACCTCGCTTTTACCGGAGGCAAGTACGAGGAGTAGAGGTGGAACAGACTGCTCACAGAGCCAGTGCTGGAGCCTGCTGCGTAGGTGTGTGGTGTGTGGTGTGGGACGTTCTAACATGTATCTGCGCGTGTAGTCCAAGTGAAGGAAGACGCCGAGGCGACGGTGTAAAGGCATGTCCTTGCAGAAGAGCAAAGGGGGTCGGCGGATGGGACAATGAAAAGGGCAAAGCGGGCGGCGGCATATTGTGCATGCAATGCTGTGATACCAGCACTTTTGTATCGTCTAAATGAATTTACTTGTCATGTTCTTGCATCCATCGCGCTCGCTGCTTCAAGTCAATGTGTCGAAATAGCAAAACAAACAAGCTCACCGGCCGGGACGCTTCGGCCGGCTGAACCCCTGTCGCGATGTCGTTTTTGGATGCAGGTCTTCCATGACGCCCTGCTCCGTGATCTCGCCCGTGTCCTCAAACTCGAAGCGTTTCTCCAGCTTCAGACCAGCCTCTTGCTCCGCGACAGTGACAACGGCGCGCTTCATGAGCGGGTAGAGCATGCGGCTCTTGATCGACTTGCCCGCGCTAGCGGGGCACGTGTAGAAGAAGAGGACCGGGCTCTGTTCGGCCCCGTTGTGCGTGTGCTGGAAGCGGAAGAACGTAAAACGCGGCTCGGTCGTCGAGATGACCTGGACGAGCTCGGGGATGGTAGTCGGCGACGGTGATTCGGGCACGAGCTCGATGATCTCAGTGTCTGTGTTGATTTTCTGCCATTGTCAGTCGCCGTCCATGGTGAAGAGGTGGGCAGGGCTAGCTAGTTTACCAGCATCACCACAACGCGGCCACCCTCTTGGCCGACCTCCTGCATCGCAGCGAGCGCGTCCTCCTCCACCGGCATGTTGAGATTCTTGCTGAGATGAATCTCTCTCTGGCCGGTGCCCGAGCCAGCTTCCTGCTCCGCCCTCTTGACCTCACTCAAGGTTCGCTCCTCCTCCGTCAACGGCGCCGCGAGCTTGGTGTGGTCCTCATGGCTCTTGAACCCGCTCTCGGTCAGCTCTCTCGCCTCGGTCGTGAAGATGCTCTCGCGGAAATGCTCCGTGCCAAGCTCCCTGACCAGAGTGAGACGCGTCGAGGCGAACAGCATCTTCTGGCGCACAGGCGCCGAGTCGGGGACATACGTCACGGCGATCAGGTGGGGGGCATCGTCGTGGCGGCGCAGGATGGCGTACAGCGCCGCATCGGGCTTGATGTGTGGTTGCAGCGCGGAGAGATTCTCATTGAACGATGAGCCCTTGGCTGCGAGGGTCTCGACGGGGAGGAGCTGTTCCTTGTCAATGGTGACGAGGAGGCCGAACGTCGAAGGGCTCTCCAGCAAGGAGCTGAATTGAGCTTGCAGCTCCTCGGACGCTGCGTAAGTCAGCTTGGTGTTGCCCTATGGGTCCGTCGATCTGTACCTGAGATGCCTGATTGCATGGTGATGTCTGTATGTCTCGGCAATGGTCTAATTGACCATCAGAGCTGGAGAGGAATGTATCGATCACCACGGAGGTGGGCCCGCTGCACGACGCCTTGGACCCCACCTGGTGATGCTGGCACGGCAGCTCACGGGGCTGACGAGCTCTCTCTCCGAGGGCGCCCCCCTACCCTATAGTTGGGCTTCGACTAGATCCCTTTTTCAGACCAGAGGATAATGTCCATAAAGATCGGTGTATGTGGTGGCCAGTCTAGAGATATATGAGTTTTTTCGTTTGGAATCACTCATTCCCTGTCTCTTGTTGGCGGTACCCTATCCTCGGCTTTTCGCATTGCAATATAAACTCTTGGCTCATGTTTTCATTTGAGTTACTCTCAGGTGCCACGAGGTCCGTGTGTAAGTTCCCGACGCGTTGAAAGAATGAAGGCCGTCTTGAAATTACGTCGGAAGGTAGCTCATTTGATTATGAGCTCAATGACATATCACCGGCCATGCCAGCATCCTCGCGATCTAGAGACGGGCGTTTATGATTTGGACATGTGTGATGAGCTTCGAAGATGCCAAGATTAGTAACACTCGGTACCGAGAGGCGAATTTTTCAAGAACGCACAACGACCCAATACAATCAGGCCAAGGAGCGCAGTCACTGCATTCTCTAAATGACACTGGCGAGCGTGGTACCTTACGGGTAGGAGACTCTCTTCGCGAAGTCCAACAACGCTGAGACCTCATAAAAGGTACGTACCTTTCGTGCACTCGTCCTCGGATGACTCAGCGTCACGCTGGGATCTTCCAACTCATGTGACCTGGTCCCGCCGCTCGCACAGGCCCACATTCAGGGCACGAAAACCCCAGGCGCCAAATCGAAACTCGCAATTGCCCGCCAAAACTTGCGGACACTGGCATCGCGAATCTCTACTCACCGACAACCACCCATCGAAATCAGTCAAGATGTCCGGCCAGGCCCTCAACAAGATCGCGCCCAACAGCCCCTCGAGGCAGAACCCCTCTGAGCTCGAGCAGAGCATTGCTCAGGCTCTGTTCGACCTCGAGACCAACACCGCCGACCTCAAGGTCGCCCTGCGCCCTCTGCAGTTCGTCTCCGCCCGTGAGGTATGAATGAAACCCAACACTGAAGCCGAACTCTTCTACCCCCAACACCACTCTCTCGAGATCCTGTTTCCAAAGAGGACAATCAATGGCTTTTGCGAGCGACTCGACGGATCTCCCCCTGTGCGCCCCTCTTCGACCCGCGCGTTGAAAAAAGAATACCTGCACCGGGGGGGTTTCGTGCGGTCGCACGCCACTGCCAGTGTACACATTGACTTCTGAGGAACAGGACGGGAAGCGGTCCAAGGCTTAGTCCTGGAGCTCGCATGCTGACTTGTGGTCTACAATAGATCGAGGTCGGCCACGGCAAGAAGGCTGTTGTCATCTTTGTCCCCGTCCCCTCCCTGGCCGGTTTCCACCGCGTCCAGCAGCGGTAAGTACACCTAAAGGTTCTCTTCAAGGCCAACACCCTCTAACACGCGGACAGCTTGACTCGTGAGCTCGAGAAGAAGTTCTCCGACCGCCACGTCCTCATCCTCGCTTCGCGCCGCATCTTGCCCCGCCCCAAGCGCTCGGCCCGCAGCCGCAACACCCAGAAGCAGAAGCGTCCCCGTTCGCGCACCCTCACTGCCGTCCACGACGCCATCCTCGCCGATCTCACCTACCCAGTCGAGATTGTCGGCAAGCGCGTCCGCACCAAGGAGGACGGCAGCAAGCTCCTCAAGGTCATCCTCGACGAGAAGGAGCGTGGTGGTGTTGACTACCGCCTTGACACCTACTCTGAGGTTTACCGCCGCCTCACAGGCCGTGCTGTCAACTTTGAGTTCCCTCAGAGCCAGGCCACCGACTTTTAAATGTCTCGTCGGTAACTATGGGGGATTATATCCAATGGGGTTCGGGGAGTGATTTTTCTAGCATCAAACCGGTTTATCAAAAAGGGCATGGCGTCTTTTGAGAGAGAGAGGTAGCTTTGTAATGACACAAGCTGCCATATGATCTGGCACGAATCACTCCGCTGGGTCTCCATTGCATCTTGATCCTGGGTATCATTTGTCGCTGCTGCCTATAGGAACGAAAATATCACTCGTGACTGATCTGTCCTACGCCAAGCACGCACCAATATGCCAACTCCCGCTTCTGCCCTTCGTTTCTGTCCTTGCCAACAGAGTCTCCAACATCGTGTTGTGCCTCTGGCTCCCACTCCATGCGTACAAACATGGGGATCTCCAGAATCTTTTCGTCTTCCCGGAGAGGCGATCTGTCGGTCGGCTCCCCCGACGCCGTATGCGGCCGCAGACTGTCCACAGTGAGCAGTGGAGGGATGACCTCCAGGATGATAGACACCCAGTTTCGGCCCCTCTTGTAGATCTTGCCGGCCTCAGCCTGCCCCGTCTCCTCAGTCCTCGAACGGTCATCGCCGTCCAGTGCGTCTTCCCACATGTCTTTGACAGGGTCAATGTCGAATTGTGGGCACAGCAACGCAACTTTGCTCGAGAAGCGCCCGGGGGTATTATTCGGCGTAGCCAGTGATACCTTGAGCTTCTCGAAGAGCGGATTTTTGAACGTCAAGATGTACTGGTATGGTTGTAGGGGCTTCAGAGGCGGCTCCTGCGGTTGTTGTGGACGCATGCCTACAGGCACAGGGGGCGCTAGTGGCTCCAGAGGACGGATCGTTATGCTTGGTATGTAGGACTTGGCCACTAGCTTGATCTTGAAGCGGGTTGATCCCACCTTGTTCTCCGGTTTCGAGATGATGTGTCGGCAGACAGCACATCGCCTCGACCTCTTTGTCCGTAGGACGCACTGCAGCGGGCGCAGCTCATCCTGGAAATGGGCGTGCTCCAACTGCGAGAGGAGCTGGTCCTTGGACACCGTCTCGTCCCACCCACCATCCAACAGCTTCTGCACTTTGGCGGATTCGTCGAGCTGTGCGAGCTTGAGGCCTTTATCCGTATCGGTGGCTTCGGGGAACATGTCAGGCGGCCCGGCTGTCTTGCCTTGCGCCCCGCGGCCGCCAGGCTGCCACATGCTCATCATGCGCGTCAACGCTGCGGGTGAGGAGAAGTTGTGGCCATCACCAAGGCTCAACCCTCCAGGCAGGCCATTGCTCGGCCCATTGATCTGCGACTGGTAAAAAGTCTTCAAGGCGCTGTACTGTAGCTCCGCATCGACCAGCTCGTCTTCAAGTGGCGGCATGTCGGGTTCCTCCTTGCGCCTCTCTTTGAGCTCCTTGGCCGTGATTTTGGGGATGCCGCCATTCTTCATCTTCGCAAGCTGGCTGGGTATGCCGCTCGCGCGTTCAAATTCGAGGCCAATCTCACTCGATACCCAACTGCAGTACTGGCAGAAGAGGGCATAAGGCCCGTGCGGCGCAGCGGTGGCATTGTCGGCGGAGAGGAGGTTCGTTTCGGGTTCAGCCTGGACTTCGCCGACTTGGACAGGTCCCGAGCATATAGGGCACTGGTAACAGTTGCGGGTGCAGCTGTGAATAGTTAGGTAGCTGAGCAAAGATGTAACCAGCCGCGGCACCTGGCACGTACCGGTTGCCGTCGCTCCTCAAATTGCTGCTCGCCACTTCGAACAAGCAATTGGGGCAGTAGTAGGTCACAATCTCCTCATCGACGCATCTCGGGCAGCGGATCTGCTGGCACTCTTCGCAGTAGAGCAGGTATTCCAACAGATAAAGGCTGTAGTTGGACCGCGGGGCTCGTGGATCAAAAGTGCGCTCCGCGTCGTGGAACGAGTCGCCTTCTGGGGAGGACGCGTCGCTGCCCTCGGCTGGCTCTTCGTTGGAACAGGGGCATTGTATGTACGTGTAGGGGGGCGAAGAGGACATGCTGAGCTACATCGCGAACGGAGAAGAAAGAGAGAAGAATAGTTGGTCTTTGTCAGGGCACATTGGGTCGTTGGTCGCGCTCAGTCAACAGCTGCCTCACCGAGGAGACAAAGAACGCTTAGTCATTCAAGCCGCTTGATCGACAAAAAGACGTGGAGACTTGCGTCACACGGAGTGCCGCAAGAAAGTCCCGCCATAAGTATGTCAATTAGGATACCCCTCCTTGACCAAGATCCCGCTGTCTTTTAACTTTAGATGACAAGCTTCTTCAACAGCACAAACAGGCGACGACGGTTTGGTCAAGGCTCATCACGACTCATCGTTTCAGTTCAATGTTGACCTGGCTGTTTCATACGGTCTCACCAGGAACTAAGAGGGGCATCAGCCCCGATTGTGATCGTTTACGTTCGGCATGCACACCCAATTCGCACGCCGAGACATGTATCACCCATCCACGTCTACTAACAATCAAGAACCTTCTGCAAAGGCAGAAGAGCGAAGAACAAAAACAGCAAAAAGAACACACCAAAACATACAACAGCCGGTATTCGCTGGTCGTCACCGACCCAACTACTAATCAGCCCCTCAGCGGCTTGACTATGGGAGAGCGGACGGGATCCCGTATTTTCCACTGGGTATGGTCGTATGTGATAGAGAGGAGTGTTGTTTCATAATATGAATGTATTGCTTGCCTCTCAGCCGCGTACCTAGGGCAAAACGTCTGAGTTCCATGCCGACCTCACCTGAACCCAGTGACATTCATCAATCCTGCCTCGCCAATTGCAATCTGGGCTAGGTCTTCGTTTTCTGGATCGTCGACCCCATCGGCAGCAAAATTAGCAGGGCGGTTCACCGCTCCCCCCCTGCGATGGTCAATAACGTGGGCGCTGTGCAGGTCATCCATTGGAATTTGGAACCATTGAAATTTAGGACGCAGGAAACAAGGAGATCGCCCACGAATTTCAGATCGTCCTCTTCAACAGGTGCCCAGCCATGGATTGAGTTTGCCAAGCAGCGTGGGAGGAGATGCAGCTAGTCATGATGAAAGCCAATGTCGGCGCCAGGCTATCCGGGAGGGTAGCGCGGGGACCATCCCTGTAAAGTACCACCAGGCCGTCAAGGAGATGGATGAATGATGCCACTTGCGCTCGAGGAAGGTTGACAATTCCATCTCGATCAGATTGCCGCCAGCGGTGAATGACCCTTCGCACTTGAATACTATCTAGACTAGACAGACGGCTGGATCGGGCTCGCATGCCGCTACGTATGCGCCTCTACTCCGTCCACGTAGGAGCTCAGCTCTCGACGTGGCATGTCCTTCAGATTGGATTGGCGATCCGCCTCCTCCCCCTCCCACACACCAGATGCCAAGACATGGCTAGCTAGCGAGCTATCGTAAGACGTGCATGGTCATCATGATGGCGACCCAGGAAAATGTCCAGACTTCCGGAGCTTATCATCTGCACCCTATCGCCAATGCCGTAAACGTCGTTTTACTTCACTTCACTTCACCGCACACCTCTCGTCCCTAGAATTCGCTTCTGGCTCGCTGGTCGAGTAACAAACGAAACAGACGGCCGTTGTTCATTGCTATTGTCGTATGAGAATCACGTCACCTCGTCGTGAAATGGTCCATTCGTCGCCCTGACGTCTCTCCACAGGCCAGTCGCCCTGTGCTACGCACGCACGTACGGACTGCACAGCTCGCCCCTTGTTGCAGGTGCACGTCGCACACGGAAAAGTCTCACCTTGCTGTGTGCGCTGGATTGTCGTGATATCACACATATACACGGCAAGGTGCATGGTCGCCGCGCCCTCCATCCTTGTCCCCCAAATTGGGCTGTCGATGCTCGGGCCAGCTGCCCTCATCATATTCGCGCTGGTAGGCAGCCATACCTCTTCTGCTTCACCACCCACGATATGATGGGTGGTTCCTTGGCACCACCTCGGACGAGCAGCTTGAGTGCACTCGTCGCTGCCCACGCTGGGCCAGCAACAGGGCCGATGAAGAGATGGGACGGCGCTGCCAGGTCTTGCTACGAATGGGACGGACTGCACAAGGTATGTCGACACGCTGCCAACGCGCCATCAGCTGCTGCGATGCTGACACGCAACTGAAGGACCCGGACCTGTGGCTTCGTGGAGGTGACTGTCTGGTCTATCTGTACGGCCAAGGACAATCGCAAAGAGGACCATCCTTCCAAATCTGCTTCAAGGAGCTCGTTCGCCAAAAATGCAGGCCATTCATCGAGCGATTCGCGATCAGCGACGGCGCACCTCTACCCAGAAATGCGCGACAGCTCGAGGGATGGGCGGCTACCGCATCACGACCGATCAAGCTCTACATACCGCCGCCCAACAAGGCCACGAGAGGGCAGGCATTTGCGTACCACATTGCGACGAGGAACTTTTTAGCATGGGTATTTCGACAGTCCCTGGTGGGCGAGCATTTAGGCTCTGCTATTGTCGGGCTCATGTGTAGCATGCACGAGTTCCGGTCCGACGACGTGGAAGACCATGCTGCCGACGTGCACGCCTATCTGGACGAAGAGGGCTATCTCAACTTGGTCAGCCAGCCCAACCACGCGCTCGGGCTGCTCTACTACGCGGAGACATTTCGCATCCGGGACACGTACGTTCGAGCGCTGGCTCACTGCGTGGGCATGAGTGACCGGCTGCACGCGTGTCCAGGATACCCCGTATGTGAAGCCTCTTTTTCTCGGGTCAGCAACCTCATCGTCGCTAACACAGAGAGCAGGCCCTATCACTAGCCACAAAGAATACGATTCGACAAAGTAAAGTAAGCCTGGACGACCGCCAGTCAGCAGCTACGGACATGCTCAGCGATCTGCTGGACGAGGAGCTCTCCGAGGCCCAGCTGGGGATACCAGCCGCCCTGCGAGCCCATCTGGAGCGGTTCCGCAGCTATCTCATGTCCATGTACACCAACCGTCTCGGATACTATCCCCCTCGGGCCTTTGACTCGCATCTCTGCCGCACGATGCGGGACGAGTTCGAGTCGCTGTACCACCTCTTGGTGGACTACGCCCATCCCGCCGCTGGCGGGCTGCCCTCGGTGGCCAGCGGCGGCCTCTGCACCCTGCAGCTCGTCAACACCTTTGACACGAGCAACCGCTACGCGCCTCTCGACCATCCACTACCCCTCCTGCCGGACGTTGCGGCCGGGGGTGCCTCCAAGTTCACACCCTGGAGGGCGCGCGCGGACAGGATGCGCCCGGAGAAGAAGCTGCTCGCCCATGCCGCGCTCTTGAAAGCCTCCCACGGGCACGAGGCGGCGCCCAGCAACGAGCTCGTGCGCGCGTACCGCACCTTTGAGGAGGAGTCGGTCTTCTCACCCCACAAGGCGGACAAGCTGGACAAGGTGTCCCTTGTGGACGGTCGCAAGGTTCGGTGGATCCTGGTGTATGCCGTGTACCAGGTCCTGCTCAGTATCACCAATGTCCCGCCCGAGGTGTACGACGCGGCGGAGGCACCGTACCACCTCGCGATTGGCACCCATGTGGACGATCTCGTGCCTTGGGCGGGCACGGAGGCGCCTATCCTGGGCGGATTGTCCGAACAGAAAGAGCAGGGTGTTGCAACGGACAACACACAACCAATACGGTGGGCGGACTCGGCTGGCGTTACACTGGTAGATGATGTCGAAAGGATCGAGATCAAGCCCGACATTGACTATCTCGCACTTAACCATCGCGAGACCCAGGCTTTGCATGAGAGGAATCATGTGGGCCAGTCGATGAGCACGGGGACGTTGGCGCGGGCGAGCTCTGTTAAGAACCGGCTCAGCAGGAACTCGACTGTGCGGCGGTCGCTGCGGATGTTCAGACCTTCGTCCACGGGACAGTCTGTCGATGGCCCCTCGTCGTCATCGACGATGACGTCGTCGCCCAAGCCCACGTATCACGAGATCATGGTGCAAGGCTACGGCAACGGTCTCAACCGCGTCAGCAGTCCCTGCGACGCATGGCATCGCAGCAACTCGACAGCATCAAAGGCATCCACCAGCGACTCGGTGCCAGGCAGCACGAACAGCGGCGACACTGTAGAGTCGTCCCTCGTCACGCCGACGTCGGAACCCGGACATTTCGACCTTGCCCTCGATGGAGGGCAGCCCAGGCCCGATCCGCGCGGGCGCCAGGTCGTGTCGATGGTCGTTGATCCGTCGGACATGATGTCATTCGCCAGTGGACTGCGTCGCACAGGAAGCTTATTGTGGCCGGCGAGGCGAGGCCCCGAGGTGAAGCAGCCGCCTTTGCACACGCCCGGGCAGACGGACAGGAGACGGATCTCGCAGCCCCAAATCGCTGTGCAGGATGACTGGGCTGCCATGCAAGCTTTCATGGACGGCGTGGACACGCGACAAGACGACGCGTGGGAGCAGTACGCCTCGATTGGCGGACTGACGGAGATGCGATGAGTATTTTGCATTCGCGGAAGACGGTGCAACACGTCCTGGCGGACGACTTTCCTATATTTTCATTGTTCTGTTTTGGTTGTTACGAACGATACCCTCCCTGGAATCTGTTTTTGTTGCATTTTGACTGCGGAAGCGGTAATGACTTTGAGCAGCCCCAGATGCTTGCTTGCTTTCTTGCTTGCTTTTGCTTTGAAAGACACACCGTGTGCTTGGAATCTCTCGAAAAGTTGCTGCGTACAAAAAGAGCGCTTACACATAGACGGTGTTTGAGTATACATGTCTTGGGCACCGCGCTACTCAGCGGCTCGGAATGAATAAAGTTGTACTTCTGCCCTAACGCTTTCGGGTGTGCCTCTCGAACCCCCTTTTGAATTCTAGAGAAGCATTTCTCTACAAGTGATCACAGTCTCATCAGCTGGTACGCATCGACGTGGGTTTATGCGCTCTTTCTGTGCTCAGACGCCATTGCCAACCCGTCGAGGATGTTTCCACCAAAGTCAAAGATCATGTACCCTGAGCCCACCAGCCAGGCGCCACTGGACGAGTCAGAAAAACGATGGCTACCAAACACAGACTAGGGAGGGTCAAGACTCACTTGGGGATGATCCAGAGGAAGAGTAGGTCGAGGGGCGCATTGTGCCCAATGCCAGCGAAGCCGCTGTAATACTCATTCGCCCCTAACCATGTTGTCAGTACAAAAAATTCAAATCACCACAGGGAAAGAGAGCAACGCACAGTACAGGACCGTCTTGCTCAGGGTCATGACGGCCGCGCTGAGGCCCACCAGAGCGGCCTTGCCGCCCCTCCGGCCGTCGAGCGTCCATGATCCGCGCTCGTAGCACATCCACAGGTATACCAGGTACATGACGATCTCGACGGCGTTGAGGAGGCCCTGGGCGCTGGTGAAACCGAGATGATCGTGCACCGCCTTCCAGCCGTACACGTAGTCGATCTCGGCGTAGAGGGCATAGGGGACGTAGAGGGGCCAGTGGAGGAACCCGCCGGCCATGGTGTGGGGTCTACCGAGGACGTATACGGTGTCCCAGAGGACGAGGGGGATGGAGATGGCGAGCCAGAGGAGCGTGAGGCGCGAGGGCGCGTGGGACCACGAGCCTCGCTTGGGGTTGCTGCTGCTGCTGCTGCTGCTGGGCTTGCCGGAAAGGAGAGGGCGCTCCTCGGCGCGTGAGGAGGCGCGCGTGGAGACCATGATTGCTATGTTTTCTTTGCTGCTTTGATAGATTCGATGTTGTGAGTAGGGGAGTGAGGGGGAGGGGGTGGGAAGACGCGATGTCAGTTCGCGCTTGCAGGGGATGATCAATCATCACTGCATCGGCCGGCCCCCATTGGCTTTCTGCTTACCCTACTGGTCGGTGGCAGCACAGCGGGCGATGCACCCACCATGCAGGCTATCGCGAAATCTGCTGAGAGCCTGTCAATTGGTGATTTGCAGCACAGGGATTCGGAAGAGCCAATGGTAGTGATAAACGCTCAGGCAGTCAGACTGCCACAGCTACTGCCTGGCCTAGCAACACAAAGTCGACGGCTTGCAAATTTGGTGTACTTACTATAACGTTTGCGAGAGGTGAGCGCACTAACTTTGTCGGGCAGGAGTCTGTGGCAATTTCTGTAATATGATGCGCTGCTGGATGTGGTAGGACACTACACCTTGAATGTATTATGTGGTACTTACGCGATGAGGATGTGCGTTTTGGGTAGGCTGGTGTAGACTCGTCTCACGGGCAACAGCATGAACGTCAAAGCGCACCATCGAACATCTTCTATGGGCACCTCCAAGAGATCACTCTTAGATCTATTATCGTCAAATGCAACATGCAGCCCCCAGTCACGCTTGCTGCTTATCTTTGGCAGGCGGCGCAAAACTCTCGCCTCCGTTTGCGAGATACGCCTCCTCCTCCTTGCTGGACACCCTGCCCAGCGGTGCATTGCGATGGGGATAACGCCCAAATTCCTTGATAATATCCATGTGCTTCTCCTCCATCGATAGTTGCAACTTGGCCAGGTCCAGCACCGCCGTCTTGCCGTCGACCACCTTGGCTGCCCTGGCTCTGGCCTCATCAGCGTCCACCTGGCTCGTCGTCGGGTCGACCAGGGCCTCCATGTCCGTGACAAATTCCTCGCACATCTGCATCGCGCGACTGTGCGTGGGCAGATCCTCTGAATGAACGAGAGGCAGGTAAAACCACATCCTGCGACAGATGACCCACCGGATGGACGGGTCCTCGAGGGCACCGGCGGCCAGGGCCATTTCGGCGACGTCCCGCGCCAGAGGGTCGTAGTAGCGAAAGACAATCTCTGATGACATGCCGCGGTAGCAGTTGCGCGGCAGCTGGTCGAGCAGCAGCAGGAGACTCAGGTAGTCCAACGGCGTCTTGACTTGGGCGGCCTCGACAATGGCTTTGCCAGAGGACACATGGGCAGCTTTGATGGCCTCCAGAACTGGCACGAATTGGTTTCTAATGGGGGTTTGACTTGTGTTCAGCCACCGTGGTCACACTTGATTAGGGTCTCCATCTGGGCGAACGTCACTCACATGCATCGGTTGTCAAAGTCCTCGCCGCCCATGAACCAGGCTTGAACGTCTTCCTGGGCGGGGCAGATCAAGCTGTCCTCATCGCCGACGTGACTGAACCAGAAATCGCGAATGCCCTCGAGGACGCCGGGCGTGAAGATGGCCTGGAGATCCACCATTGTCGACGCTGTCGTGGACGAGGCGCGGTGCTGCTGGACAGTGGGCAGACACCCGGAGACGTGCGGACGCGACGAGGCCAATGGAGATGTCAAGAGTGTTGAATGGACAGAATTGACGCGCTGCAGTCGTGTCCAGACTTGCGCTGAGTGGTATCGATGATGTCTGCCCGATATGTGTTAGCGAACGCAAGTCTCGACGCGACCGACCTGATGCAACGACGCATACACTCACTTGGGAACAATCAGCCTGGGACGTGCCACTCGCTGGAAGGATACGACGCGCATCTGGAATGTACAAAGCGACGAAGAAAACAAACGAGAATGGATGCGATCAATTGATGAAGTCACGAGTCGTGATTGTGGACGCGCAAGGCGTTTGTCAGCGATTCATTCTGCGGGACGGCACTCGCTGTTCGTAGCGTTAGATACCAAAGTCCGCGCGAAGCCCGACTCGACAACCTCTGCCGAGATTCTCCATTCCCTCGCAAGTCTCGGGCCTTTGAATGAATTTTTTTTTTTTTTTTTTAAAGAAATTGGCTTCAATGAACGAGGGTCGTTATTCAGTGCACTATGTACGCGCGGGCGCCCAGACAGAAGACGGGGCTTTCCAAATTCCAAATTCCTAGCCTATCTCCTGCGGCGCCCCTGGTCAAGTATATACGAGAAACCATCCAACCTTCTCCTCCCCATGTTCCTCATGACGGCTGCGCACCGCCGACGTAAAAGACGAGCACCTCGTGGTTGCCCGAGGTGACGAGACCCGCCGCGTCCGGGGCGCCGTCCGGGTTGACATCGTCATAGGGAAAGGCGTAGCCCTTGCCGTCGACCTCGTTCTCGTGGACGATGCGGCTGTAGTGGCTCGCCGGATCCACGGTGTAGTACTGGTCCGCGCCGACACCGGGCTGGTGGTCGCCGCCGGGGATGGTGTACGTGGCGCGCTGAAAGGCGGCGCAGAGGCGCGGCACGACGGCGTAGTGCACCGCGTTGTCGCCCTCCCGGATGCCGAACGGTCCGCTGTTGCAGCCCCAGATGTCGTGCACCGTCGGCTTGGCGTAGCCGCGGTTGTCGCCTTTGCACTGGAGCTCCTCGCCTTCGACCTGGCAGACAACGTCGCCCGCGTTGCCGAGGGCATCGTTCTGCGTGTCGACCGTCAGGGGCTGCGTGCGGTACAGGTCCCAGACCTCGTCGACGTAGGCGTCAAAGTAGTCGTCAAAGCCCCCGGGCCCGACCGTCTCGTAGTCCTCGGGCGACAGCACGCGGAGCGGGTTGCCAGCCTCGTCGGCGATGCACATGGCGGCCCATGGGCGGCCGTCCCTGTCGCCCTGGGCCTTGAGCGCCTCGCAGACGCGGCGCACGCCATCGCCAGGGAGCCCGACCACCTCGTCGATGCTGCCGTCCGCGTTGCGCAGGGTCATGGACATGATGATGCCGATAAAGTCGACGTAGGAGATGTTGGCCCAGATCTCACCCTTGGTCGTCATCGTGAGCTCGACAAAGCCCCAGTTCAGGTTGCGCGAGGGGTCCTGGAGGTTGTTGACCGAGGGCTGGACGAGACCCTCGTTCCCACCGCCGATGCCGACAATGGAAAACTCGAGACCCCCCTGGGAGAAGTAGATGCGACCGGAGGAGAAGGCGACGGGGACGGTGATGTCGAGAGACTGGCCCAGCGGTGGCATGGTGATGGCGACTGGCTCGGTGATCAGGACGGGCACGGCAGAGCCGCCCGAGCTCGGATAGTAGAGGCTGCCGTCCTCCTTGAGGAAGAAGACGCGGCCGTCAGAGTCGGCGGCGGACAGGTAGCAAACGAGGCCGTCGCCTCCAATGTTGTTGACCAGCGAGAGGCGGAGGCTCTGGGAAATGGGCACCTCCTGAGCCTGGATGGAAAAGGCGTTGTCCATGGGCTCGGTGCTGTTTAGCGTGTTGTTCCGAGTCACGACGACCTTGTCAGGCAGGGACATGTCGATCCGGGTGTACTCGTTCTTGGGCACGTCGTTACGGCGCAGACTGCCCATGTGTGTGTAGGGGGCGGCCAAGGCCGAACCCAAGAGGCCGGCGAGGAAGACGAGGGAGCGCATGTTGTTGATGATGGTGGTGGTGCTGAAGGAGTGACTTTGACCGAAGTCTTTCAGAAAGGAATGTGTATAGAGACTGGCGTTGTGCCTTGTCTGCTCTGTCTGCTCGTCCCTGCTCGAGGTGAATGAGGACGATGAGGCTCATCAGAAGCTTGCAAAGGCTCTCATATATACTTGCCAGCCCGACGACATAGGTCCACCCAAGCTCGAAACGGCATGTGTACTCAAGAACAGCTACAACGCAAGGGAAAGGGATTGAGCAAGCGCTTCTGAGTGTGCTGCGTAGTGAGAGGCCAAAGAAACATGAAACCTCGTCCGGGGTGTGTCGTTGGCGCGCCCTGACCTGATCTGATCCGCGTCACACTATGCTACCCAAGATATGTACGAAGTCGGCCCATCTCTGGTTGTCGACACTCCATCGGGGAATTTGGGAGGGGAGCCGTCAGGAGGTGGTGCCTGAATGGTAGCCACACAGATTAGCTGTCAAGCGGCGAAGCTCCAAACTTGGCGTTTCTGTATAGGCTGCACTGTCGATAGCTGCGACAGTATCCGCTGGCCTGGCAGTATACAGGCGCTGGCACCCATGTTCCCCTTCGGCCAGTTTCCAGGATGAGGAGACGGACTTGATAGCAAACTGTTTCGTGTGTGGACGTATCAGGCCCAATGACCTGAAGCTGCCACGGCTGTAGGATCAGAACGACAGGAACAACTAGGCCTGGAAGGCTTGTCTTGACCAGTGGGTGTAGACGCTGTCATGGACCCATGTGCATCCTTCGGCCGATTCAAAACAGCCGGTGCTGGCCCCGAATGATCAACAGAATGCCGCCGGCTGCAGGCCATCATTTGACCTGGCAGGCTATCGCGGAGATCCCGAGTCAGGGTATGGCTATGGCGGAGCTCCCAAGAAGACACTGCGCGCCGAGTCCTGAGTAACCCAAACCCCAGTAAGCATGCCAGAGTCGGCCGCCACTAGGTCGTCCATCGCATCCTGTACCATCCGCGACGCTTGTTTCGCCTTGCGAGCGATCACCGCGCGCCTGTGTACGATTCGACTCTCCTTGACGTTTCGAAACGACTTGTTCTGCGCCAGCAATGTTCGAGAATACACCTGCGGCCAAGGCCATATATTGCCGATCCCAATCTCAACTAGGAGCGCAATGCGACTCCTTCGATCCTTGTGGTGGTGGTCCTGGTGGACGCTTGCAGACGCTCGTCCCAATGCGGGGGGGTGGCAGGGATCTTATAAGTCAGGCCAACTTCCACAATGGGACCGAGCGATATGCATGGATGGCGTGCAGCGTCGCGGGATATGGGAGGGCATCGGTAGAGACTATGGTGCTTGACTGATTGTAACGTTGTGGCAACGATGCGTTCATGTTTGTAGATGCATACGCCATGCGCCCGGGCGGCTGTCTGGCTCGGACTTTGTGGAGCTGGGCAGAGAGGGCGCGCGCTTCATGTTGGATGGCCATTGTTTCGAGGCGCTTGGTCCGTCAATGCATCGGTCGTCACTCGTCTGCTCGCAGATCACAAGGCGCGCCAATGCTGACAAGCTGACTAGCAGCGTCTCAGAGAAGACCCCCGATTCCACATTCCCGGAAATCGATTCATGTCTCCGTCCTTGGGTCAATAGTATAAGAGAGGTTTGTCCCGACCTTGTTAGCAGCCGCCATCCTCGAGACGGGCAAGGAGGCGCCTGCGAGCATTCGATCGACTGGAGTACGTTACATTGCTCGGTCTTGCCTTGTCCGGACGAACCTGTATGTATGGGGTACGATGCGACTCTGCACGCTTAATTTGACTTGTCCGACATGACGCCGATGGGCAGGTCTGGTGATGCCATGGCGGTCCTCCTTGACAGTAAAAGTGTGCTCAATGCTCAATGTCATGGGCTGCCTCAACTCAGACGGACCTACCACGGTCAGAGAATGGATGAGAACTGAGTTCCTCCGATCCAGATGGATTGCCGAGCTGGGAAATGTTTTCTCCGTTCCTCTGGGTGGCTGGTCTGGAGTCTGGAGGCTGGAGTCTGGACGTGCGACGCGCAGAGTTTCCAACTTTGGCGTTCAAGGTCCGACATGCGACGCTCGCTGCATCATCCCCGTCGCAGCCCCCCCGTACCCAACGGGACGAAAGAATCCACGGGCCAAATAATAATAATAATAATAACAACGTCACCACAATGCTTCTCTTCTCCCCAGATTCTTCTCCATTCTTCAATCAAGACCCGGTTCACTCTTTACTTTGCACTGCTGTGCAGCGCAGCGCTTTCGCTTCTTCATACTCGCCGGCGAGCCCCCTTTCTTTGACTCTTAATTTCGACTCTTTCCACCGCCCCAAGCTGGTCTTGCCCACGGATCACCAGTCGTTCTCTTTCCATCCGACCAAACGCAAGAGACAGACCACCGCCAGCCCAGCAAGCAAGCAAGAAGAATGGGCAACAATCTCTCCTCCCAGTTCGAGCCCGATCTCTCGGGCGTCGTGTTGGCGCCGTACGACCGCGACGCGTCCATCATCCTCGGCGCGACATGGGGCATCGTCTTCTACATCATCGCCATGATTTGGTCGACGTGCGCGCTTATCGATCGCTGGAAGGGACCCAACGATAAGATCCGGACGGGAAAGAGTTCCGTCGTCGCAGCCCTGGTGCTGTCGACAATGTGGCCCGTCGTGGTGGCATACATGATGCTGGCGACGTAGGAAGGCAGAAGGCAGAAGAGAGAAGGGGGGGCCTCTTAAGAGGACCACAGATTGCAAAGCCCCAGTAAGGAGGGGGCTTTGTGCATCGGGTGAAGGGCACTCATCAGCCGACCAGAGTGTTGCGGCGGCTTCGATCCGGGCGCGCGTCTTTCCTGCCCACGATAGACTCCAACGCCTGCTGCAGGGCTTTGGCGTCGTACCGACCACCGCGGCCGGCTTCATCTCTGGGCCCATAGAGCCTCGTCGCATCAATACATAATTGACTCAGCTGTTGCTTGTCCACCTTGGGCGCCGTAGGTCCCTCAATGTAGATGACGTGCGTGACATACTGATGGTATTCCTCCCGTGACGGCCGCGGCAGACCACGTGAGTCGGCGCACGCATTGGCAATCGTCGCGATAAAGTCAAGACCCGTAAAGGGTGCCGTCGAGGGCCCTGTCTCGCGGTCCGTGGTGCCGTTGAGTATGAGGACCTTGTTCCCGATGTGCGGGCTCGCTATCGCCTCGCCCACACCCTTGAGCACGAGGCTGGGCGTGAGTGACGTGAAGAGCGAGCCGATGCTGTAGATGACGGTGCTCGACTCCCATAGTGCCTCTAGGACGCGTGGGTTGGCGGGGATGCGGATCTCCTGGCCGTAGGGGTTGATGTACCATATGCGGTCGATCCGCGAGGACAGGTCCTCCTCGTCGTCCTTGGAGAAGGCCATCGCCGGTCGTCTCAGTGCCGGCAGCGAGCCTGGGAGGTTCGCGTCCTCCACCTTGTCATGCTCTTCCGTCTCGTCGTGGGCCCACGGCAGGGGTGTCTGTGCACCCGTGCTGACGCCTGTGCCGGGAACGGCTCGTGTGGGCTCGCTCGGGTGGGAAATGTCGTTCTGGCCAGTGATGACGGTGCCATCCACCAGGCCGGCGGCAATATGATGGGCAAAGTTGGTGTTGATGGCGGGCAGCACCGATATGCAGTCGGGCACGCTGCATATCGAGCTCAACAGGTAAATGGAGGCTTCGAAGCTGCCGGTGAAGAGTCTGGCGCCCGTCAGGAAGAGGTTGCCGATGCTCGCGCCGGAAAAGTCAAAGCGGCTGCTCGGCCGCATGCGCTTGACGACTTCGAGGTTGAAGCTGTTGAGGTACGAGCGTATGAGCTCTCGCTTGGGCGACGAGATGTCGTCCCACAGGGGATGGGTGGCCTCGAGTATCTCGAACCACTCCGCCCTCGCGTCGGCGGCGGCTTTTGGCAGGCGATGGTTGAAGAAGTGCTTGATGGCGATGGTGTCACGTTTGCCATCCTTGGGGATCAGCCTGACCAGGCGTGACCTCACGTCGCCGATGCCTAGACTAGGTCAGTCTCTGATTTCGGGTTGGGGTGAGGCGTACGTGCCTGGCCCGCCAAAGACGCGGATGATCTCGCTCGTGCTGCCGCCATTGTCCGATATGGGGATGACATAGCTCAGTGTGCACTTGTTGGCCTCCCTGACGTGCTCAAAGACGTCGACGAGGTTGTTGGCGGCGCTGCCACCGGAGAAGACCACGATGCCAGTCTTGGCCTGCGGGTTCGGACTGAGTGGCCGTCTGGGCGAGGCGGCTGCATGTGGTGAGGAAGCCCTTTGGGCCGCTGCGGTCGGAGGGATCTGCAGCTCGCTCCGCGAAGCTCGGATTGACGTTGACATTGCGGCGTGCGAGCCCGTCAGCGCGCCAGCCTAGGCCCTACAGTATGTCATGTGTGGGAAGCTTCAAAGTGAGCGGCCGCCCTTGTGTGGTGGGTGCGTGCCTGCCATGCATGGACTGGGACTGCCTACCCTGTGTAGGCCTACTTTGTAGGCTGAATGGCCGCTGCTGCCTGCTGAGTCATTTGTCCAAAGTGTCAGGTTTCTCGCGCCAGTTGCAACTTGCAAGTCCCGGGGCTGCGTCGCCCGACTCGACCCCCGGACGGGCGTCACGGGCCATGCGGACTCCGCGTATGGGTACACAGTACACTGGTAGGTTCCGTTCCCCTCGCGGCCTCGCGAAGCGTATCGGCTCATGAGGCTTCCAAAGCCTGCACGACAGCGAACTCTGTTGCGATCCAACCTCGAACATTTCTGGATGGCTGACCCTCAAGGGCCGTGAGGACCCACGTTTACGTCAATGGACAATCACATTCACCCCTCCCTCCCTCCACGACGGAGACGATGCAGTCATGGACAGGGGACTGCTTACACAATCTTCGGCCTCCACGGACACTGCCTTTTGCATCATCCACCTCTTTGCAGATGCCGAGTGGGCCAAGTATATATACAACGTACTAGTCTCCCTATCATCGTTCCATCGGCCCGTGCCCAACACTCATCTCATAACCAACCACCTCAGCTTCTTCTTGCTCTCAACCGTCCGCAACTCCGTCCGCATCAAGACCGAAACTCCAGAACCCCCGCCTCCCTTTCGTCATGTCGATTCCTCAAACCGCCAAGCAGTGGACCGTGACGGGCACGAGTGGCTTCGATGACTTGAAGTTCCACGAAGCGCCCGTCCCCGAGCTCGGTGACAGCCAGGTCCTCGTCAAGCGTACGTTGTTGCACTGCCAGGGGGCCCACGCGCGGTACAGGAACACATGCACTGACTGACACTCTCGCAGTTCACGCCGCTTCTCTCAACGTGAGATGACTTGAGCCCGCCCTTCCTCCCCTCCTCTGGCCGTGGCTGACACCCCTCTGCGCGCAGTTCCGCGATCTCATCATCCCCCAGGGCAAGTATCCCTTCGCCACCAAGAAGAACCCCATCCCCGGCTCCGACGGCGCCGGCGAGGTCATTGCCGTCGGCAAGCACGTGGACCGCTTCCAGGTCGGCGACAAGGTCGTCACCGTCTTCAGCCAGGGCCACATTGGCGGCGAGCTGGACGCCCAGGGCGCCCGCACCGGTCTCGGCGGCGCCCTCGACGGCACCCTCCGCACCGTCGGCGCCTTTGACCAGCAGGGCCTCGTCCACATGCCCAAGGGCCTCAACTACCTCGAGGCCGCGTCGCTCCCCTGCGCCGCCGTCACCGCGTGGAACGCCCTCTACGGCCTCCAGGGGCGCGCCCTCAAGCCCGGCCAGTGGGTCCTCACCCAGGGCACGGGCGGCGTGAGCATCTTTGCCCTGCAGTTTGCAAAGGCCGCCGGCGCCCGCGTCGTCGCCACCACCAGCTCCTCCGAAAAGGCCAAGCTGCTCGAGAAGCTCGGCGCCGACCACATTATCAACTACAAGGAGAACCCCGAATGGGGCGCCGAGGCCCGCAAGCTCACCGGCGGCGAGGGCGTCGACCACGTCATCGAGGTGGCCGGGCCCACGTCGATGAAGCAGAGCCTGAACAGCGTCAAGATTGAGGGCGTCATCACCATCATCGGCTTCGTCGGCGGCGCTGTCAAGGGCGACAAGGAGCCCGGCTTCCTCGACTGCCTGAACCACCTGTGCACCACCCGCGGTCTGCTCGTCGGCAGCCGCCTGCAGATGGAGGACATGAACAGGGCCATTGAGGCCAACTTGGACAAGCTGCGGCCCGTCGTCGACGGCAAGGTCTTCAAGCTCGACCAGCTCAAGGAGGCCTACGAGTACCAGTGGTCCGGCAAGCACCAGGGCAAGGTCTGCATCCAGATCTCGTAGGATAGGCTGTGGCACCGATCGAAAGGAATGTAACGAATGAAAGATCACACATGCTAGAGTGAATCGTATTTGACGTTATCGGATTGATGCAAACGCAAGTCATACGGATAGCCACCAAGCACTATGCTCGACCATGTGTACGAAAAGAGCCCCCGCATCTCTCTGTCCCACCACCCCCTTTCCCCTCACGCCGTGATGGCAATGTCCGCGCAGTTGAGATAGATCTGCGGCGTCTGGAAGGCATTCCATTTGAAGGAGAGGAGCGTGTGCTCGGCGACAAAGTCGTCAGGCAGCCGGACGCGATTCGTGACGGTGTAGCCGCCGGCAATGGACGTGTAGCACGAGTTGAGGGACGCGCCGTCGACGGCGATGCAGCCGCCCTCGCCAAACTTCTCACACGTGAACCAGTCGTTGCGGTAGCAAGGGTCACCCTCGGCGCAGTCCGCGCTGTAGCCGCACGCCTGGCCGTCGACGTCGGTGCACGGCAGCACGCCCTGCTCGAAGCAGTCCTCGGCCGCCTGCTTCTCCGCCTCGGTGGGCAGGTAGTCCCGGTCGAGGAACTTGTCGACAATGGCCTGGTCCTGGCAAAGGCGGTACGTGTACATGCCGCCGTGGTCGCCGTTGTTGTCGATGCACCACCGCACCTCGATGGTCTCGCCGGCCTTGTAGGTCTGTACGGGGGACGCGCCCCAGTTGGGGCCCGGCTGGTTGTAGTCGACGCTCACACGCGCGTTGTAGCCGCACACGCCCATGCGGCTGACGGTGGCCTCATCGAGGTTGGGCCACGCGGGGACGGGCTCGAGGATGGTGCACTCGGGGCATGTGTCGGGCCAGCCTGTCTATTTGTCAGTCTGACTTTGGTGAGAGTGGAAAGACAATTACCTCAGCGTTGAGTCCCACGCGACTCATGGGCTCAATCAGGTATCCATGGCCATGGACGCCAGTAGCCGTCGCCAGAGCCAGAGCGGAAACAGCGAGAACAGTGGTAAGCATTGTGAGTTTGGGTTGAGGAAGTGGAGTGAGGGGATGGTTCTGGTGGTGCTATGGTCCAAAGAAGGTTTGATCAGGTATTGTCTTGCTCCTCGAATGTTCAAGCTGTAGCGACTGCGGCATTCTTTTATACCATTTGGAGCATCGACACTTCCACCGTCTTGCAACGAATCTGCACCCCGGACCGGCATCAAGTGTACCCCAACTTGGCCACTGCCCCCCGGCAGACAGCTACCGTGCATCTTTGCTGCATATAGAAAGGGCTGCTTCGTCATGGCGGACGCAAGGCTGCTCAAGCCGCGCCTGGCGTCCTTGACCTCGAGTCGGTACTGCGGATGTCACATGGCTCGATGCGGTCCGTCATGTCTAATCTGACAGCTGAGTATCTTCTATTCCCGTCGTACATCAGCTCTAGACGAGGGTCCAAGAGTAGAATCCAAGCTGGACGGGCGTTGCTTGGCGTGACTTGAGGTCTGGAGAGGAGCACTGGAGCAGAGCGTGCCATCCGGCTCCGCTTCAGGGCCAAGACCAGACCACCCAACCAGGATTGGCTTAGGGGATGCCAGGTTTGTAGTTTTCAAGATGCGGTGCGTGGTGAATCTGTGGGGAAGATGGCTTGTTGCGACAACATGAATGTAGATCTCATGTTGCGGGGCGGCGGAGGGCGATTAAGTCGTGTAAGTGGACGCGCACTACCCCTGGCATGATACCTTCTCCGGAGGACCCAATCCTGTGGAATGAAAATGACCTTGTCACGAACGGTCATACGTCCTTGTTTCGATGACACAAATGCGGAGTCTCCGCCTAAAAAGGAATTACACCAGCTCCTATCGGGCTTCCCCTATTTAGGCAGTATCGTGGGTTGCAACGAATGCAGAGAATGTGTCCTGCGTGGTCGGTCCGACGGCCGCGCACGATGTTGATCTATCACCTGTCCTTCATCGTTTCAGATCCTGCGAGTCAACTTTTTTCCTGAAGTGTGGTGCCTCAAAAGTCGGGATACTCTCGTTCTCGGCTTCGTGGACGTCGTCTCCCCTTGTCACTCGCCCCCTAATCACCCACGACTTCGAACACAACAGGCCGCCAACTGCCCATGAAGATATCTCTATCTTGGACCTTTATGAAGAATTCTGCTTTTTCAACAGTCTGATGCGCTTGTCGCCAGTCACGTGTCGAGTGGACCTACTACAGCCAGCGTAGCCATATATGCCGCGTAACTTCATCTCATGTCACCCAGCTGCTGGGGCACTTCATTGTGCCACAGTTGGCAACGGGTTATCTTGTTGCCCGCAGGCAGGTCCGAGGATGAGGGTTCGATTTCCGTTCGCTAGAGAGACGTGTGCCAGATGGACATTTCTGGTCCTGAAAGCGTCGACGTTAAAGCATGAACAGTCAAGCGTATAGACCACTAGAGCAGACGTGCACCAGCATCCGAGCTGTCATACGACATTCTTTTTTTTTTTCTTTTTTTTTTATTATAATTAACTTTCGAAGAATTATACTACTTTCTTTCATATTCTATATATCACAACTTGCTTGCGCGTGGAGAGTTTGCGAAAGTAAGGACGAGCTAAATCATGACTTAAATATTATACCTTATTCGTGCTATGATAGGGTTATGATACTTCGACGTTATATTTGCTATTTAACTTATGTACAGGCATGGCACCCAAACGATGCCTACTTCAAGTCACCCACCAAGGGCAGGTTCCTCGACGAGCTGCCGACCCAGACCTGTTTGGGCGCGTCGGTGATGACCCAGTTCTGGCGGACCGTGTCCCAGTTGCTGAGATCACGGCGGGTGATCTGGGAAATGAACTGGACGCTCTGCCCGGGCGCGATCCTCTCGATGCGGTCAAAGCCGCGGAGCACGCGGACCGGCTCGCCTTCTCCGCCCAGCGACACGTACAGCTGGGGCACCTCGTCGCTCATGGCGGCACCGGTGTTGGTGATGGTGGCTTGGACCTCGTACATGACGTCCCACAGCTGGCGGTTGCCGCCGTTGGCACCCGAGGCCGCCTTCAGGGGCTGGCGGGAGCCGTCCGTGGCACCGGCAGGGAGGAACTCCTCGGCGGTGGAGCCGTAGTTGCGGTCGCCAGAGGCAGCCTCGCCAGACTCGGCAGTGTCGAGATAGGGATAGATGAACTGGTCGATGCGGCGAATGTCGTCGGGGAAGGTGTACTCGTTGAGGTCGTCCGAGTAGTTGCCAAAGGATGGCGCAGCAATGGTCTGGCCGACGGTGGGCTGGTATGGCTGGGGCGAGCGCGGGGTGATGACGAGGTCTGTGTACTCAAACGCGGACCACGACAGACCAAAGCCGTACTCGTAGATGGGAGCACCCTCGTCACCCTTGTTGGGGGCGACCTTGTCAAAGTGGCGGTAGTCGATGAACGCACCTTCAGTAAAGTCCTGCTGGGGGGCACCGTTGCCGTTGTTGGGCTCGTACAGCACATCCACGCCATAGCTCTCGCGGTTGGGGCCCCACGTGAAGGGGGAGCGGCCGGGGCTGTGCTTGCCGTACAGAATGTCCGTGATAGAGTTGCCAGCCTCCTGGCCGGGGAGGCCTGCCCACAGGATGGCGGTGACGTTGGGGTTGTCATGCCACTCGGCCACCTCGACGGGACCAACGGTGTGCATGACGACAATGGTGTTGGGGTTGACCGAGGAGACGTTCTTGATGAGCTCGTTACCGTTCTTCCAGAGAGTCATGTTGTTGCGGTCGCCCATGTTGCCATCCACGTTCAGGTAGCCCTCGCCCGAGGCAGCAGCCACAAAGACGATGGCGGTGGCGTCGGGCTGGCTGACGAGGGCCTTGGCCTTGTCCCACTCGTAGTTGCTCAGGACGCTTTCGTAGCGCGTGCCATCCTGGATCGCTTGCTGCTGCAGAGCACTGTCCGGGGTGATGAGGTAAGGGAACTCTGAGGTGCCGCTGCCCCAGCCCATGGCGTTGACACCGTCCAGGCAGCCACGGTCGCTGCACCCATTGGGCCCAGCCGAGTTGGGGCCAGCATCATCGCCAATGACAGCAACGAACTTGGGCTTCTTGAGAGGCAGGGCGTCATAGTTGTTCTTGAGTAGGACAGTGCCCTTGGCAGCGGTTTCGCGAATGTGGTGCGCGTGGTCGCCCCGAACATCGACCTGGAAGTTGACCTGCTGCCAGTTCTCCTGGGACGCCGGGTGGAGGTAGCCGAATGTCTCGCGTGTCCACGAGGAGAAGTTGATCTCGGGCTGGGTCTCCACAGTGCGGCCAACCTTGAAGTACGAGGCCATGATGCGCATGGCCATGTCGTCGAGACGGTACTCGGGGACCGTGCCGTTGAGCACGGCCAGGGTGAGGTTGCTGCCCCAGTAGGAGACGCCAGTGTTGAAGCTGGTATCACCAGGCATGGTCATGTCGAGGCCAGCGACCGCTGACGCAGCGCCAGTGTGCTGGGCCTGCCAGTCGGACAAGACGAAGCCCTGGAAGCCCATCTCACCCTTGAGGAGGCCGTTGAGGGTGGCCGAGTTCTGGCAACCGTACGAGTTGTTGATCTGCTGGTAGGAGCACATGATGGAGCCGACACCGGCGTGCACAGCGTCGACAAAGGGCCAGTTGTACACCTCGTGCATTGTCTTGTCGTCAATGTTGGACGAGAGGGCTTCAGCAATGTCGAAGCCATAGCCGACAGCCTCGCCCGACTGGCGAAAGTGTTCTGGCATTATCAGCTACTGATCGCAGGGTCAAGAGGCAAAGCTGGCCGGTCTCACCCTGCTCGTTGGCAATGTAGTGCTTGGCGCAAGCAATGACACCAGCATTCTGGATACCTTCGACGACGGCGCCAGTCATCTGACCCATCATGTAGGGGTCGACACCAAAGCCCTCCCAGTTACGACCGGCCAGGGGCATGCGGCCGAGAGCACCGAGAGCTGGGCCAAGCAAGACGTCGGTGCCCTTGTCACGCTGCTCGGAGCCCAACTTGAAACCACGGTCTCTCAGCAGGTGCTTGCTGAAGGTCGCTCCGGCGGTGATGGAGGCTGGGAAGGCGCTGTTGTAGTCTGAGAAACGGATGCCCAGGGGGCCATCCTGCATGCAGAAACCGCGGAGGCCAAGACGAGGGACACCTCCCACGTTGCCAACGCAGCGCTCGCCCATCCATCTGGATCGGTCAGTCTCGGGAGCTCCAGTCCCCGGCGTGTGCAGACTCACCCCACACCGGTGGTAATGTTGACCTTCTCGAGAAGGGTCAGCTGAGAGACAAAGTCCCTAGCCTTGATGTAGGCCTCCTCCCAGCCTTGCGCATTGGGGTCCATCCATGGCGAAGGATAGACGGGAGGAGAGTAGGCGAGACCGTCATTCGAGTCGTTGCGTGCCTGTTTGGGTAGAGATAGAGGATCAGCTGGTGTGCTCCAAGCAACATGAATGAGCCCTAGGGCCACGAGACCGGACTCGAGTCTCATGGTGCCGCCTGCCTCAGAAAATTATGTGTAGCGACTGGAGTCAAGATGGGAGCTGTGTCAAGGATGCGAAAGAAAAGATGAACGGATAGGATGCTGATCTCATCACCAGTTCACCGTGGCGCGAGCACGATGTGAATCTGGATCATCCGAGATTGGATGGTTCAGCGGAAAGCGCGTGTTCCATGCAAGGGAAGGCGCACCTCGGCCCTGGCACTGGCAGGCAGGGCGCAGGAAGGCGCAAAGGGACAAGACAAGATAAATTGACTCACCACGAGTGGGCTGGCGTCGAGGCCAGTTGCCAAAAAGGCGGCAGCCACGAGAGGAGCCGTCTTCATGGTGAAGAGCTGTCTGAGGAGATTGTTGGTGTTGGGCAGACAAGCAAGCAGTCAGGCTTGGAGATCGACATGACGGGAAAGAGCAAGGGGAAACGCCTATAAGTACTCCATTGAGCTCCCCATGACGATCTTCCCAGGCCAGGGCCCAGGAGGGTCCGTTGCGATGCGACATGATCGCACCGCGTCAGTTTCTCCTCACGATGCCAAATTTTGTGGTAGGTCGGGGACTAGACTCGGGAGAATGTCCTGCACGGTGACCAAATGGGGCCATCCATCTGCCGATCACTGGATCCTTGGCCTCCGAAGCCCCAACCCCAGCTTTTCTCCGCGTGAGCTTCGCGGCACAGAAACAATGACCGTCTCTTTGTTCAAAGTCCCTGCCAATTCAGCTGGCTTTCTGCTCAGCCACATGTGAGTAACATGGCCCATCCGTAAGACCGCCAGCTCGTACTTGTACATATACGCATGCAGCCGCCCGGTGACCTGAACTGTCACACAAGAATCAAAAGGTCACATTGCGCTCATTGCGGCGAACAGGCTGCAGCAGCCAGCCAGCCCGATCTGCTCCAAGTCAAGAGCTTGAGAGCACGGCTGGATTCATGTTCTCCACGATGATGCATTCTGCCGGGCTAATTAAGCTTGCCGGACTTTGGGGACATGGAGATGGGCCTCCTGCAGAGTATCCCCTGGCAACCCCGAGAGTAAGGCCGATCGCGAGCGCAGGTTTTTCTCGTGGCTTGCTTTCCGGGGAAGCTTTCCACCTGACTGGCTGAACCGGTCTGGTTGATCAGTTCACCGACTCTCAAGTAGTCTTCACGCCTGGTCTCCTCTCGCCGTGGCTCCAGGTCAACATACTCCAGCTGGAAGCGCACTGCAGCCCTGCCTTGGTTTAGAGTTCAGACCCCAAACCCAAGCATAATGTGCCGAGTGAAATCAAGCCCCTCCCGTCCCCGTAAACCCCACAGCCCCGTGGCACAATCACCGGCATTCGCTTCAGTCCCCACAGGCCACCCACTTCTATCGCTAAAGCTTACTTACCCTGTGCCCTTCGTCGCTGTTTGGAAGCTATCCTCACTTGGGGGCTCCCGCGGTTATCCCGATTTTCTAGTATAAATTGAACAGTCGTGCTCGGCGATTGCGAGCATACATCTTCCATGATAAAGCCACTAACGCCCGGTGCTAGCCATCGGGCCCCCATGCTTACGTGTCGGGAATCCCGCAACAACAACAACACATGAGTCTGCCAAGTTGAACACCACCTCCATCTATCGGGCCTTCTGCTAGTGCCCCGCGCGTGCTGATGACGCCAGCATGCCTTTTCCCCGTTCTTTGTGCTCGCCCGTGATCTTACGTTGGAGGAGCACCCATGCAAGCTCAAAGCTCAAAGCAACGTTGTTCGACTTCGACATGCCTCTATAGGTTTGGCGTCGGCACTACTGGGGATAATGTTCGGTGATTTGGCAGCCGTGGTGATTGAATACAGAGATGTGGAACTATTGAGACCTTTTCTTTGTTCAGCCTAGCGACAGCCATGTGCGATAGCAACAACGACGACCAAGGGTCATAGTATCTTTACTTCTAAAGTTACGGGAGAATAATTTAGTTTGAATTATTAGATATTTCAATTTTAGTAATAAATTCAAACTAAAACGAAAGCAAACTTAACTTATTCTATATAAATCTTTTACTTTTTCATTTTTTTATTTGTCAACCCGGGAAAGACCAGCTCGTCGCTCTAGTACGGTACTTCAACTCTCTCCGGTCCGTTCCTAGACAGAAACCAAGTGTGTGGAGATCAGAGCACCACTTACATGTACCGATAGCTTCCATTGTCTCCTCTTGTTCTGCTCTGATAATAGAGGGACTGTAGCGCTCTCGAGTAAATCTATATTTGATTTTCGGACCCTTACCGTCTGGTAACTTCGAATCAGGGCTTACGGAGGTCATCACACTCTTTCTCTAGCTAGGAGCCAAGTCTTAGGATCTATTTTCCCTTGCAATAGCCGACTTCATTCTACTCATGGTCTGTTGGCATTCTGACCTCTTCCCGTCGTGACCACTTCCGTCTTAGACCTCGACCGGTATGAATCCTACCTCGTATTGTCTGCAGCTCTGCGCAGAAGGAACTGATTGTTTGTGGTCACTTCCTTCGTCTCGATGTCTAGCATCATTTACGACGGATGCATCAGAACTCGGTCAGCTCAACTGCCTAGCTTCTGCAACACCTCAAAAAGCAGCACAGAATCGCAAAGACAGTCGCTGTCCGTGGCGCATTGAGTGTAGGCAAATCGTGACCAGTCGATACATCTTAACCAGGTCGCGGATATGATGCTTCGCGATGCTAAAAGTCTACGTTTGCGAAGATCGCAGCTTCTGTTCAAGAGTACCGACAGTTGCTGAGCATATGTCCCTCCTCGTTGAGGTCTTTGAAGAGTGCTAGTAGACGAACGGCACTAAATCACAGCATGGAACATAATTCTCAACGAATATCGTACTGTAGCTCTAGCAGAGCGACTGTAGTGGCGTTTTGTGGCATCTAGGTCATAGTGTACTCGATATGTCTTCCTGGTACCACCCAGGCACGCTGTATTTATGCCGCTGAGCATTTACCTTATCTTCGGCGACAGTATTGCAAGCGCCGAATGCGTGGTATCTTTCCCAACCTAAATTCTTCTAAGGACAGTCCGTTGATTTTTATCAGCTTTCAGAGTCTTCGCTCTGCTCGTGAAGGTCACCATTCATACCAGCTTCCTCTTGCCGAGCAACGATTGTTTCCACCGATGATGGGAAGCCACTGATGGACGCAAAATGTTCGCGGATCCCTGTGAGTCCTAGGACAATATCCAATGGCTCACACTACGACTCTAAGTGGAATAATACTAGCGTGCGCTCTCTCGTCCGCAATATGAAAATCGATCCTCGGATGTGAGCAATCGTATGTGAGTCTTGCAACTCGACCTACAGGTACCCCACACGTCGCATACGCAGTCGAGAGGCGTGGTACCAGTTGGCATCATGTAGATGGAGGTGCGTTGCTTGATGCACGTCTGACGAAGCTCGTCCAGCCGATTCTCGGTGAATTCTGCTGCTCAGTTCACGATCGGCCACACAACATGACTCCTCTCATATGATGTTTCCTTGTCATAAGTCCTCTGCAATATCTAGGCACTCATACTTAGTTGTGTAGCTTTATTGTTCATAAAACCCAGTGATAGCTGCTCTCGCTCTTTTGGGCTTCTTTTGCGTCCATCTTGTGAGTCGGGACCTACCCCTCTGTTCTCACCGTAATGGGGTCGCCTTTACCGGAACGATTGAAGCTAGGCCACTTGTCCACAGAGTTTGTCGCCGTCCCAGCCTGTTGTTGATCGATGATTTCTTCCTCTGAACCGCATCCCTCGTAGAGAGTGTCTCCTGGAAGCGACAATGGGTGTTTGAACTTCCTTCTTTTGCCCTTGGTGGAGATAGTTGAGAGTTTGAATACGCCGTTGCCGCTGCTCTTCGATCCTCCAGGTGTTGTGATGCTGCCGCTTTGCCTGGTTGTGGCCGCCCGAAGACGTTTGAAATATAATCGCACCAGAGGGAACAGAACTGGGGTATTGGATATAAGTACGGCGACGAAGGACTCTCGACACGACCATTCGCCTGCGAGTTGTGGACCGTTTGGGCTATTTTGCAGAACGTAACCACATCGCAGCCCACCGAATACAGCCGTGATGATCCCGCCGCTGAGCATGACCACAAGCCCTATCTTCCTGCGTCTAGACAGTCTCGCGCTCCAAATCATCTATTCATGTCAGATATATCGAATATTTGAGGGGAGATAAACATACCGGTAATGGGATCATCATGATATAGAAGTCGGTTGTCAAGTTCGTGCAGATCAAAGTCCAGGCCTGCAGTCTGGACACTGCAGGCTGGCAAGAGTCTTTTCCCATCGTCAGACCTGGCTCGGATCAGTTCGAAGTGGACTTACTTCCGGGGTTAGGATAGATCTGCCAGTGTTTTTCAATGGGCCAGCAACCACAGAGAATAGTGAAAAATGTGCCGAAGAAAGTCACAGCTACAAATGAAAACCCGATATTGGTTTTGATCAACATGTTATCGACTCCTTCGCCCAGTCGCCTGTAAAAAAAGAGCCAACATAGTTTCAGCGTCCACAGCAGGGCTGTGTAGACAAGCCACCCGAATAGCTGAGTTTTCGACCCTTCAACGCGGAGGCGGTATTCAAAACCGCCCGGATCCATAGCGGCTCGTTGATCGTCGGTCATTCTCCATGTTGTCAGTATGAGTCGTGGATAGGGAATCGGACGTATCCCCAAAACCTACCCGCTATTGGCAAGACCTTGCCAGTACGCTCCGACATAGTGTGCTGTTGCAGTCTCCGCCGCGTAAAGAAGCTACAGTCCCGTATGAGCCGCTACTCTGACAACGTTGGTCGCGGCCACTTACCAGTGCTATGACCATAAGGTAGTCATCCATGCTCAAGCCACGAATGGTCAAGGCCTTCCATCTCAGGGCAAACCGACCGAAAACTACAATAATGGCTATTGCAAGATAGGTCCATGATTCAATAACAAAATCCATAATGAGCACAAGACACCTCAACAACGAGAGCTTTGTGACGACTCTGCATGTCCGAGAAGCGACTCCGCTTGAGATATATGTGGAACGGAATCCGACATGAGGAGATAAAAAGGGGCAGGAATATTGGCAAGTCTCTCGCAACACCAGCCCAAATACAGAAAAGGACGAGCCAGGGAGGCCTGCTAGCGCTCGAGTACCCGACCTGCGCCGATCTTGAAGGCAAAAGCCAACAGGTGTCAACTGCCAACAGCCTCCGTCCGTTCTTGCTACGGAAAGCTACCTACGTAAACTTCCGCAGCTAGGTTAGGCTGCAGACGCTTAGGGCTATCACACCTATCATACCTTTAGGCCCCCGAACTGGGGTAGATCCATGTCTCTCACCGGGATTTCATGCATGTTTTGCAGGGGTCCAAAGTGACATGTCCGTGCCGAGCGTCCCGTTATCCAATAACGCTCTGGTGATTCGCAACATCCCTGCCAGAAAGACGCATGCTGGGGCGGGGAGCGCACGAAGAAAGGGGGGGGCCTCTTCTCCCCAGTATCGTCGAAGTTCTTGATACCTGGTAACTTTGCCTCATTCTCATCCAAATTCAACGTGTGGAAAATCTCTACCATGGCGTCAAGGATCAACATCGAGGTAAGACATTTCGTTCGTATATCCCATAGCTTGGATTCCTTGTGTTCACTTGTCTCTACCACGGTTCAAGACCACTGACCCTCGTGCCGCGTCCAGACCTACCCAGGCAACATCATCAACAACGAGTTTGTGCCTACACCGACGACACGCCACTCGATCGACCCAGCCACAGGCAAGCCTCTCTACGAGGTACCAGTCGCCCGCAAAGAAGACCTCGATGCCGCTGTCAAGCATGCCCGCGCATCGTTCAAGTCATGGTCTGCCACTTCGTTCGAGGACCGATCAAAATTGCTCCTCGCCTACGCTGATGCTGTCGAAGCTAATCGTACGGATATTGAGCGTCTCCAGACCATGGAGCAGGGCAAGCCTCTTTCTTTGGCCCAGACTGAAGTCAGCATGGCTCTCACCTGGCTTCGTCAATTCGCAACCATGGAGGTAAAAAGCGAAGTCATCGAAGATACCGAAGAACGGACCATATATTCTACATTCCCGCCTTTAGGCGTGTGCGCTGCTATCGTTCCGTGGAACTGGCCTATTTTGCTCGGGCTTGGCAAGGTTGGCCCCGCTCTGATGACGGGTAATACGGTTATTATGAAGCCGTCTCCGTACACTCCATACTGCGATCTCAAGCTAGGGGAGATCGCCATGAGTATTTTCCCTCCCGGTGTCTTCCAGGTCCTAAGCGGCGACGATTCTCTAGGACCATGGATAACCGAGCATCCTGGTGTTGATATGGTCTCCTTTACTGGTTCTATTCCTACCGGTAAGCGAGTCGCTGCGAGCTGTGCCAAAACCTTGAAAAGGTACGTCCTAGAGTTGGGCGGCAACGACGCTGCGATTGTATGCGACGACGTGGAAATCTCGAAATGCCTGCCAAAGATTACGACGCTTGCTTTTCTCAACTCGGGTCAGATCTGCATGCTTCCGAAGCGAATTTACGTCCACGAGAAGATATATGACCAATTCAAAGACGCCATGGTTGACTTCACCAAGAACAATATTAAGACTGGCGGAGGCTTTGAGGCGGATGTTGTTGTTGGACCAATTCAGAACAGCATGCAGTACGTACCTGGAATTTGGTTTCACACGTTTGGAATGATTGCTGACTACAGTCTAACAGATTCGAGGTTGTCAAGGACATGTATTCACAGATTGACAAGGCTGGCTGGAAGACCGCACTTGACGGCAAAGCCCGCGACGGCGCGGAAGGATACTTCATGGAGCCTGCTATTATCGACAACCCTCCGGAGGCATCGCGGATCGTCGTAGAGGAGCCCTTTGGTCCTATCGTGCCTATCATGAAATGGTCTTCGGACGATGATGTTATTGAACGAGCCAATGCGCTCGAGACCGGACTGGGTGCTTCAGTGTGGAGCAGGGACCTCTTTCGCGCCGAGAAGATGGCCCGACAGCTGAGTGCAGGCAGCGTTTGGGTCAATTCGCATTTCGACGTCGCGCCGAATGTCCCCTTCGGAGGTCACAAAGAGAGCGGTGTTGGAATGGAATGGGGCATTGAAGGCTTCAAACATTTTACGAACACACGAAGTCTATGGGTGTGGAAGAAGACTTTTGATTGATGTCCCATCAGACTGAAACCATCATAGGGCTTATTAAATAGGCTTCTCTTATCATGTTGAAAACAAAACTCTCCCGTTTTGATAGATGAGGATGTGTCACCTGGCTTATCTCAAGGGAAACCTCAGCCGGAACTCCAAGCCATAAAAGATAACCTGAGTATTTAGGAATAGGTGCGTTGTAGGTTTTAAAACATTTCGGACATACCGGGCGTTCGGGTGCCCGGGGCCCCGGATCGTTTCAGGAGAAACCTTCCGAGATTTATTATGGAGCAAACCCTTATTGATCTTAAACAAATAATGGAACTACGTGACTCAGATACAACTATTCCAGACCCATAACTAATTGCTAGAGTATTGAGATAGTATACGGCTTCGCCCCTTTACACGCGGTCGTGCAATAAGCGAGTTCTGAAGCCAAGTGAATTTCAACATCCAACCATGCTCTCTATTCTCCGATAATGCATCTTCATTCCTGGAACAACTTTGACGGAGGATAACCTACCAGATCAGATAGAAAGGGTCGACATGGTGAACGGCGGATACAGCGGCTGCGGCAACCACTTGTGCAAGATCCTGCATGGAAGGCACGTGAAAGTTATATGGCCGGACGACGTGAAGAGCAGGCTTTGTAGGCCATTAACGAAATCAGAGATGAATTTCCGACATGAGCCTCCGGTCGTCTTCCATTTTTGGAGCTTGACCTGCCAAATCTCGCAAGCATTCAACAAGCTGCGAAACTCTTCATCTCAAAAGAGCAAAGACTGGACGTCCTTGCTTACAATTCGGGCATAGCGTACATAGATGCTAGCATCAAAGACGCCCATGGCAGAGACATTCATTTGGGTACGAATTATTTTGGAACCTTGATTTTGTCCATTCTTCTTGCTCCAATACTCAAGAAGACGGCAGCAACAGCTGCTCTAGGGTCCGTGAGGGCTACATGGGCTTGACTGCAACCGTATCAGCACCGCCTGGAGGCATGAAATTCAACTCGGATGGGAACCCGATACCTTCCTCCAATGTCTTCTCAAATCATGCCATGTCGAAAGCTGGGAATTGTTTTTAGCGGCAGAGTTCGGTCGCAGATACAGCAAAGGATTGTCAGCGTGGCATGGAACCCTGGAAGCCTTTCTTCAGAGTTCACGCCCGACCATGATTGGGCCAGCAGAACAATCGTCTCAGTCCTTCTCTTTTCGCCACTTCGAGGGGCGTATACGGAGCTCTTGGCTGGCTGGTTTGGAGATATTGGTCTTGAAAGCGGATCCCAATTTATCTGTCCATGGGGCAGAGTAGGGACAGATACTCCGAGACGTGATCTCTTGGCTGGAATAGCTGCAAGAGAGGAAGGCGGTACTGGTGAATCCTTGCTGCTGTGGTCATGGTGTCGGAAGGAAATCATTTCTATTGTTGATCCTGATCCGGAATAGGATAAAGGTCTTGTAGCCTATTTATCGCCTCAGCTGTAATATATCCTTTGCGGGGTGGGTTTGACTCTTTCACTTACTCGCATTTTCGAGAAGGTGTTTGTCTGTATCAGCTCGGGCCACTCAGGGAAAGATGTGGAACTGATGAAGCCTTGTATTTGTTAAGCTTGTTACCTGAGGTAGGCCGTGGTGATGACGGAGTGCAGTGTCTGCTCTGTCAGGACAGCCTAGACTCATGACCTAGTAAACGCCGAAGATTTGCCCTTTGGAGGTTTTGCGTTGCCCTTATAGCGGCAAATGGCTGGCTCATCATGCAAGAGAAAGCAGTTCATTACAAAAGGTACTAGAGAGACTACACGTACAATGCTAGATGAGTCCCACATGTGCCATTTACCCACGAGCCAGATTGCCCTATTCAACGCCAGTTTCCGCCTCCAAAGAATCTTGGTCTGCGCACAATCATGCGCCACCTACAGTCATTCCCATTCCGAACCATGTCAGGTTCCTGGCTGCGGACGCTGCGGCCCTTTAGCTTTGACGCCCCAGACCTTGGCTCCTCAGTAGATGCCGGGAATGATCTTGGCACGGACAATCGTCTTGTACCTGTCCCAGTCCTTGCCATACTTGCGGTGGCACTTGATGTCGTCTCGGCCCTCGCGATGGACAAGCAGCACGGCAAAGTAGATGATGTAGAAGCAAGTGATGGGAATGGCCCAGCCGCGGGCCTCCCCTTGAATCACCTCGCGACCGTCATTCATCACATACGACCCTGGTGCATTGGAGCCAGCAGAAAGAATCTGGTAGCCAGAAACGCCGCAGGGGAGGCAGTAGGCCCATGCCTGGAGCCAGTCGCCAAGGTAGTTGATGTGGCGGGACACGCCCCACCAGCCAGAGGTGAGGAGCTTGCTCCCCGACTTGGTCTCGATAAAGTTGAGATGGGCAACCTGGGGGTCGTCGGGGTTGATGCGGAAGCGGTTCTTCTGGCTGTTGGCGGAACGGAAGATGTAGTAGCCCGCGGCGATGATGGCGAGCATCAGCGTCAGGTAGACAGGTCCTAGGTGAACGGGGTGATGGGCCAGGTAGCGCGTCTGCAGGGCGTACGCAAAGGGCTCCCAGACGAAATCACCAAACGCCAGCATCATGCCGAAGCCGTCCGTCGTAATGTCCATGGTCGTCAAGATGGCCGACTCATTCCACCACGAGTCGACGACGTACAGGGCCTGCACGACGCTGATCAGGACCATGCTGTCGGTCACATAGCCAAAGGTGCGGTGCTGCTTGGCCATCCAGACAAAGTTCATGAGGACCCAGCCGAACATGCCGGGGCGCAGCTCGAGCCACTCCTTGAGGTCAATCTCTCCAATGAACGGCAGGGTGACGCGGGGGTTTAGCTCGCGGCCAATGAACCAGTCGTAGAGGATGTTGCCCGACTGGCCACCCTCGGCCAGCTCACGGAGCTCCTTGTTGCCAGGCTTGACGCTGAAGCTGTGGATGTAGACGTAGGTCGCCGTGGCGTAGGCCAGCAGGATGTTGGCGGTGATGATCTGGATGTAGTTGTCGCTGATAAATGTCCACACGATGAAGTGGGCGCCTTGCGCAGCGGTGCCGGCAGCAAGCACCGCCAGCATGACCGAGTGGCAGTAGAAGGCTATATCGTCAGTAAGCTTTCGTTGCTCTTGGGGGGCTTTTCGGTATACGCACTGTTGAGGCGGTAGTTCAATCTTTCGCCATTGCGCAACTTCACGCCCTGGACCTGCTCGGCAGGCAACACCCGGTATAGAATGGCGTTGACCAGGACATAGCCAATGGTGGCGAGGAGAGCCTCCCAGCTGAAGAGCCCGACAATGCCCTCGGCCGGCCAGCCCACCTCGCGCTTGAGCTGAGCCAGCGTCAGGGTCGAGGGTTGCAAGAGCGACGGCGGGGGGCAGCCGGTGACATCGTTGCAGGCGAAAGCAAAGATGTACACGACCACGGGGAGGATGAAGGAGATGAAAAAGGCACCGGGACTGCCGTATAGTTAGATTGTGATCGCGAAACGAAGGTTAGGGGGATTTTACTCACGGGCCCAGGAACTCGTAACCGTGCTCCTCGAATGCGGTCTTCTTGCTCGTTTTAGGAGCCATGGCCGCGTTTGGGTTCTACGGCAGTGTTGGTGATGTCAACAAAAGGCAGCGGAAGCTCTTAAGGTGGCGGCCTGGTGATGGTGGTCACTTGCTGGGTCGGCGCGTCATGCATCCGTCTCGTACCATTCGCAAATTTCCTGTAGGGACGGGAGCTGAGCTCTGCTCTGAGCTCCAAACGGGGTTCGGCTGCTCCAGCATCCGGATCGCGTCACCTCACTCAAGTCCGTGCCGCTCAGAGAGAGCTAGACCTTTTCTAGACTAGCTGCCATTGAGTGCGGAGATAGTGTTTATCCGGGCCCCGGCGCTGGCACCTTCCTTACCGGTACGCTCCATCCGACGCGAGAAATGCGTTCATCGTGGGGGTCTCCTGCAGCCAATGGTGGCACAGCTACGTCTCCCGTTTGATGACAACCTGGTGATTTTGAATCACCGAGAGGCGCAAACCACGGAGTTCTTTGTCAATTCCCTTCGTCCAAGCATATTGTCATCCTTTTGCGCCGGCTTGTATCGCCGTATTTTCGCTCGTTCCAACGCTGGTTATCCTCTTGTCTAGTACATGGTATAGCCTCTCCAACTGTGGAATCCGCGCTCAAGCGCAGTCCGTCTCCCCCTATCCACATCGTTGCTCCAATCTTCGGCGCGTTCCGACATGATGCGCGGCTTCACGACCTTTGCCTTTGCGCTGCTGGCAGCATCAGCACGGGCATCTGATGACGAACCATCACATACTACACCAGCGCCTGCGTGTACGGCCACCTCTACCACCGGCAGTGGCGCGTACTTTGACTTGCGACCAGACATTGCGTGGCCCGAAGACGATGAAAAGGCACACAGATATGCCCAACACAAGGATTACCACGCGCGAGGCTACGATTATGGAAAGAACTTCACCATCAACATTTGCAACTCCGTGGTGGACCCTCTGACGGACGTGGTCGGCCTCGAGGAGAGCCAGTGGCAGAATGTCAGCGCATACTACATGTCGCATGGGGATATCTACTCGATAGGGTAGGTTTGCGCGCTCGGCCTGCAACGGATGATTGCGCTAACAACTGCAGCTCCGAATCGAAAGGTCTCCGGACGCGAGGGCGAAAGCTCCTGCTCCAGTACACTGGCGGCTCGCCCTGTGGCGGCAATGATGAGGATGACGACGACGCTCGCAGAAACGTCGCTCGTTTCGACTCCGACTCGGTCATGTACCACGAAGGGCAACACGGACCCATGGAACACATCCACGAGGCCGGCAAGGTCGAGGCCAAGTCAGGAGGCGGCAATGTCCGCCGGAAGTCGACCACCATCTCGTTCCTGTGCGACCGCGACCCCGGCACCGTCCAAACGACCATTTCCTTTGTCGGCACCGATCCCGACGAATGCGCCTATTTCTTCGAGGCAAGGTCGCAACACGCTTGCGCTTCGGCGGAGCCGCACAAGCCGGGCAGCGTCGGGCCGGGCAGCGTGTTTGGCGTCGTCTTGCTCATCGCTGTCCTCGTCTACTTCCTGGGCGGCATCTTCTTCAACCGCACCGTGAACCACGCGCGCGGCTGGCGCCAGCTCCCCAACTACAGTCTGTGGGCTGGCATCTGGAGCTTCCTTTGCGTAGGTGCCCCTCGGCTCAAACCGAGTTTGCCCTGAGTAAGACATTTGTGAAGACCTGGGGCGCTGACGAGTACCACCCCCCTTGTAGGACATGGTCGTCATCGCCATCGCGTCCTGTGCGCGCTTCTTCCCCGGGCGGAGGGGGTACAGTTCGTTGCGATCGGGCCCCAGCACGCGAGACAGCGAGCAGGAGGCGCAGAGGAATGCGCTGATTGATCAGCTGGACGAGGAGTGGGACGACTAGGATCTCCCCCCGACGACGACGACGACGACGCATAGTGTGGTTGTCTGTGAGCAGCAGATTGTTTTGATCCAGTGAGGCGTCCATTAAGCGCACTTGCGGTGGCAAAGGATGACACGCACATTTCACGCAGAAGAGCATTTGAAATGTTTCTCTCTCTCCTACCGTTCCTGCTGTATCATATGTAGAGCAACGCAAGCGTTGGGCTTCCGGTACATGTACATAATTAGACTACAGAACATGAATACTACTGAACGAATATTAAGACCATTAGGGACGGACGATTTGAGCAGTGCTGGCCGACAATACCAGTCAGTGGCAGCTGTCGTCTCGTGTGCCAGATACACTCTACCGCCCATACGGCGTTGCGCGTCGTGAGACAGAGAGCGCTGGCGGGCCCCCTTGCTCTCCATCACAGCAAGCTGGTCCGTGGAACGGTGATCGGCCACAATCTACAGGGCAGGCCCCGTCAGAAGTCAGCAGAAGCCAGCCGAACGCAATTTCTGGACCGATGGGGAGAAAGCAATAGCCTGCTGGCGCCAGGCCAGCCCTGGACGGGAACAGGGAGATGCAGTTTGCCTTGTGGCCACAGGGGTGGGCAGAATCGCGCCGGCCTGGCGTATGCACGCCAGACGTGTCAAGATTTGCCATGATCTGCAAGGCATGAAGTATCTGACATTGTATTGCTCGAGCGGGATGGGTGCATGTAGATGCTGGTTGACCGCACCAGACTATGCCCAGACTTCCTTGCCATGTGTACGCACTCGGGGGCAATATCCATTTGTCATTCCGCAAGAGGCAGAACGAGTAGGCTGGACGCAAGTGAATGCAAGTAGAAAAATAAGCCATGATCGAGAACGTTCCGTAGAGGAATGTGCTATCTGCAGATCGTGTCACTCCTCAGCAGGCCCTGGACACCCCTGGGCCACATAGCACCAAACGGAAAGGGACTCCAGCCACTCCCGATGCTAGTCTGGCATGACCCGTCTGTTTGTTGTCCAGAGCCTTGAGAGCCCATTACTGCGTGATTATCAACACTGTGTCGTCCGTGGTCGTCTCTGTAAAGATTGTCTCTCACACTCTTGATCGAGTGAGCTCATAACAGCAACCGTTGAGACAGCATGGAAGCGCGCATTTGTGATCCAAAAAAAAAATCGAGTTGGAGCAAGACTTTGACTAGAGACACACAATCAAACTATATCCGAAATTTGACATTGCCTCGCAGAAATCATCTCCTGGTCGGCCGGCTTGGTGTTGGTTGTTTGTGATGAGCGGGAGGCAACGACCTGAGATGTGACGGCTCGGATATTCTATCATGTTGACAATTATTTCCTACTCTATCTCAGAACACGGTATGACAGGCTTTAAGTATGATGAGAACCTACCAGTCGTGCGGTTCTCCTGACTATAGCTGTTCCGTTCTTCTTCTGTTTGCCCCGACAGCATCCGTTGAAACTGCACGACCGTCTCATTTTTTGCTACCCTTGGTTGCTCTTCGTCCCCATATACTTAGAAATCGACTTGCGGTCTACGGTCTCTGCGATAGCGTGACGCCGTGCGTGCGTCAGAGTCACAGTACCTGCCTCTCGGTCTCGCCGCTTTCACCTCCTCTTCTCGTCGGCAGTCCGCAGCCACCCAGCATCATCAGGTCTGCTCTGGAGCGGTGAACGACTGGCCCTTCCCCGCCCGTACATTTCACACCTTGCTGCCCGATAAAGAAGAGGAATGCACTACAAATCGGGTACATGGCATGTTGTCCAAGGCCGCTACGTCTTCGCCCCGGAGAACATTTCACCGTCTGCCCATCAGTCACCTTCAAGTCTATCTGCCAAACCACCCACGGCAAGCTCTCTTCAACCTGGCTTCTCTCGTCGGCCGAGTTTTCACCTAACAACAATGACAACAGACCCTAGGACTCCTTTGCCGACAATGGTGAGATCATATACAGTTACCGCATAACCTTGGCTAACAATGAGAAAAGGACTATCATGACACAGCCCCTGAATGTTGTTTCGATCTCGGATACGTTCCAGTGGTGAGCCCTTGGGCATCCCTTTCAGACCATCAGCGGGACGTCAACCGCTCGACCGCAGGCTTCCGGAGCGTCCCCGACCCTTCTTGTACATGCAACATGGCACCTGGCGTGTGGCTTCCAGATATCTCCTGCGCCAGCCACTTGGAGGCCTGCAACTGGCCACACACCGAAGGCTTCCGTGCCGATGGGCACGAGGCCCCCTATTCCTTCCAGCACGGCGAGTACCCAGAGCCTGTTGGCAGTTCGCTCCAGCTACCATCGTCGTCGACGACGTCTTCTTCCCCCAGCTCCGACGCTGGCACCGAAGGCACAAGGCCCATGGTGGAGTTTCCTCTCGCGGGCGTGGCAATGGCTATGCACGTGGGATCGTCACCACTTCAAGAAGAACAAACCAGCAGCGTCGACGACAACGACCCTATCCCCAAGATAGAGTACATTGAGCCAACAAGTCACCGCCTCCGATCTACCCAAAGTCGCATGTCCCCCCTCGGCGAGGAAGCGCGCCACAGGAGGGACCAAGTCCTCCTCGACGGCCGCCGGGCCGGCCTGACCTATGCCGAGATCAAGAAGCGGCACAACCTGTCCGAGGCGGAGTCGACCCTGCGCGGACGCCACCGCACCCTCACGCGCAACCCGGAGCACAGGGTCCGGAAGCCGCAGTGGACCAGGAGGGATGTGAGTGTGTCCGCCCCGCCCCCCCGCGCCCCCCTCCCCCCCCTCCCGCGCGTGTGCCCGAGTGCCACCGGCCTGACCGCATAGGGAACAGCTTGCGTTGCTCAAGGAGGCCAAGGGCCCATGCCGGATGAAGCTGTGGTCCGAGGTGAAGGAGCATCTCGAGGCGCAAGGTGCGTCGTACCCGTTTGGGGCGAATGCGTGCAGTAGGAAATGGGAGGAGGTCAACAACAAGTGCGGCGGCGTGTAAAAGCTCAGATTTTCGTCTTCTTTTCTTCTTCTTCTTCTTCTGCATCAATAGAATCACTACGAGGCAGCCCGATCCCTCGGAGCGCGTTGACTAGACCTGCCACGTCCTTCCGTAGAGCCTCCCACTCCAGTTCGCTCTTGACCAGTGCCGTGCCCGCAAGTAGGGTGCCGTTGAGGGCCAGGTGGCCGAGTACGTGGCCGTCTTCCGAGGTGATCTTGACGCCTTCCGCTACCCGCGGCACGAGAGCCAGCGTCGTCTTCGTCATGGCCATATTGTAGCTCATCATCGACTCGCCCTCGGAGGCCACGTGCTGCACTCGATTCCCCGTGAAGGACGCCCAGGCGTCCACAGCCTGCCTGTAGAGTCTGAGGTACGCCTCGTGGAGATCGCCACCTTGCATCTCGAGGTGGATCCTCTCTGTGAATGCCGTAAAGGGAGTCTGCCGCTCGCTCAGCCGGTCCGTCAAGACGTCCCATGAACTGGTCTTGTCCAGACCATCCTTCATCCGCGCAATGGGCAGCAATTGTATGTGGCGGTGCGGCTGACTCGCGCCAGAATGATCACCAGAGTTGAAGAAGGCGAACAAGCCATCCTCGTGGCCCTCGTATGCCCTGATGCAGCTCAGCGTGGCCTCGAGGTCTGATGGCTCGAGCGAGTGCGTCTGCAGCTTGAATGCCGTGGTCGCGAGGATGAAATGCTCTGGCACGACGGCAAACTTGTTCAGCACGACAAAGTGTGAGGGGCCAATGTCTGCGACGCGCAGAGCTGGCGGCGGATTGTCAAAGGGGTCAAAGGGCTTGTGCGACTTGGCGGCTGGGTCAGGAGGCGGGCCTTTGGGTTTGTTGGCCAAGGCAGGCGAGAATCGCAATTGGAACTGGGATAGAAATTAGCACTGGCTACCTCCAGTCGTCTTGAAGTGGGTGGACTCGCGGGAATGGAGCCTGCCGTGAGGATGGTGACCTGCGTTGGGAAGTAGTGAATATCCCCGTTGGCACGCGCGACACTGAACGCCTTCTTCACAAGGTCGGGCAAGTCGCCTGGCGCTTTGATGCGGGACATTGCGAGAGCGCTGCCCAGGTCGAGATGTGACGGTATGGATAAGGGATGGTCTTGTATTTCTCCCGACTCTGTAGGAAACCCGATTGAGGTTCGCGCTTGTTCCTGGCTAAGACGGCATGAGGTCATGCTTGGCGGGCGCGTTCCACGACGCCATGGATTACCCCACTTCACACTACGTACGACATCGCCAGCAGCCTCAGTTTCAATCGCAGCTATTATTTTCGCAAATTAATGCTCAGTGTGTCTGCCCACACCTGACCACGGGCCTGAGCGAAGCTTGATTCAGATGCACTCCCGGAAGTGACGGCACCAAGCAAGCAAGGGCATTTCAAAATGTCAAGCACAATCAAGGTAGCAAGTGATAGTGGAGTGAATATATTCAAACGAGGCCTGCTGCGGCCATTTGCTCATATCCCCGGCATTCCAACAACACCTCTGACCGAGGGAATGAACCGAGGCACAATGTACACAGCGTAGAAGCCAATAGTCGCTGTCAAGAGACCCGTGAGCTAATTGTCCATGTTAGTGAATGTATCATCCGTTGGCGACGGTGGCAGGTACTCACCTTCTCGAACCAGGTGTGGAAGTATATAGCAGTCATGAGCAGCATCCAAAGATTCAAGCCAGCCACGACACCCGTGATCTTGCCAGAAAGGCCAACCCAGTTCTGCGCTCGCCCCGCGCCGGCGGCAACCCCAGCCTCGACGTTGACGCTCTTCGTCGCGCCATCGGCCATGACGACAGCCCTCTCATCCTCTCTCCAGTTGGCCCACCTGAGGACAGCCCATCCAACCTCCTCCACCAAGAACACCGTGCTCAAGACAAGCAGGAAGACGTGTCCCGAGATATCATGCCCGCCCTTCCACTTGCCTCCAGCCGCCTTGCAAGCCACCGCCGTGACCATTTCGCCCACGCTCGTGTCGCCCATGGCCACCTCCATCTCCGCGAGCTCGCATCGACCACCGGTCCACCTGAAACCGCGGTCGATGATGGGCGCACCAAAGAACCACTGGGTGACGAAGAACCAGCACGCCGTGACCAGACCCCAGCGCACGCCCGCCTGGAGCTTGCGCGCCTGCGTGCTCAGCGACGGGTGCAGCAGGACAAAGAGGAGGAAGGCCAGGCTCATCCAGCCCCACCCCTGCTTGACAAAGACGACGTTGAAGAGATTCGACTTGCGCGCAAAGTAGCTAGGCGCCATGGTTGGGTCCTGCGCATGGGACTGCGTGATGGGGTCGTACGGCGCGGCGCGCGTCTGCGGTGACAAGACCGAGAAGATGGTGCCAAAGACAAGCGTCGCCGGGAAGATGGCCAGGCCAATCTGCTCGAGAGGCGTGGGCAGGTATGGTGATGATCGTAGCCGCGTGGAGGCTGCGCTGGCGCGCGTGGGACTCGGAGGCGCTGCCTCTGGCCATGTCTCGGCGCCGCGACGCGTTGTCACCATCTCGAGGCTCTATAGTATAATGCAGGGGTACGTATGTTTGTTGAGGCGAGACGAGATCGGCGTTGTATGCGGGACGGCAAGTTCATGGTTGGAGGGATGAATACCCAAATCTTCAGTCCTGAATGACGTCGACGTCAACATTGCGCTTGTGGAGCCACCCACGATCACCAACCAGGTTGGAAACCCTGGCACGCTTCGATTTGTCCGCCTAGTCTAGTAAGTCTCATTCTACGGAACTAACAACTTGGATTCAGAGCCACTGATTAGGTCATTGACTGCCGCTACCATTTCCTTGTTCCAAACGCGCCTGTGAGGCCGTGGACTGTGGTCCAGTACCTCGGGCAGCTGAAGTGGAGCCCTCCCGTCCCCGGTCTGACTCCTCCGCAGTAGAGCTGAGCTACCCTTATAGGTCTTGTTAATGTGCAAGATTCCCAGCGAAGTAGCTGAATCATAACTCTAAGAAGAATCTCACCGTCTCTTCGGAGACCTTCGCTTTTTGTTCAGTAGGGCCCTAGCTTGCGGTACGAACCCCCAGTATTCAGTCTAGCATGTCCTTTTTGCAATGTTCCTCGCAATGTTCGTCACCCTTCTCACCGCCGTGAAATGAGTAAGGCAAGTATCAATCGCTTGTCACACTATATATATATGGAAAAAAGAGCACGTCTTACTACATGGAGGTGTTTTCTGCATGAAGACGGGAGTAGAATATATATCTACAACAATAGCATTTATATCCAGAGACACGACATCACTTGTACGCAAGAGAGGAGATCATGGCGAGAACGGCAAAAAGGTACGTCCATGGATTGCACTGGTGTTCGAACTATGTGTCTTTGATGACGCAAAAGACAAAAGCGAAGGTCCTAATTAAAGAACACTGACCAGTTTCAAGAGTAATTCAGCTACTTCGCTGGAGTTTTTACATTTCCATTGGTATACAAAGGTGGCCAAGGAGTAGCTCAGTGGGTCTCCTCTCACACGGTTGAGTCACTCGCCGGCCGCCAAGAGCCCCAGGTGGACGACATCAAAAGACAACAACCACATAACATCAGCTATCCAGCTTGCATAAGAACCCCCGTTGCGCCGACAAGAGCCAAAGAAGCAAACAACCCCTTTTGCAGGCAACAGCCACAGAGCAGAGCCAGTCTCACTTCATCATCGCTATCTGTATCTATGATATAGGCTCCAGACCTCCACCTTCACTTGGATCCAAACACGCACTTCTTCATTGCGCGTTAGTCGTTACATCATCAATACTTGTCCCTCTTGGCAGCGTTCTCCAAGGGATGCATCTCCTTGCCCCGCCTCTTCATATCTTGCTGCGCCTGGCGCACGAGCCCCATTGCCTCCTCGACCACGTCCTGACCCCTCCGCCATGTGTACAGCGAGATCCCAAGACGATCCAGCTCCTGATGCGCACGCTCCAGCCTCCTGCTCCACAGCTCAATCTTCCTGTCGAGTGCTGTTGGCTGCTGCGCGCCAAACTGGGGCGAACTCGTCGGTGAGTCGGCGCGGGACCGCGCGGACGATCGCGCGACGACCCTGCCTAGAGGCAGGGTCGACCCCGGCAACGGATCGTAGTCAATGTCCGAGTTCGCGTTGCTCACCACACTAGAAGGCGTGCCACGGCGGCGCGGGGGCGGTGGTTGCGGCGGTTGACGACCGCTGTCCCGTCGTTGTGACTGCAATCCTGGCGTGCTGGCCGGGCTGCTGTTGACCGTCTGGGAGGATGGGTTCCGCATCTGCGATAGGGGATGTGTCGCGTTCGCACCGCTGGGCACGGGCTTTCTTGCGGGCAGCGGCGGTGCTGCATCTTCGTCAGACTTGTTGAGCGACGACGTGCTCCGCAAGGCCGCTGGCTTGTTCGGTCTCGGTGGCGGGGCCTTGCGAGCCGCAAGTAGATCAGAGGCGCTACCGTTGCGGTGTGCAGGTTGCTTGCGGACTTGATCCGGTGCTTGCGCTTTCTCCAGTGCACCCTGCTGTGGCCCCTCGGATAGATCAATCAGATCGCCCATGGCTGGCTCACTGGACGACTCCTGTGCTTGCGGAGCATCGGGCGCCGTGTTACGTCGCCTGCTTCCATTCTCGCTGAAGCCTTGGTCACGGAGACTGAGGTTGGACACCTTGCTCTTGAGACCGCCGAACGAGTTCTGGAAAAAGTCGACCCTCTCCGGCGTCGTGACATCTCGGATGAAGATGGCCAGAATACTTTTTGGATTGGCCATGGCAAGCTCCGTGTAGACCTCGAGATCGGCCTCGCCACTGTCCCCCACCAGAATGAATTTCCGCTGTGGAAAGTCCCGGATGAGGCGCTCGAGTGTAGACTTCTTTCGTTCCGCCACAGGCTCAAAGATGCCCTGGAGCATGCCAGAGTACTGCTTCAAGTGCAGCGAGCCAGGTGGTAGGCCGCTCAGTTTAAAGTAGCTCGCCAACACGGGGTACAGCTGCCACGGGCTGTTGGAACAGTAGTGAATCTTCACGTCATTGGCATGCAGTCGCCCATACCACTCCTTGACGCCCTCCACCGCGAGCTCGCCAAGATCCCGAACAAAGGTGTTTCGAAAAATCTCCTTTGCACCGCTTGAAATGTTAGATCGCTTGATGGTGTCGTCGACGTCACTGATCAAGCTGACGCCGTATGGTTCCGTGATTTGGACCTCTTGAATCGCCGAGAGACCCTCGCTGGCAAGCACCCTGACGTGAGTGGGCACGAAATCCAGTGGCGCCCGAAAGTTAAAGTGCCCGGCGTCGTTGGTAATGACTGTTCGTGACTGCGACTTGGAGTCATTGTAGAAGAAGATGGTCACAGGCAACGACACTGAGGGATTCGTCATGAAAGGGGCTATCCGAGCCATCAGGTTCGTGTTGGCCACCGCATACTCGGCCTCGCTCATCTCTGTCGAGGTACCGCCAGTTGAGTACTGGGTGGCTGTGCGCGTTGGGCTGCTGGGCGCGGACCCCGACCCGTTCCCTTGGCCGGTCTTGTAATTGTACATGCTGCCGGTTTCGCTGTTGGCCGGTTGCGGCCTCTCGCTGTATTCGCCTCGGCCAGCGGCCTGCTTCTCTTGCAGACCTCGGCGCTCGATTTCCTCCGCCTCGCGCTCTATGCGCTCTTGGTCGCGTTGCGCCTCGTGCATTTGGTGCTGGGCGCGGAGTCCTCCCTCGCCTGCGTCAGCAGCTGGCTGCTCCGTCCGTGGGGCTACGATGCCGCTCAGCCTCCGGGCAATCCCAATCACCATACGGTCCCTCCTATTCATGGGCCCGGACGAGGGCGAATAGACCCATCCTCGAACGTCAACGTCCACAATCGCCCGCTCGTCCTCATTTCGGTCCCACTCGTTCTTCCAGAAGAGTTCCTCTTCCGTAGCTCCTTGCTGTCCTTGCGTACCCGACTCGGAGGGGCTGGACCAGTCCTTCTTTACATGTCTTTTGGCGTAGGACGGGAACAAAACCATCTGCTCATTTCCCTTCACCCGTATATCCACATCCGGGAATGCCCCTGGAATGTGCGTCCTTCCATGACCGTCGTGGCCTCCATCCAGTGCTGGTCTGGTTTGCGCATACTGTTTTTGGATCTCCGATACTGCCGCCTGCCCCCGGTTGTAGAGCGTCCCGGCCATAGCCGCAATCTTCATCCTTCTGTACCCCTTCTGACCCCATTGTACTTGCTCTTCAGGCTCGCCTGGTGTGGACATCTTGCTTTGCTTCGTCGCCGTCTGTCCCCTCAAGACCCTCTGCCCATCTTTCGTCGTGACCCTACGCAGTCGATTCCGCACGTTGTGCCGGTGGTACTGCGGGCCAAGCAGGATGCGTCGTCCGTGCCGAGCAACGACGTCAAGGAGCCGGGTTCCCTGGGCACGACGGCGCCGGCGATCAAGTATGAAACGGTATATGCGAGACTGCAGGCCGCGCTTGAAGCTGGGGAGGGTGTACGCGTGGAAGTCGAGGAGCCGCTCGTGGTAGCGATCGCGGATCGTTCGCGGGAAGAGATAGCGAAGAAGGCTGGTGCGATTGTGGGGGTGCGGCTTTGGCAAAGGACGCCCGGCGCGCAAAAAACGAAACGGGAACCTGAATGGAGCCAGCTTGGGCGATTCTTGGTTTGCTGGGGCGAGGGTCGCCCAAGGCCTCTGTGTTATCCCAGCTCAGCAGAGCTGCGCACCTGACAGCACGTCCAATACCAAAGTCCCGGTGCTGGGTCGGGGCCTGGAAACACAAGGTCCCGATTGACTTGGCTGATACTGTCCCAAGGTCTTTAGCGGAGATTGACTCTGGTGGGTGGGAGGTGCATGCGCGTCTTGTCGGGGCTCGTGATGATAGAGGTTGGCAGACCGGCTGTCACTTGGCAGGGCACGTTTTGCGTCATGGGACGACGTCAGGGCGGCTGATGCCAGTGCCTACCCTGTACACTCAGACGAGTTGTGGTGACAGGGCTTTTGAGAGCCTAGTTTCTAAGTGGAAACCAGAGGCTCATGTGTAGTCGATGCTATGTCAGTGCGGCGGAGAGAAGTGTACTACCAAAGATGCTTCCTTTTCCAATATTGACAGTTCTACCTCAACTGCTGCTGATACCGTTGTTTGCTCGCGGCACATGCATCATGCTGGTCACAACTGATCTAAAAAACAAGCGATCACAAACTAGGAAACAAAATAATGTATCAGTACAACGAATGCATCAAAAGTCAAAGGACGCCATAGACAATTCTGCTTCACTATTTTCCCCTTCCGCGACCCCGACCACGACCACGGCCACCGCCGCCTCTGCCTCCTCTCCCACGAGAACCTCCTCTTGACCCCCCTCGAGATGGTCCGTCACGGGCAGGACGGTCTTCCTCGACACCATCCTCCCGGTCTCCTCGATCCCCTCTGTCCGGGCGTCCTCCGCGAGGACCGCCTCGTGAAGAACCCCGTCCACGACCTCGTGATGAAGGTGTAGCGCCCTTGTCATCTTCATCCCCTCTGTTCTTTCCACCCTTCCACAGGTTACCCTCCTTTCTCTGAGCCATATTGTCCAATCGCTTCTTGTCCTTGTTGCTCAGCTTGCCGGCGCTTGTCTTCTTCTTCAGCTGGTCGCGAATGCCATTGAGCTCGTCGGCACCGGCCTGTTTCGACTTCTGCTTGTCGTCCTGGGTCTCGAACCAGGTTCGCTTCGGTCGTGACTTGATCTCCTTCTCGTGCTCAAGCAAGTTCTCGCCCTTGCGTACCTGCATCTCGGCGGCAGCGAGCTGCTTCTCCCGCTTCTCCTCTTTCATAATCTCCTCAATCTCGTTGTCCATCTCGTCAATTTGGTCTTGCCACTTGTCCGCATCCACGGGATCTATCGTTCGACTTGTGACCTTTGCACCCTGGGCCTTGCCAGCGCGGACAGCAGCCTTGACAACTTTGCGATCAGGCTCCGCCGCCAGTGTCACGGCCACACCGGTACGACCGGCACGGGCGGTACGACCAACACGATGGACGTAAATTTCGAGAGACTGTGGCGCCTCGTAGTTGATGACCGTATCGACACCCTTGATGTCAAGACCACGCGAAGCGAGATCCGTAGCGAGCAAATGAGTGACTTTACCGTCTCGAAACTTCTCAACATTTTCGATACGCTGTGTGTGTCAGCAAGGCTTCCTTACGGGAGCATGGGCTGGGCTTACCATTGTTTGGTTCATGCTACCGTGAAGTTCACCGCATGAGAGACCAAGCATGCCAAAGATGATCCTCGCTCGGTGAGCGTCTTTCTTCTGTCGGAAGAACACAATGACTCGTTCGGTATAGAGAGTCTTGCAGAGATGAACCAGATAGCCAAGTCTCTTGTCCTCGCGTCCGGGACGCAGACGCACAAACTCCTGCACCAAAGTGCCGACCGTCCGCTTCTGCGAATCAACCATGAGCCTCACTGGCTTGTTCATTCCCACGCGCACCAAGCGGTCGACTGTCGATGTCATCGTCGCAGAGAACAGCATCGTTTGCCGCGACTTGGGCATCGTGGTCAGAATCTCGTTCAGCTCGTCGGCAAAACCGTCCTCCAGCATGCGATCAGCTTCATCGAGAACCAGAATCTCCACGGTGTCAACGTTGAAGCTGGCCGAGTTGCGCATGTGATCAATGAAACGACCGGGCGTGGCGATGATCACGTCGGGCCTGAGGCGAAGCTCAGCTTCCTGCATCTTCAGACTCAAACCACCAACAGCAAGAGTGAATTTGATGTCAGTAAAGGCAGCGATCTTGGTGGCCACAGCGTGACACTGGATGGCCAACTCTCGAGTGGGCGTAAGCACCACGACGCGAGTTGTCGGCATTTTGTTCGGGCGGTAAATGAGGCGCTCAAGGATGGGGATGATGAAGGCACCAGTCTTTCCGGAACCTGTAACGGCACCTCCGACAATGTCCTTACCCATCAATGCGATGGGGATTGTCTTGTCTTGAATGGGAGTTGGCTTGGTGAATCCAACGTGCGTTAGGCCCCGCATGATTGGGCGAGAGAGGTTCATTCCCAAGAACGATGAGGAATCCTTGTTCTTGCCTGGCTTCGCCTTCTCCTCGGGGGCGAAGAAGGCGTTGCGCTTGGCCTCTTCTTCTGGGTCCTCTTGGTCGCTCGCGTCCGAGTTGTCCTCCTCATCGTCCGGATGGTTCATGGGCGTGGCGACCGAGTCGTCGTCTGAGGCGGGCTCGTCACCGTCTTGAAGCTCTGCCTCGTCTTCTGACCCGTCCTGGTCTTCCTCGTGGCCCTCCTCATCTTCCGCATCAACGTTCATGCCAAAGGCATCGTCGGCAAGGACCTCGTCGTCTTCATCGTCGAGATCCACAGTCATGTCGTTTTCGACCTCGTCATCATCGTCGGCATCCTCGTCCGGCAGAACTGCAGTGACTTCCACGTCGCCATCGACGTCAGCCTCAGTCCCAGCATCTCCTTTCTTTCCACTCTTCTTCTCCCTCCGTCGGCGAATGATTTCGTCCAGGTCAACGCCCTTCTTCTCGTTCATGTTCTTCTTGGCGCTTTCGAAGCCCCAACCTTCGAACTCGTCTTCGCCCAAATCGCCAGCAGTATCCATCTGGAATTCGAAATCAGAATCCATGGCACCGTCGTCGGCCTCTTTCTTCCCCCAGACGCCTTCTTCGGTTGCCTCGTCATCCTCTTCATCCTCGTCTTCTGCCTGTTTTCCTTTTTTCGCTTTTTTGCTGGTCTTGGCTTTCTTTCGGGGCGGCTCTGGCGCTAGCTCCTCTTCCTCCTCAATAGGTAGGTCATCATTATCTGATAATGTGTAGACGAGATCATCATCGATCGGTCGTTTGTTTGTAGGCGCCATTGCGTCGAACTTTGCGACAATTCTGCAATGGGTCTAAGTAGTCTGGTTGTTGCGAAACTCGTCTCGTAGACGGCCGTGGGTGGGGCATTCCAAAATTTCCAGAGTCCCTGCACGGGCTTATTATTTCTGCCGCCAAAAAATTGGGCGGTGAGCCAGCAAGCCTCCATAGCTCCAACTCAAGCTCCAGTCGCTAATTCAAGGCGACGCCTGCACACGTGATGCCCTGTCCAGGACCATTGCCCCCCACCACGCGGTTGATTGGGCGACGGGCTTGATGATCAAAGCACCGCGAATGAGGGTCGATGGGATAATTTCTCCTTCCAACCCTCATTACAGTCTTGACACCTTGCTGCCTGATAACCTTTACTAGACTTTGACTATAAACTTTGTCTTTAAGTTGCGCATCGTTATTCCCGTCAATTCTCATCTTTGGCAAACGATTCGACAACTTCCCCCTCCCGCTGTTTACACCTATAGACTTTCACCATGGGCGAGTCACGGTGCGACCTCTTGCGCGTTTTGACACTGTATGCTGTTGCTGACGATAGACGCCATTAGTCAAGAACTCGTACAATGGCTGAACAGCCTGCTTCAGCTCAACATCACCAAGGTCGAGCAGTGCGGCACTGGGTATGTGCTGAACTACCCCTCCCCCGCCGAGCCCCTGAAGAAGCATGGCGCCGTGACCGATGGCTGACAACGACAAAGTGCTGCCCTTTGCCAGGTCTTCGACAGCATCTACATGGACGTTCCCATGTCGAGGGTCAAATTCAATGTGAACAGCGAGTATGCGTACATTCAGAACTTCAAAGTTCTGCAGAGTAGGTCGAAATTGTGACCCGAGAGCAACCATCACTGACACTGCGACAGACACCTTTACGAAGAAGCAGATCGACAAACCCATCCCCGTCGAGCAATTGGTCAAATGCAAGATGCAGGACAACCTCGAGTTCTTGCAGTGGACAAAGAAATTCTGGGACTTGAACTTCCCCGACCACGATTACGATGCCGTTGCGCGCAGAAAGGGAGCTGCGGTCCCGTCCGGAGGTGCAGGTGCCCCTAGAACTACGACTGCCAGTGCGGGCGCGAGACGGGGGGGAGTCACTCCCAGCGGCGGTGCTAGGGTGGCCAAGGCTGCTGGACCAGGCACCGCCGCCCTGCAAGCCGAGAACGCCACGCTCAAGGAAACCGTCGGGGGCCTCGAGCGAGAGCGCGACTTCTATTTCAGCAAACTGAGGGACATTGAGCTGCTGATTCAACAAGCTGTTGATGAGGATCCCGAGCTTGAGAAGCAAGAAGACGGCTTGGTAAAGAACATCCAGACCATCCTCTACTCAACAGAAGAGGGCTTCGAGATCCCTGCCGAAGGCGACGCCGTGAGCGACCAGGAGACTTTTTGAGGGACGGGAGGCATGGTGTGAGACCTCTCCGCGTTTGCCTAGCGGGCGAAAGTGAGGCGTTCAGCCTTCGGTTCGTGTCAGAATTGCAGAAAGGGAGCGAGCGATTGCATAGATGTGGGCCAACCTAAAGACATGCAGCTGTCGAGGGTCAAAACACGACGCGGAAACGAATTATATGACGAAGAGTAATGATGTCTCCTACTTGAATATCTCCGATCCAGTAGTCCAACCGCTAGCGTGATGTCGAATGGACTACTATCCCGGAAGCCAAGACCGTGACTGTCAGTGATGATCCACAGCAGTGATGACATCTTGAGCTGAGCAAGGAGTTTGAACAATTGGATTAATTCACACAAGCTAGACAAGAAGTAATTCATAACGTAAAGAGTGTATAGACAAGTGAAACTTGTGTATGAGCGAGTGAACCAGCCAAATGTCCCAGCACGGTATGAAGAAGGTGGCGCTAGCAAGTCTTGTGATGCACCCTGGCCCGTCTCCAATCAACCCCCAGCTACACCCTACAGCGTACGCCTCGTCATTCCAGCCTTGGGTTGCCTGATGATCGCCTGACGCCCAAGGTCTAACGGTCTCGACAACTTTCTCCTCGTCATCATCATCACTCAAACGCAGCCATCGAGAACTACAGTCATTTGCCACCTGTTCTCAGGAAACTGCGGCATCCCCGAGTTCCACTCTGTTGCGATCAAAGCCAACTCAGAGCTAGACAATGGCACCGCCGCCTGAAATCGCGATACCCTCTACCAGCACTTCGACTGCGGGCGCTTCGAAGCCCTATACACTTTATAATATCACCCTTCGACTGCCCCTCCGATCATACGTCGTTCAGAAGCGTTACAGCGACTTTTTGAACCTCCATAGCACCCTGCGTGAGGCTGTCGGCACACCGCCTCCCGAACCTCTCCCTGGGAAACATTGGCTCAAAAGCACAGTCAACTCGCCAGAGTTGGCGCAGCAACGACAAGCAGGCCTTGAGAAGTATCTCAAGGCCATAGCCGAGAGTCCAGATCGGAGATGGAGGGATACATCAGCATGGCGGGCTTTTCTAAATCTGCCTAGCAGCAGCACTACAAACTCGGCTGTGTCAGCAGGTGGCATGGTGGGTAGCAACACCGCTGTTGGAGCGGCAGATCCTCACACGTGGCTAGATGTATACCGCGAAGTAAAGGGATGCCTCCACGAGGCGAGGCAGTGCCTTTCACGAAGAGACGGGGCTAGTGACAGTGGGAACAACTCTGCCGCCGCAGAGGCTGGGGCAGCGGCCAAAAAGTCACTGATCAAGACCGGCACCTTGATCAGTAGCCTCGGAGACGGCCTTCGGAAGATGCAGGAGTCCGGCAGGCTGGGCGAGGGGGAGCTACGCCGCAGGCGAGACCTCGTGGCAAACGCAAGGATGGAACGCGTTGGCATGGAGAAGCTGGCGAAAAGCACACCCTCGCCGGCAGCAGGACGAGGCGGAGCCAACGCCGATACAAAGACTGCTAAGTCGGACAAAGCTGACTTGCTACGAGGTGGCAGGCCCGGGGGTCGTGTGCTGGGGGCACCCCTACCGGAAACTGACAAGACTCGGGAACTGGACAATGAAGGCGTCTTGATGCTTCAACGCCAGGAGTTGGAAGATCAGGATTTGAGTATCAACCAGCTTGCCGCGATCATCGCCCGACAGAGGGACATGGGCGTCCAAATCGGTGAAGAGGTTGACAGGCAGACCAAGATGCTAGAGATGATGGACGAGGATGTCGACCGCGTGTCTGGCAAAGTCAAGGTCGGCAATGCACGCCTCAAAAAGTTCTGACTGGGGATGTTACACGGGTCTGTCAAGGCGATGATCGTAGCTTTCGGGATTTTGGCTTGGGTCAGCACTGTCTTGAACGGACTCGCAGACGGTTTCGTTTGGGTAGCTGAGATCCTGGCCATTCTGATTGTACACCCTGGGCGACAATGATTCCCCGTGGCCGCAACCCAGGAGAGATGTAGTACACTTGGCAGGATACCACATGCAGGCCACTTACGGCGATAGTCGAGTCGCAAACGGGGCGTACACAGCGACAATGATTTCTTAGAATGATACCTGGACAATTGCGGCGTTTCGCTTTTTACGCTTTTGGCTTTCTCATCACCGTGAACGTTTTGTCTGCACAGCTCCATTTTCCAAATTCCTCGCCTCGGACCGTTCCACAGCTTAACTTAATTGCTAATTAGTGAGTCTGTGTGGCATGACGGTTACCGACCCGAAACCGACACTTGTGGCACACGATGTTCTAACACGCATAACTCACACATGACGGTACTACCATACCGCGCCAGTATTCATTGACATGTCACACCGGTTCGTTTCCGCAAGTTGAAACCAGGTGTTGTGGCCGAGTGATACTACAGTTACTAATATGTACGTAGTTGAGGGCGGCGTCCCCAGCTGGATCTCAGATCACCACGGGATCTCCAACTTGTCCCCGCAGTGACAGCGCCGCGCTCTACGTCACATCTTGCGTTCATTAGAATTTGTGTGGGTGGGCCGAGTGTCGATAGTTGCTCCGACAACCACAAGCTTCGACGGTAAGCAACATGGCACTACGTATGTTCTGTTGTTAGAGGTCTTCCCACAATGTTGGCGGGAATTATGGCGAGAAAATAAAGCATTCATGGGGTAAAGTTACCTCCTCGATGAGATTCACGACTGCTTCCTAGGCATGACAATGCGGACAAACATGCCACGTCGGCCGTGCTCTTCACAGTGGGGGTGGTACTCCAGTTCTTGACCGCCTGCAGGCTCAGTTGACAGATCTGTGGCCTTCGACCAAGAGAACCACAGATACGGTTCATGTACCCGGACAGAAAACAAAAAAAGGTTTTGCGTCAAGGGCAGGCCCAGATGTTTTGCTGTGCTACTTGTCCGGTGTTCGAGTTCTGCTGTTGACTGTGAATGAATTGTAGCTGGATGCCAGGGGACACGAGGAAGCGACAGACGTCAACAATGTGCAGCGAATGCGAGTTTCAACGACGCCAGTGAGGGGCTCGGCGCGGATTGGGGGGACCGGTTCAGCCACTCACGACAGCAGATCGCTATTAATTGGGGCTCCTCCGTCCCACCCGTCTGGTGTTAGAAGGAAGGAAGGCGCTGTTCACTGGCCACATCCCGTTCCGCCCACTAAACCATACTGGCTGCGGAGACCCAGCCCCTGCCACAGCTGGAGCTCAAAGTAAACACGGGCCGCTCCTTCCCAACTTTTTGTCTCAAAGGAGACTCCTCTTCGACCCAGCTCGTACACTCCGACCTCATAAACCCAAATCAACGAGCGGCTCACGAGTCCACGCTACTAACATATAGATTGCTGTTTTTCATATCTTCTTTGGCACGGCTGTTTTCACTCTTTTGTGCATTGCTCCGCACGGAAATTTGATTGCTTCCTCTTTTTGCTTGGTGGGTGCATATCTCCCGCCCCTTTTGCGTGACGACGCCGTAACAAATCACGCCAGAACAGACGTCTAACCCACGATAGACGAACAAATCTCATGTCTCTCGACCATATGGCTTCACCAACGCACCTATAGTCTGGGTGACATCAACGACCGCATCATCGACCGCTCGCACCTCGACCCCGACCGCTTGAGCGCCTGTCATGAACGACCAGCCGCCTCCGCCTCCACCACATGGCGGCCATGGCGGCGCTCCGAGGTCTGGAGGTCTACCGCCAGGGAAGTACGATATTTTCGTGATACCGGAGCACTCAGCGGGCTCGGGATTCCTGTACTTGCCGTCGTTACAGCCGAATATCAATAGCTTCGTCGCGGGATTCGCCTCGGCCCTGATCATGGTGGTCCTTGGACAAAGTATGGCACCAGCTTTTCGAAATTGGTGGGACAGTTTCCAAGGGCTGGGCAATGTGGGCATCGCAATGCTGATTGTTGGCGTTGGCTTCGGTGCCTGGGCACTGGGTAGGACCCAGACAGATGGGGGATCTCCATTTGGATCCGGATTCAAACACAAACCGAGTGCGTCCAGCGGTGGCCCAGGCGCAGGGGGCTTCGGAGGCTACTCAGGTACCTCAGCTGGTGCTGAGGGCCCTCCGCCGCCACCGCCCCCTCATGGGAACAGCCCCAAGGGTAGTCACAACCAGAATGGCGGTCCTAGCGGCGGCCCTCCACCGCACGGTGCTCGACATCATGCCGACGACTATTGGTCTCAACCGAACACGCCTCCCCCCCGGCATGGACCGCCACCTCCACGACAAGAAGCACCTCGACAGGAGGCGCCACCTCCACCTCCACCCCGAGAACCAACACCCCCTCCTCCTCCTCCTCCTCCGCCGCCGCCACGAGAGCCAACACCACCGCCGCCTCCGCCTCCTCCGCCTCAAGAAGAGAAGGCAGCACCCAAGCCAGCCCCCAAGCCAGCTCAACCAGAGCCAAAGAAGGCGCCCCCACCACCTGAGCCCAAGAAACCGGAGACGCCCAAGCCGGAGCCGAAGAAACCAGATCCGAAGAGCTCGTGGGAGAAGGCTCGAGAGCAAACCAAGGCAAACTGGGAAAAGGCCCGTGAAGAAGCTCGCAAAAAGGAAGAAGAACGGAAGGCCAAGGAAGCGGAGCAAAAACGCAAGGAAGAAACTGCAAGACGACTGGCCGAGCTACGGGCAAAGGAGGCCAAGGAACGTCAGGCCCGCGAACTGGAGAAGCAGAGGAAGGAAAGGGAAGCCAAGGAGAGAGAGGAGCGTGTCAAAGCAGAACAGAGAGCCAAGGAGCTGACGGAAAAGCTCGAACGTGAACGCAAAGAGCGTGAGCGCCTAGAGAAAGAATTCAAGGAACGAGAGGAGAGAGAAAAGGCAGAGAAGGCAAAGCAAGAGAAAGAGAAAGAGAAACAGGCAGCGGAGGCCAAGTCCGAGAGACAGGGTAGCAGCTATGCGTTCTCGGGTGTCGGAGAGAAGATGAGCATGTGGCCCAACGGTCGACCTTCCATGCCCAAGCCGTCGCCTGCGCCATCCGCGACTTCGTCCAGGGCGCCGCCTAGCCCTGAGAAGAAGCCGCCGCCATCATCTGCGAAATCATACATGAGTGAGGAGACACACTCATATCGACCTTACGACAAGCCGAAGCATACACCGCGGAAGAAGTCGGGGTCGTCCTTCGTCGGCTCCGAGTCCTCCTTTGCACCCTCGCACACAACGGCTCGCACGTCGCCTCCGCCCTCGATGAGAGGTCCGTACTCCACCAAGGACCCTGACAAGATTGTTGTGTCCGCCGTGTACCTCTTCATGAACCAATTCGCGAAAACGCCTGCCAGTCAGCTCATATCTGGTTTTGGCTCGGTCACCGACGGCCTCATTCTCCGCATCACAACCGAAGGACTCTTTATCGACGACGACCTCCGAGGCGTTCCGCAGCGTGAATGGGACGTCAAGGCGTGGACCCTGGGATGCATCGAGGTAAGCACCAGGAGCCATTTCTTTCGTGAGGCTTGCAGCATGCTAACAAGTATCAAAGACCGGTAAATGGGAGGCCAAAGGCCTGCACGTACTGCGCGCTTCGTTGCGCGACAAGGAAACCAAGAGGTATCTGTTTGTGATGGACAGCGCGGAGGCCGGAAAGATGCATGCTGGCATCTCACGGCTGCGCAAGGGCAGACAGGTGCGCTCCATGGAGGTCAAGGAGATGTCGACGGGCGAAGCCCGCAAGACGATTGAGATGCTCGGCTGGGTTTGAGAACGGTGCAGAACCCCATGATGAAGCAAGAGAACAATAGGTAAGGAGAGAAGAGGGGTGGGATGGCAGTCATTCTCGGCGAACCTAGGGCATTTAAACGGACAGCAAGCATGGCATGCGGATGATGATCTCAGCGATTGGAACGTGGTTTGCGAGATGTGTTTTGGTTGGATTGGAGTTTGCATTCCACAACATACCCCCCTGATTCTAGACGTCAATACAGTGCAGTAACATTTCGCGAGGCAACATCATTGAGGAATGAATGGACTTGTTCAATTTCGTAAATGGGTATCTTTCTGTCAACTCCTTGCTGCGGAAACCATGTAGTTAAAGCCCCAATAATACACCGACTGCCTGTCGCAAAGCCCACAGGGACCGGTAGGTGATAAGACCATGTCGAGTCCCCCCAATCGCATGTTAATAGCAACAAACTAAGGAAGCATGAAACACCTCAAGACTTGCAGCTGCCGAGCTCGTAGAGCTCCCAAACCTCAATGGTGCCGTCCATCTTCCCCACGCAGAGTCGCTGGACACTGTCATCAAACGCCGCTGCCGTGATTATGCTCTCGCTGTTTCTTTCCAGCACAATCTCTTTCGACATGACGTCCATAATGTCGAATCCGTCTTCCGTCCTACAAGCGAGAAAGCGTGCGTTAGGGGAGAAGCAAAGGGGCCATCCCTCCCTGGTCCGCTCGGCGGACAGCGAGGACGACGCCAAGCTGCTGTGGTCAGGCATCCAGGTGTACTGCATCCGTCCCCATAGAGACAAAATCTCGCATCCATCCCTCGACACGCCCACCACTGTCGGGTTCGTGCTGTCCATCTCCAGTCTGGCTACCGTCCTGGCGGTCCTAATGTGGGTGACGCGCAGCGTGCCATCCTTGGACGCTGTGACGAGTGTGCCCTGCGGCGTAAAGACGGCGTGCGTGACCAGATCAATATGGGATGCAATGAGCGCCACTCTCTCGCCCGTCTTGATATCCCAGACGCCAATCCTCACGGGGGAGGATGCGTCGCGCGCGGCGAGCAGACGACCGTCCTGAGATACGGCGATGGGGTTGCCGCATGCCCCCTTGATATCGCCCAGCGACTTGCCGCTCCTCACGTCCCGAATGACAATGGTGCTTTCTTGGTGAGTCTCGACGCCGCGCTGGGCCGTTCCCTCTCTCACTGTGACGGCTCGAATGGGATCATTCCGCTTGGCGTGCGTGTCGCTGCATTTCTCCTCGGGCATGAGGACTGCCGCCGCGCCGGAGGACTTGGAGAGCGAGGTCAGGGAGGGGAGGGTGAAGGCGTCGACCCAGGATAGTGCAGGCGTCGAGCGATAGGTGGTGAGTAGTGTGCTGGAAGAGAGGGAGAGGGAAGTGATCTCTGAGCGTGCTACGGAGCGACTTGTGAGCAGCTCGAATGAGGGAGACCTGTGTTGTGTGAGCGATTGACTTTGATTGGAAGTCTCGAAGCAGAACTTACATGATGTCAATACTCGTAGCCAGAGCGTGATCAATCTCCACAGCGAAGGGTTCAATTGTTTAGTGATTGGCCTTTCGGGAGGCGCTACGTGAAGCTGATGTGAATTCCCACGGCCAATACGTTCGTGGGGAGACATCTCGCATATATGTACACTTGACGTATCGACGCATTGTTCATGGATACTCCCACTGGACATCTCGGCCAAAGACTCATAAGTGACTGCTACTCGACTCACGCACGATGCACGCGAGGGTGCAGCGTTCCACAGCAGCATTGGCAAGCGATGGCGGCTGCGGGCTATGCGCTCGGCGAGACGAATTGGGCTTAGACTAGGGAGGATGACAAACAGGGGCTGACAAAGAAAACGTAGCTTATAAGAAAACAAAAAAAGCTCATCGGCCTCTGGGACCAAGATTGAACATGGGGAACTGAGGCTGCGGGGCCCGATAACGGACGGCTGAATACCTGACGGGGTGAGAGTCACCTCTTGGCAACTAGCTACCTATGTACTCACGTAGCTGGCATCAATAAGGCTTGTCACAATGACAAATAAACAGTACAATTAGTCAACAGGGGATAGGAAGAGGGGTTCTGGGGTCGATCACGCATTCACCAGCCGAGTGACCGAGTCCAATGTCGATTGTCCATCAAGGTGCAGCAGCAGTTCCACCTAGGGTGTATATTCACAGCTTGCCCGTCCCCCTCTACCACCACATACATATATTTGCTTACGCAAACGCCTTGTCATAGCTCACCATGCACGACCGGTAGCGCACCGAGCTCTTCTCCAACTTGTCCATGGCCTGCCTCAGACCGTCGGCGGAAAGCGGAATCTCCTCGACCCACGACTCGATGCCCTTGTCAGCCGCCAGCTGGAGCATCTCGAGCATCTCCTTGCGGCTGCCCAGGTGAGTGCTGCCGATGAAGCAGCCGTTGCCCGCAAAGTCCTGGTTGTGGACGGTGATGCCCTCGCCGGGCATGCCGACCGAGTTCCAGCGCCCGTGCACGTTGAGCAGGGACAGGTACTTGCCGAGCTCGAAGCCATCAAAGGAGCTGGCCGTGTTGACGATGAGGTCAAAGGTGTGCTCGTGCTCCTTCTCCCAACCCTCTTCCTGGGTGGCAATGAAGCCGTCGGCACCCATCTTCCGCGCATCGGCCTCCTTGCTGCGCGAGCGGGAGATGGCCCAGGTCTCCGCGCCGAGGGCCTTGGCGAAGATGACAGCATAGTGGCCCAGGCCACCGACGCCGACGATGCCGACCTTCTTGCCGGGTCCGGCGCCGAACCGCTTGAGGGGGCTGAAGACGGTGATGCCGGCGCACAGCATGGGCGCGGCGTTGGGGCTGCTCAGCTTCTCGGGGATGGGGTACACCCAGTACTCGTGGATGCGCGTGTGGGAAGAGTAGCCACCCTGGGTGGTGTAGCCGGTGTCCAGGTACGGCGCGCCGTACGCGTCGATCTGGTGCTTGCAGTACGTCTCGTTGTCGTTCTTGCAGAGGCGGCACTCGAGGCAGGAGTAGACTTGGGCGCCCACACCGACGCGCTGGCCCACCTTGGCGAGGGTGACCTTGGGCCCGACCTGGAGGACCTTGCCGACGACCTCGTGGCCCACGGCGAGGGGGTAGGGGCAGTCGCCCCAGTCGCCGCTGATGGTGTGCTTGTCGCTGGCGCAGACACCGCAGCACTCGATCTCAATGTCGACGTCGTAGTCGCCAAAGGGACGGGGCTTCCACGAGCCCTTTTTGAAGTCCAGCCAGTTTTCGGCGCTGGGGGCTTGGAAGCCAGAGAACTGCTCGGGGTACGACATGTCGATGGTCTTTGTTCAAGGTGATAATGGTACGGAGGTAAGTGGAAGTGATGATTAGAGTAGGGAGAGGAGAAAGAAGAGGAAGAATGAAGAGAAGAGGGGAAGTAGGGAGCAGGAAGACGCGACTGGACCTGGCTGACCTCGAGACGAGTCAATGACCAGGCACAGAAAAGACGGTCGTACCGCAAGCCAACCCCCACCATCGCGATGGGCCTGGCCGGGGTGTGACGCCCCGGACGTCAATGAGGGTCAAGGAAGGACTCGGGGGGATGAGGGGCAGCGACTGGAGGGGTCGGACTGTTGCTGTCCGACTGGAGTTGGAGGCTGGCTCTCGGCCAGCTCATAGCGGGACGAAGAAATTGTCCGTCTGCCACGCGACACATCATGGTTGCCAGCCGTCGGCATATACGTAAGTGCTTGTTTGCGACCAGCATCGCGCCCACCATCACCACTACGGCCAAATCTGCGCGACCCCCGCCGGTACTTTCATGCAGGATGGCCCAGCCAGTCCTATGCTTCCCAACGGAAACCTCATATTGCCCTTCTCAGCCGCCAATGCTTCAACAATGCCATCGTCGCTTTGCTAACTTGTGCTCGCCAAGTTGCAGAATTTGCTCGCCTTTCGTCGCAATGGCAGGCGATAGGAGCTGGTGACCCGCCCACTACCCCGATATCATCATCCAACTGAGGGTCTCGTCGGGGTATCCATCAACCGACCTCTCCAATTCTGGACACCCGACGGGTTTCAAGCCATTTTTCCACCAACAACGGGCGATTGGCGACCGACGCGACAGCACGTGATCCGCATTGGTCGGATGTCGGGTATTGAATGACATGGAGTGAACAGACGACAAGACACAGCTTGGCAATGGCTTGTTGATCCCAGATGATGAGCTGGACAGACAGACAGACTTTGGACGAAGCGCCAAGCAGTGTTTCCTGCCAACTATTTCTTCTTCTTCTTCTCCAGTGTCTTCCAAGCCCCTAGCCCGACACCTCTGAGGAAGCAGATCCTCATGAGTGCTCCAAGGTACACAAAGGGCACATTGCCCCAATCGCCCGCGCTCCAATTCCACACATCGTAGTAGACCTGCGGTCCCAGCGCCTTGAGTGCGTACAGATGCGCAAAGTCGGCCACCAATAGCACGAGTAGCACGGCGCGCCAGACCTGAATGTCGGATGTCGCCCGCAGAATGAGCGCCTCGTTCAGCGCGAAGAAGAGATACATGCTGGCGAGCTGAGACATGGCGACGCTCATGGGCGTCGAGAGCTGTACATCGGCCGAAGAGGCCGAGGGCGCCGAGAGGAGGGAGAGGTAGTATGGTTGATGGACGTGCGTGAAATAGGCGCCCGCCAGCGCGCCGAGGGGCTCTATAAAGAGGAAGAAGAGGGAGTAGGTGAAGGGAAGGCTGAAGCCAGCCTGAGCCTCGCGATACCCCATGGCAATGGTGATGGTTACGTATGTTGATGTTGAGACAAAGTTCTAGGCGCTGATCATCATTGAAGAAATTGTCGGTGACAAATGGGGTAGCTTAGCTTTCAGACGGGGCTGACCTACCCTAGACTCTGGCTCTTAACTCACCACTCAACGTACCAAGTCACCACCAGCAACATTCTTACCTCTCAAAAGATAGTGGATTTAAACTAAAAATCAAATAGGCAGGCCTGTGGCAACATCATATCTACGCGCCATGGCACGGTCGGAAGCAACTTCTGGGTCGAAACCAACGGGCCCTCAATGTGTATCCTGAGCGGCTTATCCACTGCCGCCGGCGGATGATGACAATGAGAAGGATCTTGGAGATATTTGCGTATATGGAGCGAATGGGTCATTGCTGTTGGTAAGATTTCTCACTTTAACTTGTGACGCAGGAGTTGGGTGGGAGGAAGAGTCCGCGATACCAAGCATGAAGCGCAGCAACAGGCCAGGCAGCATGTTCACGCGCCAATCCCCGCGCCACTCAAGGATACAGTGGCGATCCTGACTGTACTTGAGTAGCCAGGTAGAGATGTCTCGAGAATGGCTGGATTAGTTTTATCAGAGACGTTCTAGGCATCGCTTTGTAAACATTAATACTACGCAGGGATATACATGTATAAACAGTCACAACGTGGTCTGGAGATTCAGCGTGCCCAACTCGGTCGGGATCCATTGATCCAAGGGGAACCCCCCTGCTCGAAATGAGATCATCACTGCAATTTCTCAAATAGGCAGCGCGAATCCCGGGGCAACAAAACACAGCGTGACATGGGTTGAGAACTGTGATCCCCGTCCAGAGAGGCTAACCAAATACCAAAAGAAGTCAGAGGCTTAGAAGAGACTACACAGGCTTGGGTGTATGTTAAACGGATCGACTACGTCAGCCAATGTCGCCAGCGGAGGCACCTTTGGCTGGGGTCTGGAGAAAAATTGGGCTCCTTGAATCCCGTCCCAAAGAGCCTACGTACTTTATAAATGTTGTGTGATGCTATCCGTGCTCCGTGGATTCTGGCAACACCAACGCATCGAAGATTCACTTTGAGGTAATTACAAAGTCTCATCTTGGTTCTTTTCACTCACCGACTTCCTTTTCCTTGAGTCCATGTCTCTCTATCCGCCGCCAGTGCCGCCAGTCCAAGCCCCAAGACTCCAAGACGAACAAAAAACGGGTCCTACACACAAGCGCACTGCTCTCCGCCCCTTGTGATGGCACCAGCCCCCTCCGGATCCAGTCCCTCCATCATGCCATCTCCAACCTCTGTTCGCCGCCAAAACTTTAATTTTTTTTCTCTTCCGACCATCCCTTTCCTCGGCATCGCCGTCTTAGCGTGCTTGAGCCATCTTTTTCTTCTTCTTCTCGAACGAAATATCATCTCTTAGCGTCCTTTGTCTCGTGCCTGTGCCTGATCGTCACATTGAGTTCTCGTAACACTCGTTGAACGCAAGGGGTTCTTGTTCATTGTATGACTTGGATCTCCAAATCTACCCACGCATCTTCTGTGTCTTTGCTCCATTTCGAACCCTTATTCCGGTGGCCCTTTGCGGCAACCTCGGGACGCATCTCTTCACCTGAACGACAGCTCATTCTCCGACGTCTATCCGGCAGAGCGTGCACCAAGTCGACCCTTGTCTGTCCAATTACGATCGAGTCAATTCGTAGATTGGCACAATGTCCAGCAACCACCTCTCGCCGCGCGACCCGGCGCCCAACGAGTCCATTTTCGGCGCGATGCCTCACCGCGAGCACCAGCCTACCTCGTCGTATCCATCCCATCCTCGTATGCGAAGCCTCAGCATGTCTCTGCCGTGGAAGAGACCCAAGACTCCCAGAATAACACTCGATGGCTTGCCGCAACAAGTAGGGGACCTGGCTATCGACGATGAGACGAGCGAGATCAGGGGCGCGATGGCGCGTCCTCGTGGGCTCAGCCAGGGCCACAGCCCAGTACACAACCACGGCTTCAAGGGGATGATTCGCCGGGCATCGACGTCTTTGCGCGGGATCGTCCATCGTCGACCATCCATCGCGGCAGCGGAAGGCGCGATCTGGGAGGAGAAGGAGCAGGCGGCAGGGCCCCCGAGGCCGACAACCTCGCATCTGATCGGCCCGCGCTCGAAACACCAGCATGGCGTTCGTCCGGTCCGATCCTTCTACGGCCTCAACACCACGCACGACTCATTTGCGAACGACGAGCGCCCAGCATACACCTCGTACCACACTCGTCCAGGCATGGGCGCCGAGCCTCCCGTCATCCCTTACCACTCTGGCGCCGCGGCCAAGGCCTCTGCTGCCATGCACAACGAGTATCTTGCCCGGTCCGGAGGGCTCTACCACAGCCCAGACTGGCTGATGCCGTACACTAGCGACGGCAACAAGGACGACGAAAGTGGTGTCGGTATCGCTGCGACGATCCCCGAGGCGAAGGAGGCATACATTGAGCGCGTGAATCCTGTCGCTCGTCTCCCTACCGAGTTGGCCATCCACATCTTCGCTCTGCTGGACGCGTCGACTTTGAGCAAGGCCTGCCTAGTGGCCTCCGAGTGGAATGACTTGATCAAGAACCAACACATCTGGCGGGACTCGTGCATGCGCGAAACAACAGGCACGTACGCCATGGGCAGGCCGATAGCTGTGAACGCTGGCCTGGGTCTTCCCAAGAATACTCCCGACAAGGACTGGCGCATGATATACAAGGTCAGGATGGATCTAGAGAGGCATTGGAGAGAGGGCAAAGCCCGCCCTACATATCTGACCGGGCACACGGACAGTATTTACTGCCATCAATTCGACGAGTAAGTGCACTCACGCCCTTGAGACTCGAGATGCCGGGTACTAACTAGGCTCCGTAGACACAAGATTATCACCGGGTCGCGCGACCGGACCATCCGCGTATGGGATGTCCACACTCACGAATGTCGCTTTATCATTGGCGCCGGCGAGTTTGTGCGACAACAAGGGGTGCTTCTGGACCAAGATGGCGAGCCGACACACTGCGCGACGGATTCCGACGGCAAAGTTGCGTCCGTGTCCATGCCGCAGCGCCTCTCCTACGACATGCACCACAAGGCCTCGATTCTATGCCTTCAATATGATGACAGGATGCTTGCGACCGGCTCATCCGACTCCACTTGTATACTGTACGACATCAAGGACGGCTTCCGCCCCTTTCGTCGTTTGCAGCACCATACTGCCGCCGTCCTCGATCTCGCCTTTGACGACAAGCACATTGTCACGTGCAGCAAAGATATTACCATCTGTGTCTGGGATCGAGAGACTGGTACGCTCCTCCGCCAGCTCCATGGTCATACGGGACCTGTGAACGCTGTGCAGATGCGAGGGAACACGATTGTCTCTTGCTCCGGTGACTTTAAAGTCAAGCTGTGGAACATTGACACGGGCAAAAATATTCGCGAATTCGTTGGGCACACCAAGGGCCTAGCCTGCTCTCAGTTCTCCGAGGATGGACGGTACATTGCGTCCGCGGGCAACGACCAGAAGATTCGCATCTGGGATGCGAACACTGGCGAGTGTCTCCGCGTGATGCGTGCCCACCACACGCTGGTCCGCAGTCTACACATTGATTCCGTCAGCGGGCGCCTCGTCAGTGGTAGTTACGATACGGACATCAAGGTCTGGGACATGAACTCGGGACGGCAGCTCCTAGACTTTCCTCACTGGCACTCCAGCTGGGTGCTGAGCGCCAAGAGCGACTATCGCCGCATCGTCAGCACAGGTCCCGATCCCAAGGTTCTGCTGATGGACTTTGGCGCGGGCATAGACGGCATCGATCTCTTGAATAGCGAAGGGTCAGAGTCTCACGGCGGGCAAGGCGGGTTCATTTGATCCTGGGAATTTTTTGCATGCAAGGTGCTTTTCATGCGTAGATTGACTTGTCACTGCGTCGGCAATTTTTTGGGGGTTGAGCGAGCTTTTCGGTTTGGTTTATTTTTTTTCTTGGCTTTCATCATTGCAGATAGACTGTGTTTACTTGGCGGACCAGCAGAGCTGGATTCTCCGTGGACGCCAATAGGACATACAATTGTTATTGCTGCCCGAACATCGATCGTACCACAACAGCGCAGCTAACAAGAACAAGAACAATTTGCAACGTTGCAAGATGCGACCCTCTCGGCATCAGTTCTTATGTTGAACGACACTGATCGAAAGACCCGAGATCGATGCCGCAACCGTCGTAGGGGATGTCATGGGGCATCCAGCCTACCAAGCCCCGACAGCCCAGAACGGCAGGAGATCAAGGGTAGCATTCAGATGGGGATGCGAAATTGCGAACAAAGGGCCGACTTGGGCAGAGCTAGTCAGGGCCAAGATGATGCTCTTAATATGAGGAAGGTTTTTGCTTCTGCCACCGCCCGAGCTCGACACGGCTTGAAGGTGCGGCCCGAATGGACCGCGGCCGAGCCATCCATCCAGTGAGCTTCCCGAGATGGTGTCGACTGCGCATGGGGAGGATGACCACATTGGCAGATGCAGCTGGTCAGGAGGACTGGACCTTGGGGCACGAGATGCGAACGTGTGAATACTTACGTACCAATTTCTAGAACCTGTGCGCTCTCAGACCGGCATCAATAATTATTCATCAGCCATTTGGACAACAGCAAGACGAGATGGCGATCGGCGCGCTGCATCACTAACTCGGATCACTTTATTACCGAGGGGGACACTGCGAGTCAGCGACCTGGATTCTATGCCGAGCACCGAGCAGTGCATGGACGGCGTCGAAAGTCGAAACTTTTGGAATAAGTAGACTAGGAGGCATCTCGCCGATTCACGACTGCGGAGCAGCCCTGCAGTTCAGGGTTGAAGATCCCCCGCATCGCGAATTGATGCCGCCGGTTGATGGTGGGCCACCCGCCGCTGGGGAATCCGAAGAGCGTGACCATTCATTCAGTTTCAGTTTGTAGTGCCAAGGCGTGTCAACTCCTCGACAGGATCGAGCACGGGGAAGAAAAGGGTATGGTATTATTGGAAGAGACCGTAGTCCGTAGGGTCGTGTGCGCGGGCTTGTCGTCGGCGCTTCCCAACTCCCCTGTGCCTTGTCCGTTTGGCTGGCAGCCACTGACCATTAATTATTAGTGGCTACTGCAAGAGCCGTTCCAATGTCTCAAGCATCGCCCGCCACGGCCCACGAGATCTCTGCTAGTGCCCGTGACCCTACTACCCGCCGGGCGATGCAAGCAACTCTTGTGGAATGCTGCTCAAACTCGTCAGCCCCGCCTGGCACGTGCTAAAGAGGAGATCAAGGGAGTGGCCAGCCACCCGGCAAGTCAATCATGGTTTGTGATGCGAAATCCATGGACTGAGGTACATCACAGGCGTTTGTTCCAGAAGCGGAGGCGGGCAGACCGCGACGCGGAAGATTGGATTTGGCCCTAGTCTAATCGGAATTAATAAGCTGCGCTAGGCGGTAGGCAATATGGGAGGTTGCTGCAAGGTACGCGATGAAGCTGTTTGGCGAACGATTGGACGGGGGGCGTCTCTATTGAAACAGGACTAGCCGCTCATAAGGGGCACCCACGCAGAGTCTCCACTTCCAACGACACCCAAGGGCGCTCACAAGCCAGTCCTTTTTGACTGACATTTCCTGGTCTCTCGCGTCATGTCTTGCGTCCTTGCATTCGCGCACTTGGCTACGCTTATGTCGTAGAAGTCGCAAGGGAGCCAGTATCATCAGCAGCGTCTCTTCCACCACCGCTTGGCGCTGCTTAATAGGCGTTTGAGCACCATCGAAGGAGAAGGATCCCAACCTCCACTCTTGGCGAAGAGCGCCGGCGGCAACATTGGAACGATCAGGGCTAAGCGGATTCATGCGAATGACGGCGCAGCGCGTACTACATGGCATTGTGGATGAGTAGACGTGCGGGAGCCGCTCATCGCATTGTGTGTCGGGTCTGTTTGAAACGCCCTTTGCTGCGGCAGCCAATTGTTTCACACTGTTTGCCTCTACAGGGCTGGCACTGAAGCTGGAAGCATGGCGCAAATGCCAGTAGACGCGACAGCGTCCGATTTCCAGCGCAAAAAAGTAAATGTGAGTTCTCGAATGGTCTGGCGGTACGAGTCGATACGTGTCCTATTTCAGGCGAGATGAAACCTGGCAAGGCAAGTGCCGTCGTATATCAACTGCCAATATCAGCGCCGCCTGCCTCTCACTTGCTGCTCACCTGCCACTTGCCTTCGTCAACGTCGACGCACCTTTCCTTCCTTCATTGTGGTACCTTCTCGCTTTTCGCGATATTCCTTCGAAACTCGCCCTTGGTTCTATTTTGCTTCACTTCACTTCACTGTACTGTACTGCACTTCACGGCCAACGATACCCGATCCCTAGCTTCGACTCTTTGGCTACGCTGCCGATCTCCCTTGCCTCGACGGCCTTCATTCTTTTCGTTTCTCTATTTGGATTGCCGGCGTGACTGGTTCCCGCCGAGTACTTGCACCAACAAAACCTGGTGGGTGCATTTCTTGATTCCTCTCCATCATCTCACATGCCATGCGCGTGCTCTTTGCATGTGCAACGTTGTGTCGCCCCTCCGCACCGCGTCTACCCATCACTAGCACTTATTCACCTTGCTGAGCCGCGATGTGATCTTTCGGCCCTGGAAGGAGCAAGTGCTTGTTCCAGCTGATCTTCAATGCGACGCTGTAGAGGTGACCTCGGGCGGATCGGCGGGCGCAGTAGCCCAAAGGAGAAACTGCATAGTCTCTCGGTCGACCCTCGTTCAAATCTTACCGTCACTCGTCAAAGTCGACTGAGGCCCCCATGGGGACGCGTCCTACGAACACACCCTCTGCTGCCAGTAATGGACGACTGCTGCATCTGAGAGTTCTGTGTTCCTGCGCGTGACCCTTGGCAGCATATGTTGATGCACTTTTCGGACATCATCTGGCGACACGTCGCTCAACGACTGGCGACTGGACCCCTTATGCTTGTTCACCACCGTCTCCCCAGGACTCCCATTCACTGTCGGTTGATCTATTAAATACCACTCAACCTCCTCTCACTCTTCTCTTTCTGTCATTGTTCTCATCCACACTATTCACTCCTCGTTCTGCTTCTGAGAACAAGGAGACGGTCTGAATCCCCTCGTCCTCTCCTTCCTATTTCTTACATGTCTCTTGCCGTGTCCTTTTGGAAACATCAACAACTTTAGCACTTACAGTGGCCTGACCTTTTCAGCATCAAAGTTATACTCAAATTCCCTGGTGGAAAACTTATACCTCGCTCTACATCATGATGGTCCTTTCGACCTTTCTCACCGCTTCGCTGCTGGCCCTGCGTCTCTTTAGTCTCGAGGCCGCAGCGAGTCCTGCACCGTCTCCGCAAGCCCAGGATGGCTCCGACGGTAGCGTTACTGCTTCCGACTGGTGGTTCGCCAACATTGAGCGCACTGGCGCTGTTCCTTTCGGCGCAGGTGGCGCCGACTACCCCGTCTTCCGCAACGTCAAGGACTACGGCGCTCTTGGTGACGGCACGACCGATGACACCGTGGCTATCAACGCTGCCATCACTGACGGCGGCAACCGTTGTGGCCTTGGCTGCGACTCTAGCACCACCACCCCCGCCCTTGTTTACTTCCCTCCCGGAACCTACGTTGTCTCGAGCCCCATTGTCCAATATTACTACACCCACATGATTGGCGATCTCCAGGACATCCCGACCATCAAGTCGACCCCTGATTTTGCTGGCATGGCCGTCATCGACGCCAACCCATACAATAACGAAGGCAACAACTGGTTCACCAACCAAAACAACTTCTTCCGTCAGATTCGCAACTTCAAGATCGATATCACTGCGCAGCCCATGACGACTGGCACTGGCATTCACTGGCAAGTCGCTCAAGCGACATCGCTTCAAAACATTGAATTCTTCATGGTAGAGGACCCAAGCGAGGCGAATGTGCAGCAGGGTATCTTCATGGAGAACGGTTCCGGAGGCTTCATGACCGACCTCATCTTCCACGGCGGTAACTATGGCGCCTTCTTTGGCAGCCAGCAATTTACTGCCCGCAATCTCGAGTTCAACAACTGCAAAACCGCCATCTACCAGATCTGGAACTGGATCTGGAACTACCATGGCCTCGTGGTCAAGAACTGTGGCGTTGGAATCGACCTTACGTCGGGCGGCAATTCTCAAACCGTCGGCTCTGTCATTGTCCAGGACGCGACCTTTTCCGACACGCCAGTTGGCATCTCTACCCTCTACGACCCAGGCCAGACCGGCACCAATGGCACCCTGGTCATTGACAATGTCGACTTCTCCTCCAACGTTCCCGCTGCAGTGAAGAATGGTGGAACCGGGGCCACCATCCTTGAGGGAAACCAGGTGGTTGAGTCATGGATCCAGGGCCGCGCCTACTCTGGTTCCCAAGGCGAGGCTGTTCAGGGACCCAGGCCTGGGCCTAGCAAGCCTGCCGCCCTTCTCGACGACTCTGGCAAGATGTTCACTCGCAGCAAGCCCCAATACCTTGACGTCCCTACCTCCAAGTTTGTATCTGTCAAGGCTGCCGGTGCGGTTGGCGACGGTCAGAGCGACGATACCGCTGCGATCCAGAAAACCCTTGACAACCTTGCCGAGGACGAGATCGCCTTCTTCCCTCATGGTGCATATATCATCACTGACACTGTCCGCGTCCCTGCCAACATCAAGATTGTCGGTGAAATCTGGCCCATGCTGATGGCTGGTGGCGACACCAATTTCCAGGACCAGGCCAACCCCAAGCCCATGCTTCAGGTCGGCCAGCCCGGCGATGTTGGCAATGTTGAGATTTCCGACTTCATGATTGAGACCAAGGGGCCCCAGCCTGGTGCTATCCTCATGGAGTGGAACGTCGAGGGCGCCTCCAAGGGCTCCGCTGGCCTGTGGGATGTTCACTTCCGGGTCGGCGGCTCCGCTGGCACTGACCTCCAGTCGGACAAGTGCTCCAAGACACCCAAGCAAACGACCCCCGCCGACCCGGAGTGCATTGGCGCGTTCATGCTCATGCACGTGACCAAGTCCTCCAGCATCTACATGGAGAACACGTGGTTGTGGGTGTCTGACCACGAGCTCGACCGCAGTGACTTCAACCAGATCAACATCTACAACGGTCGCGGTATCTTGATCGAGTCGACCAAGGGTGCGTGGCTGTGGGGAACTGCGTCCGAGCACAATGTTCTGTACAACTACCATCTGCAGGGCGCTCAGAATGTGTACATGACCGTCATCCAGACCGAGACTGCCTATTTCCAGGGGAACCCCGACGCGACCGTCCCCTTCGACACCAACCCCGACTTCTACGACCCCGACTGGGCGCACTGCGACAGCGACCGCTGCCGCAAGACATGGGGCCTGCGTGTGGTCGACTCGAGCGACGTCCTCTTCTACGGCGGAGGCATGTACAGTTTCTTTGAGAACTACACTCAAGAATGTCTCGACACGGAGGATTGCCAGGAGAACATGGTCGACATTGTCAACTCGGACATTAAGATGTATGGTGTCAGCACCAAGGCTAGTGTCAATATCATCTCGGCCAATGGCGAGGGTCTCATGACGCACTTGCCCGATAATGAGAGTGTGTTCTGCGCTTCCCTGGCGTTCTTCGAGATGTCTGGGTCGGCATGATTATAGGAAAGCACAGTCTTTTGAGGCGAACAGGGGCGGCACATGAGCCTGGATGCTTACTGGCTGTTGGGAAGGGAAACGACTGCCACTGCGACGACAAACTAGCAGTACCTGCTTCACCAGTACTGGTATACAGAACATGGACGCAGTAGCAGAGTTGTATATATTTATGGGAAAGCGAAATATACATGGAGTTCAACTCTGCCTCTCTTACTCACCGTTTCGTGATCGACATGGCTTTTGACAGCTGTCAGCCTGTCACTGTTTGGAAGAGATCGCCGGATAACCGCTCCGCAGACTACTTAGGCTAGGATATCAATATTTTCCGCTTTGTGAGCAATTGGACGCCAGCATCAAATTCGGCAAGGCTTGGAAGCCGACCAGGCAAGAAACTGCTCATTGGGTGGGTTTTTAGGTGGAGAATCGTCGTCGCTCATAGACCGGCCCTATGTAGTCTGGTTAGACAGACAATGACAAGTTGCAAGCCTGACCAGAATTAAATAGTATCAAGTACAATGCTCTGGGGTGTGCCCCCTGTGTCCATCCGTTTGTGGCCGCTCCTTGAGTATGACGCGCGGTCTTGGTACAAGGAAGCAGGCTGATGCGGACGATGAGTGGACATGTCATTAGTGAGTCGACGATCGGATGTTTCAGCATTCTTCATAGTCAACGGCCACTTTGTAAGCAATCGGCCGCCACTGCAAGCTCCCAGCCTCTTTGGACTTAATCGAGATCGAGCCTGGTGACCGAAACGTGCCGCATTCTCCCCCGTCCAGAAACCACGCGGATGGGGAATGCGTCGAGCGCCTGCTGTGGCCGTGGATCCGCCTAAGCCATGCGCAGAGGCAATAGAGCTATAAGTATGGGCGTCATAGTACGAAAAGATATCATGATCTAAGAACCTACCCCGCTCGGCACTAGGCTTAGTGTGTTGAAATTCATGCGTTCCCCTGGGTGTATTTGAGAGGGGCAAGAACACTATGCCTCACTAAGGGTAAAAAAAAAGGAGATAAGGGTCTTAAAGTACTCGCACCTTGACCTCAGAGGTCCGCGGTCTCGAATTCCGTGCCTATATACTATAACGTCGTTGCCTTAGCATGGCTAGAACAGACTAATGGAGGCGATAGCTAGAAGTACTCGGAGGACTATATATAGCTTGCCCCACAGAGAGGCACGAGCAAAGAGCTAACGCCGCGACTAGACTCGATAGACATAAAGGTCGTCCTATTACCCCTTTCGTGGCCTTAGCGGCCGCAGCCTGCGTGAGGAAACCAGATGTAGGCCTTTAGGACGTAAAGATAAGGGAAATCTTTATCGATACCTTATATACACTGAAGCTCAGAGATTATAACGAAATCGAGCGACTTAACCCGGGGATAGATATTGATAAAATTAAGCCGTCACAGTATACCATCCCGTACGTAGGTGACGTGGATTGGCCGGCGACCTGGTTTACCTTATCTTGCATGCCTACCCTAATACTTGACGGGCGAGCCGTTTCTGCTACGCCCACGGCCGACCTGGAGGCCACGTCCACGGTTCCTGGTATAGCATCCTCCCTTTTAAAAACAAGATCCGCTCAAGAATGATCGTGATAACGAATGGGATTGGCCGACCTACTCTCTCTTGTTTTTCCCTTCTCAGATCGAGTACTTTTCTCGAAGCAAACGATAGTCCCTCCCTGACAGAAGCTTAATAGAACATGGCCCGTCACCGCCTTACGTGACACTGGCCAGTGGATATCACAGCTGTCTTTAGTGAAAGAGATGATCCCGATTGCTGCAGCCATGCAAACATGTTCTGGGAAACCAAGTTTCCCGCCCGGCAGCTACCGGTAAAGACCAGGAAGAGTTCGCCGAAGACGAGAGTCTTCTACCTAGGCTGTAGGTTGTATCCACGGTATAGATACACTGAGACCTGGTCATTTCATCAAGGACTCCCAGGACATTATGCTTTCGTCATGTATCAATGCCTACAGTATGATAGTGTTGAGTAAACGCAGCCTCTATTTGTTAAACTTCAATAAACGTACGCTTTGTGCCGGCTGAGTATCCTAAGTATAACTTCGCCGATGTGCTCTTGCTACATGATTACCTGCAAAAGGATATCCCCTGTGAGCGCTTACTGCGACCTAGGGCATCATCGACCTGTTGTCCTTCATCGGAGTGGCTGCATCAATAGAATCCTGGATATTCAAATATCATGCGCTCAACTGACCAGCCTATACATGTGAACATTCTCATTGTCGTAGATATCTAAAGAGCCATACCAATAGTTACCGAGGCAGAACTCAAGTTACTGACAATCATCTTCTTGTCTTGAAAGCACCAGACGCGGCACGCGCATGTTTCCAAGATATACTCACCTCGAGAAGCACACCCAATAGAGTCAGAACCTGCGGGAGGCCGGTTTCTTACTTCTGTGACGTGGCCGCGTCTCATTAGATGGCCCTGCAGCGTTCGCTGCATGAAGCCGAGGAGTTGGGTGTGATGGTGGCAGCCTCGTCAGTTGACATGGGCTCGAACCGCGAGCACTGTCCTTCTAAGCTCATGGACATCTCATTGTACTCTGAAGAACTTCTTTCTAGGTATTCACTTTCGTTCCGTCGCCAGATCTCCCAATGGACGTCCAAGATGTATCAGGTGAGAACTGGCTTGGTCCGGCTCTGCAGCAATGGCAGCCGAGCGCAGCTCGAGCACAGCGGCGAAAGGGTGAAATGGTACGCGATCACCTCCCACTAATTCGGCTTGCGTCTCGGTTTATGGTAAAATTACACATAAGTTCTTGTGTGCAAGGGTCGGCACTAGGCAATGTATCGATATCACAGCTCCTTCCAACATACGCCCCTTCCGTCCGCTCTATTGGCGAGCTTGAAGATATTGTCATTTCCGAAATGAGGCTTGAAACACTTGGGCGACCTGCGGAGGCCTTTTCAGACGCCAGACTGGGTTACGATCCTTCCGCGTTGTCGGAGAAGGGACTCTACTCAGAAGCGCGAGCTTTATATGAACTAGGGAACTTCGAAGACATTGTCATTACGGCGGCGGTCCCTACTAGGGGTACGAAGGCGGCATTAAACGTCACGCGTTGAGGTTTCCTAACTGATATGGTGCCTTGGGCATTCTTCCAGCTCTTTCAGGCTTACCAGAGCCTAGCGCCCGAGGTTTGAATCGCTGCAGAAGCGTTTGCTGGCGTCGCTTGTAGTATCCTGGTGGGTCAAGGGGGGATTTGGGAAGACGAAGTCCAGGAGTTCATGTAGCTGCAGAACGAAGAGTGCTTTTGAAGGCCAGTCGCATCATGATACTCTCTGGAACGGCAAAAGACTAACGGGCGGTTCCGGCTATCGAAAGTCCGCTGAGTGGTTGTCGCAAACATAGTGCGGCCAACCTGTGTTTGGAAACTCAACGAGGGAACCTCGATATTGAACACGAATGGAATACGGTTGCTTGATGTAATGACTATGAGCGTGATCTTGTGCAACACATATCATCATCTTCGCAATCATGATCTTGACGTAGAAAATACACCTACCTTGCTACTCTGCATGGTTCACATACATTAGAGAGGTCTCTTCACCGAGCCGGGCCAGGGTAACCCTAGTGTTGTCTGATAACGGACTAGTCTAGGCCTCAATGCTTGATGTTGTAGCCGGCTCATTTCCATTACAGAACATATGCCGAGAGACCACAATCCTCTTTGTCATTCCGGAGGCGGCAGACTACACTATACTGTCACATAAAAAGGACTAACCTACTACTCCCACTACTTCGGGTGACTCGCACCGCGGCGCGGCCCGTGCCAGCGCCATAGCAATACCACTGAGCGTAGTCACGTAGATACGGCACGAAAGCTGCGGGGTAGAAGTGCAACAAAAGATGCCCTCTTGTGACTAGGGTCAATTGATAAATTATTGTCAGACCCAACCGGCGGCCCCGCCGAACAACGCCCTTGTCAAGGAGGGATTCAACACCTTCCTTTTGCAGCCTCAAGCACTAATCTCGCAATGATATTTTCCTCGCGCTCAGTATAACTTGGTTCTAACCATCCAGCACTGTATTGACAGGTTCGGCCTTATCGTGAGCCGCTTCCTTAGTGTTGTAACCCTATTACCAACAATTATCATACTCTTGCTAGGCATCACTTGGTAGATGTGGGCACGTAGGTAACTTTCCAAGCCAGAACGTTGTTTCAGAGATGACTTTATACCAAGCTCCCCTGCACACAGCTGATGGCGAATCGACAATAGCGCACAGTCCTACTGTTGTATGGCAGGCCAGTGACTGCCTCAATCCAGTCAATGCTTTGACTGGTCAGGCTGCACATTCGGCCCACAGCTGCCCTCAAAAGGCAGCATCTTCGCGCTTTCGCGTTCTTCCTCTTTTCATAGCATCAGCATCTTCTTCAGATAGAGAATTCATCTTCTCCCTTCTCTCCTGATCAGTTGATCATCATACCTACTAAGCCACTGATACCCCTGTTTCCACACCGTGGATTGGCATGGCGGAGCCCGACGCGTCGGCAATTGACATTGCGAGCACGGCTGGAACTTGGGTTGCGGCTATCCTGGCTATCATTGCACTTGTCGGCATCATCGGCCCATGGCTGGCACTTCAAGCCGCGCACAGCGACAAGAGCCGCGCTCTGAATGCCGTACGCGATCAGCCGCAACGCTATGTCACTAAGGGTTTCAGTATTGGTGCGCACACCACCCTCTTCCGCCGCGTCCGCGTCCCGGACCTTGCTCCAACTTATGGCACGAATAAGGCGACTGTGGCCAACTTTGCCAAGGGTGTTGATTTCAAGGACCGATTGTTCTTCGAGTTTCCCGATTACAAACAGTGGAACACAGGATGGGCGATGCTGGCGGCCGCTGCGGAGGCGTACAACTTTCACCGTCCCCCTCCCCGTGATGGAGACGAGCCGGTACTGATGCCTCTAGTCCGCGCTCAAGGGGGCACTGTGGAAGTGATCAATTCGCTGTCCGCCGTTGTGGTGAGCAAGCATTGGGTTCTACTATTTGGTTTGCTCGGTCGTTATAGTTCATTTTCGACTCATCGCCAGTCTCTCAGTCCCGAGGGCATCTTCTCCCGCCAGCCGGATGGCGCACCGCATTTGGTCGGAGGGAATACTGAAAACTATGGCGACTCGGACGACGATACAGCTTCGGATATCAGTGTACCCGAGTCGTACAAGACAGACGCTAGCCGGCGCCTCGCCGTTCAACAAACCGCTGCCGGTGTTCCCGTTCGCTATCGGCTGTTTCAGGGGCACCATGGTATTTGGGAGCTGTCAAGTTCTCGTCTCCCCGAGATTACTGGGTTCACCGGGCGTTTCCGCTCTCTCGGGCATCAGAGAGGCAAGTGGACGTACCAGACAGCTCTTGCTTACTACGGTCGACATGCCAAGGAGATAGCGGAGCTACTGGGGGAAGACTACGCGGGTGAATCGAAAGCCGTTGAAGTCGAGCCATTGGGGGTTCTTTTCTGGTTGGCGAACGGATTTATTCCGTATCGCTCTGGCTCGACTTATGAGGTCCTTTCTTTCGTTGACCCCTCACGAAACAGCGCCGGCAAACCACCCGACGAACTACTAACCTCCGAAGGAGTGGCTCGTCGTGGGTCACACACGTACAATTTCGTACTGGAAGAAACTTCGGGGGTGTCCCAAGACGTTTACAACAGCGCAACGGTACTAAATGAGGTCGATTGGACTGCAAAGCGCTGGGTTCCTTCTGCCCACCCTGTCACTGATCATGGCGCATGGTACACAGTGCCCAATGGCGGCAAGCTTCTTCTGGACGACATATCACACGTCGCGTGGGCGTGGTTATCTCTCCAGTGGCATGAATGGGGATACCTGATCTGGAAGTTGGAGTGCAAGTATTGGACCAAGATTATGCAATCGTCGGCATCGCTGCTCCTGGACGACGTCTATTCTGTGCAGGTCTCCGCCTTTCTCGATAAACTGGTCCCTGATGACGACCAGCAGAGTAGTCTACAGGCCATATTTGACTGGGACCCCGAGTCAGGATACCACCCGATCAAAGTAAAGGAGTATGTCCGTTTCGAAAAACACATAGACTCGCTCATCTCGGAAAATCTGCGTTGGGCCAAGGTTCCTCTCGGGGTGCTGTTCATGCTGAACGGTAGTCTTACAGAAAGTATACGTACCCTTCTTGATCCTGCGGCCTCAACACCGGAGGCGACGCCTGCCATAGTGGCTCCTCAACCTCAATCGTCGCCTCACTCTCAGGGAGAGCCGGTCCGTGAGGCGGAGCTGGTTCCTGCGCCGCCGCAGCCAGCACAGGACCTGACGCTCATGGGGACTCTGGAAGATTCTATAGATATAAGTCGCCCATCTTCTCTAGAAGATATTCCGGAGTCAGATCCAGAAGAAGATTCGATTGCAGGCGAACCTGGTCCTGCACGACCGTCGTACACTGCGAACCGCTCCATGACAGTCCGTGAAGAGAACATGAGAAACCAGCGGGAAAGAAAAAGACTTGAGAGACGAGAAAATTCGACGGGAAAGAGAGGGACTTGTCGTAACTTTCGCATCATCAAGGAACGACAGAGGCTGGCTCTTACGTGGGATAGCCAAGAAGCGCATATCACCTTTCACGATGGCCTGCCAATGCTGAAGCTAGACGAAGCGAGCACTTTGGAAAAGGAAGTACTGCCCAAGCGGGCGATCCGACAAGGCCTGCCCACGGAAGGACTGAGCATTACAGAGAGAGATGCAGTGCTAATATGTTTATTGGCGGCTGCAAGGTGTGCTCTCTGGCTAAAGTCTGACGACTCAATGCCATTGATCAAGTTTGTCAAGAAACTTGATCGTCATGTCTTTGTCATGTAAAGTAGCAACTCAAACGAACGAGAAGGCGAGCGCATCATGCACGGCGTTATTATCGCTGTTAGCGAGGTCTATATAACCGATCTCGGCGGCACCGGATATGGACACGCAGAAGATACCACCGCCGCGGGAGATAAGGCGGGTGACCCTAACGTTGGTGGTAGTATACTCGCTATTATCAAGCCGGCCGTTCTCGTGAGCGAAGCGGAGGGCGGCGTAGCCAGTGCCGCGGTAGACCTAGGCGCCGTTAACGTTGGTCTTGAAGGTCCCGGAGCCGGTCACGATACCTTGGGCGTTGCCGTCGCCGAAGGCCGCGCTGACGGCGCCGGTAAAGGCCAAGGCGGCCGCGACCACGGAGGAGAGACGGAACTATATGGTACGTGGTGGGACAGCGGCAATGATGTGTTTCAGCTTCGCGTGGCAAGGGGGGATCAGTGCTAAGTTTTACAATGCCCGCATGCTCTGGGCACTCTAGCCCCGGATAGGTCGACGGAGCCTCGATCGCCGGCCAGCTGAAGGGCCGTTTCATGGTGTTTGTCGGGCACTCTACGCAGTTTCGTGACTTCGTCCCGGCGGCGAAAGCGCCTTGGCGGTGCATATGCAGAATGAGCGGAATGCGGACTCGGCAAACCTTCTGCTTGCATGGCTTGCGGTACAGGCAAGCTAGTAATAGATCAAAGTGTGGTGACTGCTCCCGCTGTCCCAACCCGTGTTTGCGTGGATTGGTAGTCGATGTCAATCGTCGATATCATCACTGTGTCGTCACGGGCGTTGCGGTTGCGCAGCATCCAGGTGGACTGCGCGGAAGGAATCCCCACTCGGGAGTGGTGGGGGTACTCAGTCAGGCCACGGGCCACGGCCCACCACTCAAGTAGTGAGGTAGGTAGGTGACCGCAGGTCTGTATCAGTACATTGCTTATCTTTTAACACTGGTCATAATGCCGTCGATGGGCCTGGAGTTGAATCACTTGCATGCAGACGCACTGGATCTGCGATCCAGTGATTGATTGCGTGCGTACAAAGTTCATAACTTGCATGCTTGGTTCACCGAGATAGCCTTGGCCCAAGGCAGAGCGTAGTCAGAAAGAATGAGCAAGAGGCCTCTAAACTGCTTAGCTGACGTAAAGAGTCAAACCTCGGTACCTTGTGTACTGCTTTTGACGTTTCCTGAGCCCCTTGAAGCTTGCCGACCCCCCTTCACCGTGATCGATCTTCACTCTTCTCTCCACTCCTCACACCAACATCGGGATGTTGGTCTGTCGAGCTCAGCCGTGCCGCATAATTACACCGTATTGATCTTCAGCGCGAGCTACTCGATGCGTCGAATCAGGCCCGCCATCGTGATTTGCTCGTCGTAGGAAAGCCTCAGCGTCTGGGATCGGACATGACAGAATTGGAGACCTGTCACAGGTGAATGTACGATTCCCATCCTCTAATGTGTGCCAAGTAGTCGGAGATACGCGCACTTTCGTCATCTCTGTTGACACAGCTTCCATAACGCAGCGGCACTGCATTTGGTTCAATTAGGCTTGCCGTGTTGCACCGAAATTCAAGAATCGACAGCCAAGTCTCCGTTTTCTTCTGCTTGGATTTCTCTAGAGAGCCATGGGTAAGAACAAGTCGTACAGTTCCTGTCGCTTTTGTCGACAAAGGCGAGCTCGGGTGAGTTCTTTCCTATGACACGGGCAAACATCGCCCACATGCCCAGTTGGAGGCTTTCCAGCATCGAGAATGCTGGCTTCGCAAACAATTGCGCTCACACCATTGCTTGCTTTCGCACTAACACACCCAGTGCAATGGCAAGGAGCCATGTCAACGCTGCGAAGAAAGCCAGCGAGATTGCGCATACGACGAAAGACCTGCGGAGTCCAAAGAGAAATTGCGAAGCGAACGAAGAGCTCTCCAAGAGCGGGTGCATGCCGCCGATACGGTGTTCCAAGCCGTCGCACAGGGTTCGGATCGAGACTTTGCCCTCAGAAGCCTCCAGCAACACGTTCCAGTGGAGGAGGTCGCCGCCCAACTCGAAGAGAGGTTCCGTCTCGATAAGCATCAAAACAGCTTATTTACCGACGCCACGCACACGAAGGACAGTATAAACAACAAAGGAGTGACTACCCAAGCATTCCCCATTATAGATGCGTCCCCTTGCGTCGTAGGGGTGTCTTCTGATGCACAATGCCAGGAACATCTGTGGCCTCAGGTACAATCTGGGATTAACAGCACGCCCACCAGCAATCCCAGCATTGAGGCATCGCAGAGCCAGGGAGATTATAGCAGTACCCTCGGGTCACCATACTCTGTGCAGTCGATGTTGATTGGGTCTTCCAACAGCTCCCAGTCTCCCATAAGTGGCCGACAACCTGAGCAGCCAAAAGCAGAAGCCGCAGGATACGCGAAAGCGGAGGAACGCGAAAGTAACATCCCAAACATTGGTCGAATGCCGATGCCGGCACTCCAGGTTCGCGACTTGATCGATAGGTTCTTTGCAAGGCAGTATATCCCTTCATGCACAACTTTTGTGAACAGGGGCAAACGTACTGTTCCCCGGCTTTGGTCTGTGCGATGTGCTGCCTAGTCTGTCGCAACCGTAGTGAATTGACTTTGAGTGACAACAAAGACGAAGCGTTGAGAGACCGCTTCTTCACCGAGGCGTGTCGCTTTTTCAACATGGACACCTTGTCGGATTGTTCTCTTCCAGATGCGCAAGCCCTAGCGCTGCTGGCGCTGCACGAGTTGGAACGAGGCAATCTAGATTCCTCCCGTTATTACAGCGATCAAGCAGTCCGCCATCTTCACGCCGCCCATGTTGCGATAGGGCCAGAAGCCAAAAATGACGATGCCGTCCTGTGTGCCGTCCGGAGGGACGTCCTCTACGCCCTCATCTCGCTCGCGCGGTATGTCAAATCTTTCAGACGTCGCTGCATATACTGATCCCGCACTCAGGATGATTCGACTCGGGATTGCTCGTGTAAAAGACGCGACCAGTTACGCTGTCAAGCGTCAAGCGTCCACCGGCACGGACATGATCAACCCGGTTGGGTTTCATGTAAATGCCCAAGTTGAGCAGCGTGAGTGGCCCTGTTTCGGTCGCAGCTTTGTCTTCTGGCAAACGTGAGATTGACTTCGATGCAGTGCTCAGCTGGACAGAACCTCAGCCTTTTGAATTCTCGTCCGCGTCGTTGCGCACAGGACCGGCATTGAGCCAGCTCACGACCTGGGTGTATTGCTTTTCGGCGCGAGCCCAGATATACGTCGATGATGTGCTTCCTGAGTTGCTTCTGGATACATACTCCGCATGCCTATCCTGGTACGCATCCAAGCTGCAGGCCAGCAAAGGCCCAGCCGGCGGCTCAGGGCCTTTCGATCAGTGAGCACCTTGCCTGCTATCCGCAGACGCACCACTAACCCAGATGCAGTATGTATTATCACTTCTGTGTACTGGAACTGTTCCGGCCGTTTTGCGATCTGCAATGCGTCACGATGCCCGTGTCTCCGCGACAGATCTGCCAAGAGTCAGCCGAGGCGGTCTTTGCCATGGCGAAGGCGTGCAGGGGTGCCAAGTTCGATGACTTTGATCTGCCCTGCTTTGTGCCGCTCTTTCTGCACGCGGCTGGCCTGATAGAGATCGATATTGCCGAGGGTCAGGCTAGAGACCAAGGTGTAGACATGTCGACGACAACTCTAGCATCGCAGAGCGACCCCTGGCTGTGGCTTGGAGACGCGGTCGACCCCTTGTCCCTAGGCAACAAGGCGGTGCAACAGCTCACCGAATTGTCCAGCCGTTTCGAAGTTGCGCGGAAGTTGGAAGCGGCCCTGCGCACAGCTTTGCACAACCGGGTTGGATCGGCGGAAGACGCAGCGAGGTGACGTGGTCGCTCGGCATGACACTCTCCGCATTCCGGCTTGTTGATTTGTCTTGACGTGGAGGGAGCGCAGCAATCGTAGATGAACAAGCATAGAGCCGAATGTGTGGCGCGAAGCGTGATGCTCGAATTTGCTGGACGTGGTCGGGCGGTGGAAGAGAAGGAAGATGTGATGATAATGACGGGGTAACGGGGTAACGGGGTATAGACAAGCCAAGGTAATACACCTTTTGTTCCTCCATGGTGAAGAAGGCTCCCAAGGGAAGGAAGGTGCCACCGCAATCTGCGGAAGGTGGAGAAAGACAGTCTGATATCCAAGGAACAGACAAGCAAGCCTTGCTTGGTACCATCGCCTGCCTGACAAGTATGATGTGTAGAGATAACCAGAGGCCGGCTGGTTGATCAGTTTCACGTTGAGAGCCACATATAATCTTTGGGCTGAAGGGACTAGCGTTCGCAGAATGGTACCTAGTACGCATCTCGATAGATACAAGCGTGAAGAGCGCACGACGCCCGAATCTCGACCAATGAAGTGATTATTAGATCAATCCCCAGTCTTCGGTCCCAGCTCTTTCCAAGATAAATGTTCGCCACACGGGCTGGTACGTGGAAGGGGGCCCAAGTCATCTCGTGGTCATCGGATGTGATAGGTTGGTTGACTTTGACTTGATCCGACCGACTCGGTATGTCTAGCTAGCCTGCATTCGGCGTTTAGCTACGGAGAAAAAATTCAGCGAATCATCTTGACCCTTGCTAAGTGGCTCACTATAATAGGGCGCCTAGGTAACTGTCCGACAGGCTATGTTGCGACTGTCCCCCTGGCCCCTTCAGTCAGCCTAGTCAGAGTGGAAAGGGGATGGCGCACTGCACAACAAAACGTCGCGTAATTCGCCGCAACGATGAGTAGGAAGTACAGTATAAATTCAATGAACCGATATATGTACAGTAATTTTCAATAGAGGCCGCTCGTGATAATGCTCATGATGTCCCAACCCTCTCCCTTTCGCTTCTACACAGTTTCCGTGCAAGTACACTAGATTGGATCCAACCGGTATCATTCATTGTGTGTGGTTTTGTAAAACTGGGCCGGACCATCTTCTCCGCCACTCAAATTGTCTCCCATCAATCATGCCGTAAGTTATTGCTATCACCCATGAGGTTCATGTGCATGATCGCGTCCTGCTCCCACGAGTGTCGGGAAGCGGCATCGTCCCCTCCCCAGAAGTCCATGCCTTCACGCCCGTCTACACCAGGCAATCGGATCTGTGGTGCTACGTGGCCTTCCCCAGATCTCGATTGGGGCTTCGGTCCGACCGTTGGTGGCGGCCCGTGCTCATCGTAGCGCCGGGATTCTGTGTGATTCTCTTCACGACCGCCTTGTGCCCGTTGTTGCGGTGGTGGCTGCCCTTGCCAGCCGCCACCGGCAAAGAAGCCCTCGTAATCCCGAGACGGCTGCAGACTCGTTGGTGTCTTGTCGGCGTCGTCTGGTAGCATGCCCATGGGGTGTGGCGCCTGGGACATGTCGGCAATCCTGCCCATCTGCTGCTCAAACTCCTCCTGCTCCATGATCCGCGGAGCTTGCTCCACTTGGCGTAGGCTTGACGCACCGGCAGCGCCTCCAGAGCTGCGGACACTCATGGTCGAGTGTCGCTGCGTTGCATCCGCTCCATCCTCGCCCATGGCAGAGGGGTCCACGTCACGGATCGCAAACTGAGCCAACGTCCGCATCTTGCGCGACACCCAGTTGCCCAGAAGCTTGCCACGCTGCTTCTCCCCGAGACGCGATCGGTAAAACTCTCCCTTGCTGACAAAGGCAACGATATCCACGATAATCTGGTGTTCGCTGAGGATGGCGTTGACAATGACGGGCACCAGCGAAGCCAGATAGGACCGCCTCGACACTTCCACCAAGACAACGACGAGTCCGCCGGCCTGGAATACAGCACTGTTGCTTTGTTAGCGAGATCCCCGCCCCAGCCAGTTCACCGTAGACTTACCATCCACCCGGGACGATTTGACGGTGGCAACGCTCTACAGAATACTCAATGTCCAAGGGGAAGTGGCTGAGACCATTGATCTCAAAGGTTTCGCCAATGCTCCCAATGACAAAGAGAACCTGCATGTCGACGAGCGCACCGCCAGGACCAATGGGTCGACTGATGTTGTGGAGGAAACCAAGGTCACCTGTGCGGATATATTGCGCGTTGGGATTGCCATCCACCGTCCGACCGTCGAATCGCTCTGCGTCGAACGCGTCCTTCGACCCATAGAAGGACTTGACGCAGGCCTCAGAATCCACCCAGATCTCTCCATACTCGCCCTCGTGACAATGCTCCCTGCTCTCTGGGTTCACAATCGCAATCTGCGTGGAAACAGGGACCATGCCCGAGTCCTGTATGAGAAGAGCATTTGGGTCCGTTTCAGGGTCGACGGGCATGATCAGTCCCCGGCGAAGCGCCTTCATATCCAGCCAAAGCTCAATGGGCTCGATACACATGTACGATCGAGACGCCACCATCGGATTCAGGACGTGAGAGTAGATGGTATTGATAGCGGTCCTATCCAGCCCAGCGGCCGCAAAGTGTAGGCGGACCTTTTGGAACACATCGACACGTGGGCGACCGTCGGCGGTGATCATCAAGTTCTTGAGCTCGTGCAGGGTGAAGCCCTTGGCCTGCATTGTGGCCATGGCATGGTCCAGCATCTGTGGCGTCGCATACGTGTCCTTGATCTTATAGCGCGACAATGTGACAAAGAGCGACATTGGATTCTGCGCAAACTCGACAGGTGACAGGAGGTAGGTGGGCGTGCCAATGTAGATACCCATGAGGCATGAATGTATAAAGCCCAGTCCAGTAGTGCTCCGGACACATCCAAGGACGGGGCGGGAGCTCGTCATCTGGCAAGTTTCCTTCTGGACCTTGCACATTCCCATGATCGTGTCATGGCCAAGTTGCACAGCAATGCGGCGTTGGTCCGGTGTCCAATATGTCCAGACAATGACGGGGTATCCTGGACGAATCCATGCTGGATCGATAGTGAACCCCAGGTCACGGAGACCGCTGCTCTGCTTTGGCGGCTTGGTGGTGTTGTACGTGGGCGGAATGTTGATCTTGAGCACTTGTGCTGACTGCTTGATGTGGTTGGCGACTGGCTTGCTTTTAAGAAGATGGTCGACGTCCTGGTTGACAAGAACAGCCTTGATCTTGTAATCCGAGATGATGTGCAGGTACGCCGGGACGTCCTCGTTTAATCTATTCTGATCCAGCGGCGCCATAGGAATGATGACTGCTCCAAGGTTGATGCAGGCATGTACAGCAAACACGAAATCTTCCGAATGGGTGTACATGAGGACTAAATGGTCCCCTGGTCGGACCTTGACCTTGTTCTTGAGATGCATGGCCACCGAGGCCACTCTAATGTCAAATTTTTTCCAATTCAGCCCTTTACCCTCGCGACCTCGGCCATCGATCGTGCAGTAGGATAGTTCCTCGGGCTGGCGAGCCACTCGCCACTGGATTAGGTCGGTAATGCAGGAGAAGTTGTTGAGGGGCGTCGACGTGCGGTCGTCAATCACAACCTCACGACGGTCGATGCCCGAGTATTGCTTCTCGGCGGGGTGCAAAATGGCGGCACGAGAATCGGAGGCCAGTTGCGACCAGATGCCTCCAATAGGGTCAACACCCACTGGCAAGTTAAGCACAGCGTGTTCGACGCCGAACTTTGTGTGCACGCAGGGCAGGTTGCCTAGGTCGAACTCACGACGGCACAGCATGTTGCCAATCTCCCGACGTCCGTTCTTGATGACCCGGGGGAGCGAGTTGGGCGCCGTGATGAGCACGCAGTACAGTCGAAGGTGGTGCTCTTGCATGAGCACTTCCATGCAGCGCTCGGCAATGGAGTCTAGCATAGCCGTGTCGATCTGCCTGGGAGGTCCTCCTGACGTGGCTGGCGCCGTTGAGGCCGCCGACGTCTCGACCACGACCACGGGAAGATGCTCATCATTGACAAAGACGTCGAATGCGGAGCAATCAAAGATCTTGGAGACCTTCTTCACGATACTGACTACAATGTGCTGCACAAAGAAATGCCTGTACTCGGCAACCTCGTGCCCGTGCTCGGTCCATTCAACCTTTTGTCGGATGCGGTCTTCATACAGGCCAAGGATGAAGATCTTGCCTTGAATCACGGTGCCGAGAAGACCGGTCCGCAGGAACTCTGGCTCGACGGGCGTTGGTGTCGGCTCCCCAGGCTCAAACTTGTAGGGTCTCGCATGGAAAATGGCTTCAGTGTTCTTAGGCTGTGCCCAGAAACCACCGGAGAGGGATGGTGAGTCCACCCAGATTTCACCCACAGAGTGCGCGGAGGCCAGGAGGCCAGTCTCGGGATCCACGACTGCCAGGGTCGCGTCTGGAATCGGGTAGCCGAAAGCGCCTATACGTACGGCACCGGGATCGTTCTCGGCCTTCTTCCTTGCCTCTTCACCCACGGCCAGGACGACAACCTCGTTGGTCTTAAGAGCCTCGCGATCAAGCAGCACCTCATTGACCTCTGTGTTCGATCTTTGCTCAGTCTTCTTAGTTGTGTTTCCGACCAGAAGACTGCCAAACCCGGTAGACGGCGCGGCAGTATCTTCTCGCTTCTCGTCGTCGCCTTCCTCCACGCCAGAGTCCTCCTCAGACCCCAGCTCGAGGTTCAATGGCACTCCCATGCGATGCTCGCCACCTAGCCAGTCTCGCATGCTAATAATCATACCACCGTGTTCAGGCAAGCAGAGCATCGGCGCCACGGCATCCCTGGCTCTGGCGTTCCTGAGCGGGCGCAGCCACCGGTCGGCCAGCACTTCATGAAACTCGCTATCCACAGTCAATGTGTCAATCAGACACAGTTTTATAGCTTGGAAATTCGGCTCCACCCCTTTTTTGAAGTTTCTCGTCGTCATGGGATCTTGCAGATAATTGTAGACTGCACGCTTCAGACCCGGATAGTCGGCAACCAGTACTGTCGCTCGGTACTTTGTGATCAGATATGCGTAGAGACCAGGCGAGTCTACCGCCTTGTTGTCGAACCAGACATGAGTATGGCCACCGTAGATGTTCAGGAGGACTCCAAGGATCATGCCGATTCCCTGGCGTGGATCTAGGTACGAAAGCATACGCTCACTCCCGCCTCCGCCGCCTATCAGCTTCCCATTCTTATCTCGTAACGATGGGTTGAAGGTATCCCCTTGGCCGTTTCGAGGGATTGTCGACACCATGGCGCTGAGGCAGGCCATTTGATGCATGATTGTCCTGTGGCTAAGCACGACGCCACGCAAATCGCCAGTAGGAGCTCTGGAAAACTCAATGTACGCCAGGTCTGGGGCCGTCAAGGGAGGTACCTCATCCTTTCGTTTGGGGTGATAGCTGCCAAATTCATTCGTTTTCCACCATTCGACACCTTTGGGCCACGTTAGTTTCTGAGTCGTGATATCGCGCTGAAAGGCCTTGAGGTTGTTATCCGTGGTGAGAGCCAAGTGCGCTTGCGTCGATGTGAGAATGTAGTTGAGTCGCTGGTAGTCTTGCAGGTCGTTTATGGGTACCGCTACGACGCCAGCAATGAAACAGCCCATGAGTGCAATGGCGAAATCAATAATCTCGCTGTCCCGGTACACAAGAGCGACGCGATCACCTCGGTACAGCGAGCTCTTGTCTCTGATGACCTGCGCAACCTTTTCCGCTCGCGAGGCGAGCTTATCCCAAGTGACGGATGCAGTTTCTTTTCCTTTGCTGTCCAGAACCCAGTATGCCGGAACCTTGGGAGTTGTTCTGGCCCTGTGGCGGAGGATGGCCGCCATGTTGTCGAACTTTGACATGGGCGTGTTGGGATCATGAGGGTCGTGGATCGCAAACGGTACCTCGCGAGGTTCGAGTGGGAGCTGGTATTCAAGAGCCTCTGGCCCGGGCAGATCGTTGGCTGTAAGCATTGGAGGCGCCATGGCGGCCGTAGGCGAGAATGGGTCGTTCAAGGAGTACCGCTGCTGGCCGCCATACTCGCCGTGGTCGGTCGACTGATTCTGATCATAATGCTGCTGGCCTGCAAAGTCGGAAAAGAATCCCTGCGAGTCGAGCAATGTGCCGGTTCGCCCATCGTATTGTTGTGCTGCTTGATAGTCTTGTGCCGGGTAATCGTGGTATGCGCCATGCTGTTCCGGGTTGAAAGCATAGTCGCCCGAGACCATGGTTCCGCTTCTTGAGTGCGCATCGGTGGCGCCCGCGCCAGCCGTCAGGAATAGGGAGTCGCGTTGCGAGATCCCAGGTCTGTCGTTGATCGGGCCTGCTCCTGGGCGCAGGAGGGCTGGAGTCGCTGATCGCGACGCATGAAATGCAGGACTTTCGCCGTAGGAGGATTCGGGTCGGTATACTGGGGAGCCCTGCTCGGAATCAAGCTGACTAGCGCCCATGGAAGCCCGGGCCGCCGCTCTGTGACCGTCGGATGGCTGATATGCGGAGGCATCGGGGTCGTGAAGTCGCAGGCCACCTCGGTGTGGTTGCGGTGGTTCGGGCTGTTGCTGATGCGGGGCGAAGTTGTATTGCGACAGGAGTTGCGCTCGTCGTTTCTGAAAACTTGAAGCCAGTCAGTATTTGAATTCAAGGCTTCCGCTTCGGGTTTCGTTTGCTGACCCCTTTTCTGTGATGTCTCCTTCCTGGAGCGAGACTGATTAGCCATTGCAGTGCCGAGGGCAGAGACAGAGGTGGGATGGGTGAATAGGGGCCAGACGTACCTCGAGGTCTCGCTGAAGCTCATTGAGCCTGGCTTGCAGCTCTGGATCCATTTCCGCCATGGCTTACAAAGTCCTCGAGTGCAATTGCGAGGCGCAGCCTTTGGGGTGGTCAAAACAGCAAAGCACGTGCTGACGCGAGCGGCAGCACAAGGAACAGCGGGTGGATGGTGATGGATGGACGGGTGTTTGATGGGGGGACTGGAGGACGTCGGGAACTGGATCCACCGACGTCGGGGGGCGGACGGGCGGGCCTGGCAATCAAGTACCGACACGAGGAGCTGTCGACTTGGGCTGACTGCGTGCTCACATCCAGAAGCCTCAGTCTGTAGGTGATTTTTATATGCTTCCTAGGCAGGTTCAAGCAAGCTATGGAACAATTTTAATCTCATATTGATCGATTCCCCGGACTCTGAACCTCTGCCCCACTCATAACTCGCCATGACAGAGACATTCACCAACAGGCGAATTTTCTAGTGGCGCAGGGACGAACAGTGGGGTCTTTTCTCCCAGTGTGACGTATTTCTTCGGCCTGCCTGGACTGGATACAGGGATCTGCTGTCCTCAACTCCCAACCGCGCTTCCGCGCAGGCTTCCAGTCATTTCATATGATGACGCTTGCTGTGTGCTGTTAGTGAAATGGCCATCGCAATGGCGATCACACTGGGAAGAAACTCGCCAGCGGACAGCAGTCCACATCCAACCCTTCAGCATGTCTGCACGCTCGAGTGGTTCGTTCGCTCTGCTGTTCGCCAAAGAACACAAAGCCTGCCTTCGTCCAGCGCTCTCACAAGACTCGACCGACTCTCGCACTCCAATCAAACGAGAAAACGGAACTACATTCTCTTTGTCTCTTGACCTTTCTTCACCCCACTCCTTCTCATTGCTTCGAGTTGAGATAAGACCCCGAGCTTGTTTCGTACTGAGCGAGACCCTTACCGACATGCCTCAGAAGCACACAAGGACATGAACAATGACCGCGACCGACCGTCGAAGTACCCCGAAGGCGTGGGTGCAGTCTCCGCCCATCTTACCTTCAGAGCGCAGCCCCGACACCTATTGTCTCTGTCATGCCTTTCTCTTGTGAAAATGCTCTGAAATTGTTCGACAGCACCAAGGCCCCGGGGACAAGGGCCATATCGTCGAACTCTTGTCACTCGCACCTTCCAAGGCCCAATGCGACTTGTTTGTCTCCTTTGTTCCTTGCGAGTTCGAATACGAAGCTCTTGTACGTGGGCGTTCTGCCGCAGACGAATACATATATCAAGGCCTTGCGAACAAAATGTTCTCGGTATGAAGTCTCAGAGCGGCTCATATATCAGACAACTCATCGCAACAACTTGCCCACCCAGCAGTGCAAACACAGCGTAAGAAAATGAGTGAACCGTTTTTCGGCACAGACACGCAAGGGGTTGGTGAGGCATCGTGGAACGGCACCGTGAGCCCCCAGGATATGTATACTAGCAACTACAGCACGACCATCGACGGCTTCAGCAACTCAGCCGATATCAGCAGTGTTTTCGGTCCCCCGGATTGTGCCGAAGGCTCATATTGTTACCCAAATGGCTATTTGCCTGCCCATAATTTCGAACCGAACCTGTGGATCGCTCCTCTGCCCGCGGATGCGACGAAGCCCATCACCTTCCCTCAGCCGCCCCGGGCAGCACGGAAAACGAACGGGCGTGGTCTAACAGAAAGCAATCCGGCAGATATGACAGTGAATTTACCCCAACCGGGGCTCGAAAACGATTACAGACTGGGAGCAGCGACCACCAAGGCTTTCCCGGTCTACAAGAACAACCCAAGAACATATGCCGGCGGCAGTTCCAAGGCGACCGCTATCCCGGCTGTGTATGACGACGAGTGCCAGATGTACTACGTCCGCATAGACGACAACTTGCAGTGGTCACCTCGCAAGGGTGACATTGCCTGGATCTCAAGCCTTTCGGGACAAGCGACCGCAACAAAAGCGCGTGTCGAGGAGCAGGCCGGCCCCTCCAGGAAGAGCCGCAAGCGAGGCATCAGCCAATCCGCCTCGGGCGACGACGAGGACGATAAAGCGCAGCAGAAGTGTATTGATTATAGCCGCAACGCCAAGAAGAAGCGCCTGTCGGCAGCAGACCCCGCTCGTGTCTATGCAAAGTACCACGGGCCCCCGCCTCCGTGGACGATTACCCAGGAAAACAGCGAGACCTGCAAGATCGAGTACAACAAGGAAGGACGAATCATGCCAGGGATATATCTGAGCGCCAAACAGATCAAGGGCTACATTGAGCAGAATCCGCGCAAGGATATCACCCTGTGGCTGCAGAATTTCCCTGCCCAATGTAAGCAACGCACCCTGGGCGATGTGCAATGTCTGTGGCGCGAGTGCCCCAGCAGAAACCAGAAGATTCGCCAGGGATGGCATCAGATCACATTTGACGAGTATCCCGAGGAGACGACGAGCGGTGAGCTAGATCCCTTTAGGGTGGCTGCGCACATGCACCTGTGGTGCTTTGAGCAGTGCTTTGACCCGCTTCCCTTGTTAGAAGCCCAAGTCCTCAAGCCTGATGCTCGCGTGCTTGAAAAGGAGGGGCGACAGCCATTCTCAATCACCCGTGACTACAAGATGATTGTGCAGGAGGCCATCGAGCCATGGCGCAAGACGCATGCCGCTGACGGGCCAACCTACCTCCCTCGTCATCACGAGCAGACCTTGGCTTACCAGCTTGTGCAATACCATCTGGAGAACCAAATCACGGCGCGCTCGGAGCTCAGGGAGGTCCGCAACCTCAAGAAGCAAGACAAGGGCGCGCCCGCCCGGACCATTGAGACGCACAAGGGGAGTTTGATCGTGTACTGCGAGAAGGAGTTGTCTCCCTCGCGCAACGCCCAGACCCCATACCCAAGGACCGGCGATGATGCCTTGCAGACCTTCCCACAAACGTGGCTCGCGGATCCCCGGGGGCTGATCAACTATCACACGGAGGAGTTCAATATTGTGAATGTGGACTATAAAGCGGGTGCCGCCAGTATGCCGGATGACCTCACAGAGTTCTTCGGCCTAGGCGAGACGGACGCCAACACGACGGACGAGTTCAATTTTGGTTCTACTGACTATACAGCTGATGTCGCCAATATGGCGGGTGACTCCACAAAGCTCCTCGGGCTAGAGGCCTGCCCCAAGACGGACGCCAACACGACAGATGCCAACATCCATCTTTCGCTGCGTGATGGCTGTGGCGGTCTTTGGGATCAAGGCCAAGTGGTCCTGCCTCCTGACAGATATGAGCCGCTTCCTCATCCGTATGAGCCACCTGCTGACTGGTGTCCGCCGCTTCCAGGCCTAGACGATGGCAGCGCGGCGCATGCTGCCGACACTTTCAGCTTTGAACAAGCAGTCGAAACGGACCTGGCAGCTGCAACCTATGGATAATCTGGGTTCGGCTGCCTAATGTTGTCTAGTGGGTAAGGCCCTTACGAGCGAGTGCTCGTGTACAAGGGCCCGAAACTGCCTGCTTTGTACTATATGTGTTTCCTGAAGCTGTGTGCAGGTTACAGTTAGATTCACGGTAAAGAATTGGAATATGATACTCGTTATTTGTCGGCACATGTCGGGTCCCCTTGGCACTACTTTGTGATCTGCAATTCTGGAGCATAAGAGAACTCCCGAGTCACGTTATGTTCGTCGTCGTGTGATCCTGTCGCCCTACCAGTGTTAGTACGTAGTATTAGTTGGGCGTAGGTTCCGCAAACCCTGCAGGACTCGACGGCGACGCCGAAAAGGAGGGTGGAGCTCGGATCCGTCACGTCTGCGCGCGCATAAGCAACATAGATCCCTGCTTAGTTCTCAAAGAAAGGTTGTGGACAAAGACAAGTTACAATTATTTTCATGTGAACCAGCGCCAACTAGCGATCGAGCACCTGTTATTCAATGTTTGCATAAGTAGGCGCCTATGCCCGCCATCTCAATATTGAAGCATGAGCACTTGGTGTTCTTGGGTCATCTCGAGCGTTCCCGCTAGTAACAGTGAATCGCGCGCAACTACAAGCCTCGCTACTCTAGTTAAACACACAGCTTCCTCCATTCCATTCGCTGGCAAGGTCACCCGAGTCAAACAATTCTCTGCTTGCTTGCATCAGCGCCTACGCCGACAGAAAGTCACGTGGCACCTGTACCGTCACAGCAGCGGGCTGCACCTGCCAAAGACCTGACCAGACGGCCGAGAGGTGGTCACTCTTTCCCTCGTCCAGCCGGCAGGCAGGCGCATCATCCGTTCAAGGCCTCAAGTTGCTGCCTCACTGTTTTGATTAATTCAATCGCTCCCGAGTCCCCAATTTCAATCTTTCCAGTTTGAACTTTCCGTTCTTTGCTCTCTTTGGCGCAGAGAACAGTTAACTTGAGGACTCGACGCGGCTAGGCGCATATTGACGAGCATCAACACGTGGGCTTGGCAACTTCCCTCTCCGTACGCCGTACACGACAACGCGCATCAAGATGCCAACAGATGGGAATGCAAAAGAAGCTGCCCTCCAGGTCATCGTTCTGGTGAGTTTGGTTCATCGTGTTTTAGTTCCATCCCTTTCGCCGGCCTCCAAGGCAAGGTGGGCTTCCTGTTCTGTTCGAGGCACAATATGACAGTTCACGCATCGTGATAACCTCGACCAAGCTCATCGCACCACGTGCTGGCTACCTTGTTTCGGACATGGAAAGCGCTTGTATCGGGACTATACACTATGACTAATTGCGGTCAAGGGTACAGTGCCCCTTTACTTGCTCGAGGATCATCCAACTCTTCACAGCACGGACTAACAGCGACCAGGGTTCCGGTGGTGGACCTATCGAGTCAAATACGACATCCTTCCTAGTTCGCTCCGTGTCGCAAGACTGGCGCAAGGGCTCGGTCATTGGCGTCGACGCAGGCGTGCACCTTTCCGTCATTGTTCGCATCCTCAGGGAAACCCTGCCTTCGCCTCTGCCATCATCACCGTACACCGTTACAAAAGGCCCCTTTGCCGGTCTCTCGCTGCCGTACAAAACGCCCGAAGCCAATGCGGGGTACATCACCAGCTCACTCGTCGAGGCCTATCTCATCACCCATCCCCATCTCGACCACATTGCCGGCTTTGTTGTGAACACGGCTGGGCCCCCAGGCGCACGACCCAAGAAGCTCGCTGGACTGCCAAGCACCATCAATGCTTTCAAAACTCACATCTTCAACAATGTCATCTGGCCGAACCTTAGCGACGAAAGCAACGGGGCTGGGCTGGTCACGTACTTGCGACTGGTGGAGGGGGGATCGCCTGCGTTAGGGGATGGCGAAGGCAAGGGGTACTCTGAAATCTGCGACGGTCTGCTCGTCAAGATATGGGGCGTGAGCCACGGGCATTGCATGGAGAAGCATAGTCACCGTGGTTCGGTGTCGAGTGCCTCGGGTCACGAAACCGCGACATTTGCAACACCACGGAGAGAAACGCGCGGCTCGCATGCGACACAGAGACGACAAAGCCTGCTCAGCCACTCAAGCTTTGGTGGTGGCTCCCCTGGTGTCGAATCTGAGCAGTACTGCGTGTATGACTCCAGCGCATACTTCATCCAAGACGAGGCGCGACGGCGAGAGGTCCTGATATTTGGCGATGTCGAGCCGGACAGCATCTCTCTGTCGCCGAGGAATCTGCACATATGGCAGGAGGCTGCACCCAGGATCGTGTCGGGCAGCCTGGCGGCGATCTTTATTGAGTGCAGCTACGATGACAGCCGAAGCAATGACCGCCTGTTTGGCCATCTCAAGCCCGTCTTCGTGATGGAGGAGCTCCGAGTGCTGGCTGCCGAGGTAGCGGCGGCGAGGAGAACGCAACACATCCAGCAAGAGCCTAGCAAGAAGCGCAAACGTATGGGCCACGAAGGGCCCGTGTCTCGCCTTGTGCCCAGACATGCTTCAGGCGGCGAGTCGACTTCGCCAAAGTCTTCGAGTGAGTTGGGAGGCAGCAGTGAGCAGCGGAGCAGCAGCAGGAGACGGAGATTGGAACACACTGAGCAGCCTGAGCTGGTGCATCCACTTGCAGCGCAAGATGGCATCATGTGTCCGCCTTGTTCCGCCCCTGAGTCGAAGAGGCTGTTGGTAGGGCTCAAGGTCATCATCATTCACGTGAAGGAGAAGATGATAGACGAGCCTGACGTCGGTGAGACGATACTCGAAGAGCTTCTAGCACACGAGAAGGAGATGCAACTGGGCTGCGAGTTCCACATTGCGAAATCGGGTCAAAGCTTCTATTTCTGACAGGATTGATGGTGGATGATAGACTTTATGTTGGAGTTTTTGGCGCACATTGGTATGTGGACGCGGGTCCTGGGGTAAGATCTGGTTTTCTATACGATCTTCGGTCTCTCTATACTGTATATAGCCTTCTGACAATGATTCAAGCACGCTCTGAATCGATCGATCGTTTTACTTGCTTTCCGTCTTCTTGAGCTTGTCGTAGCCTTCTTGACCGCCAAGGTTCTGGTCCCAATCCGGTCGAGGAAGCTCAAAAGCCTGCGTCGTACGGCCATACGTGATACCCCCAAGGCGACTAATGGGTCGGAGTACCTATTCCATCTGTTAGTTTCTCTCCACATGCCAAAGGAGACTGGGGGCTGACGTACATCCGGGTCAATGAGGTTCCTCTCCTCGTTTATGGCGTCTTCGCGCACCCAGAACCTCGTGCCCTCGAAGATGCCCACCGTGCCGCTCTTCTTGCCCTCCGTCTTGCGGCTGTCATACTCCTTTACAAAATCCAACTTGGCCTCGATGCTGAACACGGCCTCCTTGACACGCGCGCACTTGACATTCTCGCAGTCGTACACGGGCGTCAGGCCACTCACGTCCCACTCGGAAGCACCGTAGGGTGCGTTGATGCTGGTGGCGTTGGCAGCCTCGACAAAGGGCTCGGAGATGATGTTGATGACGCACTCTTCCGTCTCGAGAATGTTCTTGAGCGTGTCCTTGGCGTTGCCGATGCCCGAGGCAAAGCCGACGACGAAGAGCGGAGGGTCATGGTTGACAAAGTTGAAGTAGCTAAAAGGAGCCAGATTTGTCGTCTTGCCGTCCTTGCTCCTCGTGCTGACAAACGCAATGGGCCGAGGCACAATGGCAGAGATGAGCAGCTTGTAGTTGAAGGGGCCTGGGCGGTCCTCCGCTTGGGGGTCAATGGCAATGTGCTTCTTTTGCTTATCCTCCTCGGTGCGTAGCTGGTTTGCGCCAGCGCCGTACGACCAGTCTGGCTGCGGTGTCTTGGTGTAGTGGAAGGATGTGTTGACCTCCCACTCGGCTCGTGAAGATTCCACGCTCTTGAAGTCGGGATGGGGGTTGCGGTTGATCTTGTCGGACATGATGGGGGACCCTGAGTAATTTCTAGAAGGACGGTTTGTGCGCAACGTGGATGCTAGTGAGCGAGAGGAATGAGTGAGTGTTCTGAGTTTGTACATGAATGGTTTTGTAAGTGAACGAAGTGGTCGATGATGGCAGTGAGATAGATGGTGGAGCGCGTTGCGGATAGTTGATGCCGGGAGCACTAAGTTAGTCTTGGGGGGACAATGACGAAATGACTTGGCAGTGTAATAATATGGCCATGCGGCTATTGATATGCACAGTAGGGCGGAGCTATCAACAAGAGTATGAAGCAAGATATACCGTCACAGAAGCCAGCCTAAAATTCTCCATACCCATGTCCACTGCATTTCATGCAAAGGCATTGAGTGGTACAGGGTACCACAAAGCAGTGACCAGATACAGCTGGCAGCCCCTCCATCAGTGGCACGTCGCGGCACAAGAGACAGTACGTGTAGATAGACAGACCCGCTAAAACTTTCCAGCATCAATTTGACCCGCGACAGCTTCTCTCCATCTTCATGTCTCCACGCTGGGAGCTTCCATTCTTCTTGCCCTTCGCTCATGGCGTTATGGGTCACACGCCGCTGTATATCCGAACTCCATCCCCTTCTCCCTAAACTCGCCCGTACCTCACTCGGTCGTATCCGCTCTACACTACTCCTGACGAGAAGATCAAGCACCGACAAGCATCCAAGGCCAGGGCGACGCAGGTCGCAACCCAAGAAAGACCGGCCAGACCCTCCAGCCGAAATACTAGACGTATACAAGACACATCCCAGCACCATGACGACCAACATCCAGCTGGCCATCGCGCCCTCGGCCGACACAAGCTCTGCGTGCGTGTACCTGCGCAGCGACCGCTGCCACTATGTCTTTGGGCGGGTACCAGAGGGGTCCCAGCGCACCATGGGCAGTCGCAAGGTTAACTTTTCTGGCGTCACGCAGATCTTCCTCTCTGGTGCCACCGGCTGGGACCAAGTAGGCGGGCTGATGGGATTCATGCTCACGATTGCCGGCGCCGCCAATTCGTCCAAGGAGACCTACAGAATCGACAACCTCGTGCGGCAGGGGCAGGGCAAGAGGCTGCTGGAGGCGGCCCGGCATCAGGGCGTCGATGTACATGGAGGCGACAACCTATCCCATTTGATGGCGTCGCAACGGTCAGTCCTACTACGGCAGTCGATCAATGCCCGCATGCATGAGCAAAGGACAGACTCAAGGGAAAGCAACAAACCGTTGACGGAGCCAGACTGGCATGACGATGTCGTTCGCGTCTGGAAGGTGCCCGTCACACGCGAGCGGTCCAGCAGCCCGCGAAAACGACGTAGGACACACGGCCCAGAATCCGACGACGAGGCCGACGTGACGGATGCCGACATGGAGAAGTTGGAGGCGGAAAACGCGAACAGTGCCGAGGTCGCGCGTTACATTGTCGAGAAGCAAATATGGAATGGCGACGTACGGTTCAACCCTCTCGAAGCTTGCCGGATCCGCGATCTCGCCCCATCGGACGATGCCTGCGTGATAGAGAACGGAACGCCGCAACTGTACAAGGGACCTTATACCGCGGACGGCGTGGAACCCCCCAGGGCAGGGGACAAGGCTTGGATATGGCGCCACGGAAACATTGGTCCTCGCCGCAGCAACGTCGAGACCATGTCATCAGACAGAATCCCTCTCCGGACGTCGTACAGCCAAATATCCATGAGCTACATTGTCAAGATGCGCGATCGCAGGGGAAAATTCGATCCTAAGGCCGCCAAGGCCTTGGGCGTCCAGGTCACCGACTTCAAGCGGCTCACGGCTGGCCAGACGGTGACGACGGCCGACGGCAAAGAGGTCACGCCAGACATGGTCATGGGCGAGCCCATCCGCGGACGAGGGCTCATTGTGGCCGACATTGAGAGCCCCGACTTTGTCGAGTCCTTTATGCAGCGGCCCGAATGGGAGGACCAGGAGCTCATGTCGCACATCTCGGTCATGTACTGGTTACTCGGCGCAGACCTCTCCACGCACCCCCGGATCCGCAAATTCATGGACGACAGACCCCAGATACGACATGTCGTATGTGCCCCGGACACATGCCCCAACATGATCTGCAACCCGGGCCCGGCAGAGCTGCAGATGCGTCTTCGACGTCTCGACCCCGATCGCTTCGCCGTTCTCAAGTACGACAACGCGGTCAAGACGCAGGCGCCGCCACCCAAGTCCAACATTGAGTTCGGCCGGATCGGCAGATCTGCTCAGCTGATGCCCAAATTGCTATTCGAGGACGACAAGGCGGCTCCCTTTGCGGACCTCATGGGTGCCTACAACTCCGTCGCCGACGACGTCCTCGCTCTAGCAGAGGAATGCAGAGCTCAAGCGACGGACCCGGATTTCTTAGCCAAGGTTGAAAAAGAAGAGAAGGATATTCCGGGTCGCGATACAGAGATCACCTGCCTTGGCACCGGATCCTCTGTGCCCTCAAAGTACCGCAACGTGTCAGGTACGCTGGTCCGCGTCCCTGGCAAGGCAGCCTTCCTGCTCGACTGCGGCGAAGGCACCCTTGGCCAGATCAACCGCCTATGGGGCTACGATGGCGCCACCGAGGTTCTGCGCGACCTGCGGTGCATCCTCATCAGTCACCTACACGCAGATCACCACCTGGGCACCACCTCAGCGATCAAGGCGTGGTACGAACAGACCTTGCGGGACGGATCCAACGCCAAGCTCGCCATCTCATGTGTCCCCAAATTCAGGTCCATCCTGCAAGACTACGCTCAGGTGGAAGATTTTGGCTTCCATCGGCTGGTCTTCCCCAACTGCGAGGACGAAGCCTCCTTCACCTACGCACAGGCAGGCCTGCACTTCTCCCACGACCACGGCCTCAAGGCCATCCGCCGCGTCCCCGTGCCGCACTGCCCGCGCTCCGAGGCCGTCGAGATCGAGCTTGCGTCGGGTCTCCGGGTCGCCTACTCTGGTGACTGCCGTCCCTCGCAGGCCTTTGCCAAGGCGTGCCGTGGCACACACCTCCTGATTCACGAAAGCACCTTTGGCGACGACAAGGCCGACCACGCCAAGCAGAAGATGCACAGCACCATGGGCGAGGCCCTGCAGGTCGCCAAGGACATGCAGGCGCGCAGGACGCTGCTCACGCACTTCTCGCAACGCTACGTGAAGCGCGAGGCGTTGAAGTGGGAGGGCGAGGCCGGCACCGCGTCCGTCCTGCTGGGATTTGACTACATGACCGTCAAGCTGGGCGACTGGCAAAAGGCAGCCTGCTACATGCCGGCGTTGGAGAAGCTTTTCCAGGAAGACGGGGACGAGCCTGACGACAGCACCGAGTCATGATCAAATAGACACTACGGATCATCCTTGTATAGTAGAGTAGCAGATTAGACTCATGTGGCAGCAATGTGTACCACCTGATGACGCCTTGGCTGGCTTTGTGTCTTCTAGATGTTCCACAATCATGGGAAGGGGTCTTTGCGCATTCCATGGGTGTTGTAATAACCATAGCAAGGTGTCTGACCTTTTCATCTCCACTCATGCTTCCGCAGTGTGCGCGCCCCTTGGGTCTTACCAAGAGTTATCGTGACTATCAACCGGAACGCCGAATCCACTGCGGCACTGTAGACATAGGGAACACACAGCATATACAAGCCGATATACTCCGCGAGGTGACATGGCACATGTGCAAACCTCATCCAGATATCTCCCCCAACCAGCGAAAATCAGAAACTCCATCGTTATGCTATGCTCGTACTCGGGTCGTGACAATGACCTGTCGTTGATCGACTTGGCCTGCGAACTACCAGGTCTGTTGCTCTGCATACCTCCCTTCGTTGAGTCTCTGCGCTCGCGAAGTGAGTCGCTGCACGCGAAGTCGCGCTGCTTCTGTTCCATCATCGCTGTGTGCCATCTCCTTGAACCATTCGTGCTGCAAGGCTTGATGAGCCGTGATGCGTTGACTTGGATCATAAACGAAAATCTTTCGCAGAAGATCTTTGAAGTTCCTCATAAATGGCGTCGTGGTAGGTATCACATCCTGCAGTAGTTCGTTAGTCATGCCATGAGGCTGAAGTTGCGGCCTGCTCACGTCAAGATTCCTCATCGCCTTCACAAATCGACGGGAGCCTCGGGTTGTTTCGGCGTTCGGGTAGTCCAGCTTCAAGCGCTTGAAGTATCTGTATGCGACATTAGCAACATCATCAGCCAGAGGGTCAGCTGAGTAGCTTACCTTGCAGCGCTGTTAGCACCGTGCCGGCTGGAACCTTTGTTGACCTGCTGCACCAAGTGCGAATCGATTTTGCGCCCTACAACTGCCTCCATCATGGCAAGATGCTCCAGGTTGTCGTGTGTCTGGAACAGGGCGTCTCCTGTGTAGAACTCGACTAGGATGCATCCAATACTCCAGATATCGCAAGGATATGACCAGCCCAGGCCGAGAATAATCTCCGGGGCACGGTAATGCCGCGTTGACACGACCGAAGAATGGTACTCGTCTTGGAAGGTAGCAGATCCAAAGTCGATGAGTCGAATCTCTGTGTCCAGCAGCACTCGCCGTTGTGCAGCAGTGCGGTTGATATTTGTGGATGAGGACGGAATCCGCCGGTTGTATGTGAAAGTCTGATATTGAGCGTCACAAAGTAAAATGTTCTCGGGTTTCAGATCCGTGTGAATCAGGTTCAAATCATGGAGGACTAAAACTTGTCAGCGCTGTGTCCCGCAATACTCGAAAGGGTTGATCCTACAAGCAACGCTAGTGAATAGCTGTCGAGCAAAGCTCTGGATCTGACTGTTGGGAAATGGAACAAATCCATTGCCTTTGAGAAAGTCAAAGACGCTCTGACTGAGAAGGTCCATGACGATACAGATGTGCCCACAGAAATCGAAGCAATCTCGGAGATGTATACATCGGTTGCGGTTCTCGTCGTCATTTGCCTTGAGAGTCGCAAGAACCCTCAGCTCGATCTTAGAAGCATCGCGGTATTTCTGGACAGACCGGATGATTTTGATAGCAACGTCCTTTTTGCGACTGATGTCATGCGCAAGAACAACTTTGCCAAAGGTTCCTTGTCCCAGTAGCCGTTTGATGTAGTCTATGCAATGTCAGCATCGAGCGTTGAGAGTAGGTAGTCTGAGCCACATACATCGGTCGGTTAGAGGAGCCTCTGGGACTATAATGTAATGGCCGTCATCGTCATCGACCTTGGTGCCCTTGAGGCGGGTCTGCATGAAGCGTCAGATAAGGCATGGAGGGGTAGGGAGCAGAGGGTAGCCACTTACGTCGGGAACAGCACGCACTCGTACATCAGGTGCTTTCTTCACAGGTTGTGCCGGAGGCTTGTAGGTGAGCATGCGGCTGCCGAGAACATCCGTATCCCTGCGCTTAGCCTCGTTGGCGACCTGCTGCCGCGTCCTCTTCCGCTTCTGTGGTAAAGACAAGTCGTCCAGGTATCCATTCGAAGATAACGATGTGGCAGCCGTGGTGTTGAGGGCCGAAGTCGTGCCATCACTCGATATGCTAGCCCCCGCCGGCGTGTTGCCATGCGAGCTAGGATGCTGAAGGCGATACTTTTGGCTTTGCGTCTTGTCGACCTCATCCTCTTTGCGGCGCTTCTTGGCGGGCTGGCGTACGGCCGATGTATTGGCGGTCCCACTTGAATGAGAAGACGTCACATCAATGTGGCCATTGATCCGACTCGAATTGCCGTTGCCGGTCTTCCGGCTATTGTTCTGCTCTGGCTCTGGAGTATCATCGGGAATGACAATGACTTCCTTGGGGAGGCCATTTTGGTAGAAGGTGTCCCAGTCGGGGCCCTGAGATCGTCGACGCTTCTTGGTTGGTGGGTCGGCCATTTCTGGTGCGCCGTACCCGTTGAATTGGGCAGGTTGATTCCTCGAAGAATCAACAGCCACGCCAGCAGTGGAATACGTGTAGTCGCTATTTCGATAGGAAGCGTGGGGTGGTGGACGGGGGGCGGAAGGTTGCTGGTTCACGCCATCCACAGTCAGAGGATAGCCTCCCAACGAGGACTGTAGATGGGGTGCAACGGGAGCACCACCGTGGTTAGGTACGACGGAGAGCGGCTGAGGGATTGTCGAGGAGCCGCTGGAGGCAGACGGGGCCGTTGCTGTCGTAATCGTCGCGGACGAGGGCGAGTTATGGTTGGCAACGTAGCGATAGTTTGCGGAGACACCGGACCGGTGGTTCGAGTGCGGGTGCGCGTACTGGTGATGCGGACTGTGGTGAGCGTAATAATTAGACGGGGGAAGCGTGGCCACGGCCGTCGTAGGCGTCGACATTCTCTACAGAGGAGTCCTCGGATGCGTGAGGGGGGACCGAACTCTGCTGAAGAGGATGGACTCGCGAAGACTAGAAAGGCTCAACGAGGCGAGGGCCCGGTGGGCAGGTATGACGGGCAAGAGGCTTGGGGCCGTATGGGGTCGAGACGACTGGACTGGACTGGACGTGATATGCAGCGCACTTCAGGGCTGCGCAGGCTCTGGGTCAGCGCTGTGAAAATCTGTGGGGACAGTGCGTTCCGTCGTCAAGATTCGCCTGCCGTCGGGGGACTGGAGTCGACGGCCTGTGAGCGGAATCGAGTCTAACGCAGTGCCCTCACGAGTTTGTTCAGGAAAAGACAACAAATAGGACAGTGTTCACATTGTCAGGTTGGTCGCTGCAAGATCTGGATAAAGTCTGCAAGCAAATGGGGGACGGCGTTAGCCTGGCCTGCCTGGATTTGGCTCTGAATCAACAATGCCGTGGAGGGTAGGCACAACATTGGTGCTGCTGCTCTACACCATCCAGTCCCCTGCCCGGTGGCTATCTGTTCGCTGCTCCAGACTCTTTGCTTTCCCTCACTGCACAACGTCTACGGAGGTACGTGTATGATTATTGACGTGCCAGAGGTCCCTTGAGTGTGCGGTGTCGTGCCTCAGGCAGTCAACTTTTCTCCAATCCAGTCGGCCAAGACTGTCGGTGGAGCCCGTCCGCGAAGGTGGCGCTCTTCTCTTTTGGGACTAGCCTCAACCCCCATCACGTCAGGCGATAGTGACCCTTGGTCACAACGAAGTGCAGCACTATCGCTGTGGCTGCTGCCGATTAAAAAAAGCGAACAATGCTCGAGTTCCTTGATGCATCGGCACCATGAATGAGCTGTGATGCTACGTTTTGATTAATCGGGTGCGCATCAACATCATTGTTCGGGGGTGCTGGTGCGACTAGGTATGCAACCTTGTGAAACAACGTGACAGCCAGCACGACGGCGCTCATGGTGTTATCTCCCCGGACAGACCATCGCCCATTTGGTCTTGATCTTATTAATACAAGAGTTTCCTAGTCAAATACTCTGTATAATTCGAGTTCAAAAACACTCACCGCCCTCGTCCCGAGATACGCTAGAGTAAGTGATACAGGTAGGGAAGAGCCATGGAGCGCCAAGACGGTCATCAACCATCATGCTCTATCAATTTGCTCGTCCCAGCTACTGGAAAAAGCAGAGAAAATTGCATCGCTCGCATAGCCCGCAATCTTTAGTCAAGTGGCAATCGAGCAGCTAGGTGAACCACGGGCTTACTCGGCTTTCAGTTTGAGCGATGCAGGTAGAAAATCCAGGGTCCTCCTGCAGTGCAAAATTAATATTTCGAAGTCGAATTGCCTAATGCGGTATCGAGCCCGCACGGTCTCCCGGCAACGCAACTACATACATGTAGTTCCCGTCATTGTTGACCACCTGTGTGCGCACGCCTTGAATCATCGTAGATTCACGTTGTCTTGTCCTACGACACGGGCACAGGCACTGTCTAGCACAGTTGAGTCGCGCAAGATGGTAATGGTATGCCAGCGTGTTTTCCTGAAACAAGAAGTCGAATTTTAAAAAGCATATAGTGTAAAACTAGGAGATCACTCAAGCTCAAAAGCTCTTCGCCCACTCCTCCCTGCTGGAGTCTACATACTAAGTGCATGCAATCCTTTGGATCTATGCAGAATATAGTTAATGTTGAAACACAGACAAAGGACACAAAGTTTACCATGAAACGTCAACCCAGTAATCTGAGGGGGAAACATTCTGTATCATTGGGAGCCACCATCGCAAAGGTTGGTACCCAGTCACAAGCGTCAAGTTCAGACGTTTCATAATTCTCTTGCTTAACTTCCTGGGCCTCAAGGTAGAGTAACAGCCCCCTGTCTTCGCTAAACTACTCAATAAAGCTGCAGCGCCTTCAGACAAGCCGATGTAGACTGTATGTGGCGGCAAACCACCTAGAACAGAGAGCTCCACCCTGTTAACCCGTACTCTAAACATCTTAAACCCGCCAGGGCCAGCAATTGGCGCTCAAAGATGACTCAATTCTCGTATTCGTCTTTGAAGATGAGACAGTAGCCAGAATCATTGGCGTCGCTGTCCTCGCTCTCTTTCTTGCCGTCTTTATCGTAAACCCTTGGGTCAACGGAGTCACCAGAGACAGCCCCTCGATGTCGACTCTGAGAACCATTGTCATAGGCACGGTGACTGAGCTCTCGCTGAAAGAGCGCGTGGGGCCCAAGGTCCGAGTCCGTGTGCACAGGAGAAAAGTCCCTATAAGCACCATTCCAGTACACCGGCTGTGGCAGCCATGCTGAATCAAGCTGCCCGCCAATATTGCTCTTCGCAGAAGGCTTCTCCAGCTTGGGTCGAGGTTCGGGGTGTCCTGGCACTTTCTTGGAACCGCTCTTCACCTGAGGGCCCGCATTGATCGAGGAGTTGTGCGGCGCGATGGCCTGGCCAGTTCCGGCGACCATCTTCCACAGAACGGCGAGATCTTCCTCAACATCGTTCACACAGCAGATCAGGGTGAATTCAGTGCACTTTAGGTTGTCGATTTCATGGCTGTCAAGAGGTCATCGTTATGCTTGGAAGGACGTTGGCGTTCGCGAGCAGGGGTGGTTTCGGAAAGCAACCCATCAGATAAGAAAATA